CTTAGTTAGCTCTCTGAGGCCAGAGCAGGTGGAACAGCAACAGTTTCCTAAGACCAAACAGTAGCAAACAAATTGTAATTTTATGCAAGAATAACCAAAACAGACTTGTCCCGGGACTTGCATATATACCCGTATTATTTCGGAATATAAATTAACTTACAAACATTACCGTGTTATTTATTTATTGAGTTTTTAATATGAATGGGTACAGAAAAAAATCCTAAAAAACGCTTCGGCACGTTAAATAAACTAGATATTTACCATAATATTATATCTGTGTTTAAAACAATTTTAAATATTTACTTATAGTAGAGAACTATATATTTACTACGTACTAGGTACAAATATAATACATATAACTTTATCACGTAAATACACCTTGCACATAGGTATACATACAGTTGACAATAAAATAGGTATTTAATTATCGTTGAACACATAGGTTTACTTCTATTATCGAACGTTAACGCCATAAATAATTGCATTGCAATTAAATGCAATAGTAGAGCGAGCTCTGTATCCATATCCATACTAATATTATAAATGTGTGTTTGTTTGTTTGTTTGTTTGTTTGTCCTTCTTTCACGTGGAAATGGAACGACGGATTGGCGTGATTTTTTGTGTGGAGATAGAGTTTTAGAGTTTTTTTGTAGGTTTAGCGCGAGTGAAGCCGCGAGTTCTACTAGTAATTAATAAATTTCAATATAGCAAAATTATTTATTGACTAACGGCTCACCCTGGCTTTACTCGGGTTCGCCTCTACAAAACAAAAACTTATCCCACGGGAGCCGTACATTTTTCTGGCATAAAAAGTAGCTTATGTGTTGTTCCAGACTATAATATAGCACTGTGCCAATTTTCTTCCGTTCAGCCGTTCTGACGTGAAAGAGTAACAAACATCCGTACTCACAAACTTTCACATTTATAATATTTATACACATAAGCTATAACTATCTGTCACTCAGTAGTTTATTTATGGAAATTCTTGTCTTACTACATTTCTGTCTCATGAATAGAAATATTATGAAAAAAAACCACGTGCGTAAATCAAGTCCGTTATATTGTTTAGTCACTAGAGGCTAGTGCTGCAACAGCAATGGCGATTACGATTAGATATTAAAAAAGCATCGTGAATCGTCAAATTTTCTTTTGCTTACAATGAGGGTTATCGTTTCTATTAGCACCAGTTGAAGCTACTGGCGAGTGAGGCCCTAGCGATGTCGTTGAAAAGTATTTGTTAATGCGAGGGGGCCAATAAAAATGTAATAATTGTAATTGTTAGCGTGAAATCGGTTCTATCAGGGTTTTAAACAATTAATCAGAATCAAAAAAAAAATATTGACTTTTTCTTAATGCTTCTTTTAAACTAACAAGATTTATTGAGCCGTACCGTGTCTGCTATAATTAATCAGTAACGGTACAATCTTTACAATAATTTGTAAGGTTGCATTTTTATATATTGAGCGTTTTAATGGAAAATAATATAATTGATTAATTTGTAATGATTTATGTATAAGTTATGTGACCTTGGCTGATAGGAATGTTTTAAAATAATAACAAAAAGGGCGCGGATATTCATTTGTTTTCCCGCGCTTTTGCACAGAAATGTCAGTAATATTTTTGTGACTAGTGACGAACTGTTTGTAATACTGAAAATTATGGTTATAAATTATGTAACTCACTGACGATTATAAAAGTACTGAATATAAGAATATAAGCAAGGAATATCTCGAAGTTTTATTAGTGATCTTACACATTAATATTAGTGAAAATCCGCGATAAAAGTCTCGCAAACAGCAATTTTTTTGAAGCTATACTTCTTTTGGCACGTTTGGAAAAAATTATAAGAGTAAAATTTTTACGATTTCCGCGCACTCCGACAGCCAAAAAGCGATATAATGAAGTTAGCTGAAAGCGAAATGATGAAGATAGCTGCATTCCTTTTACAAACAGTGAGTTGTGACATACGGGATGACATCTTTAGCTTATAACTTCTTACGTGCCTTAATACTTATGCTTACTTACTTAATTGTGCTTTACTTACTTGTGCTTATAACTTCTTACGTACCATACATAATTACATACACACTTTTTTTTCAGTTACAATTACATATATGGAGTGCTATCCCCGTTTTTTATACACATTTGGCAATGAAACTTCGAAACCCTAAAAACAAATATATTTATCCTACATATGACATGGAAAAGCAAGCAAAATATAGTGTATAGGCATTACTTAATAAAAATGGTGAATAAATATAAAAGTTTTAATACCTTACCGGTAGTTTTGCAGTTATTGTAAAATAATTTAAATGCAAAAATCTATAAATGTAATAAAATTGTAACTAAGCCGAATCTGTACCTTAATTATTTTTTGGAAAATCTTATTGAAAATTGAAATAGACATTATTATCGATACAGAGGCCATATCTATAGTTTTTGGAAATTCTGTCTGTCTGTTACCACATCACGGAAAACCCACTGGAGGGATTTTGATGTAATTTGGTATGATGATAGCTGTTTATCCGAGTCAACATATAGGATACTTTTTACAGCGGGAAAATATCTCATCTCCGAGAAATCGATACTAAACGTTAAAACGTAAGCATGGACGAACCCGAGCGAAGCGAAGGTGAGTCGCTAGTATTACATAATTATCATGATGTGATGATGTTCTCCAAGCCGATTCCGGCCACGGCGGCCAATCTCAATGAGATTAGCCAACTGCGTAGGAGATATTATAGTGCTCAAGTGTACGCGCAGACACAAGTGCACTCTCTATTCCTATCACTCTCATACTCCGGTGGGACGATCACTCGACACGACCGGTGAGAGTTAAGGCGCAGGACCGACTGCTTTACGTGCTCTCCGAGGCACGGGGGTGAAACACCGCCAACTTCCCAACTCCGGGCTGTTACTGAGACTTACTATACAGGAAGACTCAATAACTAAACTTGGCCCGACCCGGGACTCGAACCCAGGACCTCCGGGTGTGCAGCCGTACATGCTAGCCACTACACCACCGAGGCACCAGAGAGGCATAATTATAATACATCATACATGATTATATTATTATAACATAATTATGTTATTTGTTTCCTTCCCTAACTATTCATGTTAATTAATAAATTTTAAAATAACATTTTAGACATTATGTATTACTATTTTTACCCGACTGCAAGGAAATGGTTATGTTTTTCGCGCCTATCTTTGTATATTTGTTTGTAATATTCTTTATTACCTCATATCTTCCAAACCACTCGATAGATTTATTTAATTAAGGTATCGTTAGATTCGTCTCATTAATCCAAGTGTTGTTTAATAGGTGACATAAAAAATATATGGGGGCTACTAGATTTCATTGTTTAAGGTAATTTTTTTAATCTTTTTCTGCAATATGGGTATCAAATTAAAGGGCTCATAACAAGGATTCCAAAAATGTATAAAATCCCTGTATTATTCATTTTAAATAACAGTTTAGGTTATATAATGATTTAAAGTTGGTTAACAACCCTTCTCTCGCTAATTTTCCTACTTAAAAATACTCGAAAAGCTGTAAATAAATAAATATGTTATAAATAAAACACCCGACTGCATAAAAGCTAACTAAAAAGATGAGAACAAGTTCACGAAGGAAAATAGTATTATGCAGTCAGAGACATACATACCAGGGCTCGGATACCGGTATATTTGTCGAAACGGTTTCGTCTTAAATACATAAAAAACGATTTGTATTGCTATAGAAAACGTTTTTGAGCAGTAACAAAATTTAAATCGTTTTCGGTTAATAAAACGTTTTTAACCGTTATTTTTCTGGGATATCCAATGCAAACTTACGAATAGTTTCATTCACCAGGTGAGCGTGGCTTAGTTTAGTTGTTGCATGTTGAGCGCGGTCGCGTCCTGCGGATTTAACCGGTTTTTGAAAACATTCTCGTTTCGTTTTCGTTCCGATCAAAAAGATGTACATAATAGGTCAAAAAACTGTTAGGAACATTGAAAAAACGATATTTAAAGTAACGTTTCCGAGCTCTGATACATACGAGTATGTACATCTCGCGGCAAGGATGAAAAGTGTATTAACGTTATTTTGTATCACGTATTTATAATATGTATAGTAAAGTATTTTTTTTACATTTCATATGGATTTTATGGTTATATGCTTATTCAAGACGAATTCATTCATATATTATAGTACTCTTTCAATTCATCGCTCATTAAAAGATTCAATTGGTCCGGAGGTAATTCAGAAAAAAGTTTAACCTACAATTTTTTCTTCTTTATCATTAATAGTATCTAACTGTAGTTTTGTGAAACTATAAAAGTTTGTGGTGTATGTACATATTTTTTAAATATTTATTTGCCTATGCATATTAAACTTAATAAAAATATGTTATTTAGATAATAATACATGGTGTATATAAACTCGTTAGGCAAGAGGTGTATCTTGTGGATCGCTCCTGGTCCTTCTCTAACAGTAGATTGGACTGTAAGAGCAATTGGGTAAAAGAAGTTGCTACTTGCTAAGCGCTAGAAAACATACAATTCCAATGTCGAGCGAGTCAAGGGGCTGGGGATGCATCATTGCGCGATAAAGATATACTTTTCGGTCAATTATGGCTTGGTAGAAAAGAAAAGCCTGTAGGTTTTCTTGTCGATGAGTGTCCTATCATTAAAAATAATGGTGTACAAACGAGATTCTAAATACCACTTTAAATAAATGTATTTGATAAATAAATATATTGGACCATATTGTATCTAAAGAAAACCAGTGCGAGAGACTCCACGGCTAGATATCCGGGGCGAACTAAGTCCACACTACAGTTACACTAGTTTATCGTGCACACGATGTTCCATAGCCAGCGGACGTCATTTTATGGCTGACTAAACTCGCCTGTGCCAGCCTTAGACTTTTAATAAAAAAATATTAAAGTTTATGGTTTTTATGTAGTCTGTGGTTATAAACTTTGACGTTTTGTCTCTTTTAAAAATTTGTAATCATGGCGGTAGGTCTTTTGTACATATCCGCAAATGTTATCTATTTTAATCAGTGAAATATATATATAAAAACTATTTTTTATATAAAGTTTAACTTATCAATAATAATATTATCTAATATCCGGGAATATTTTAAGTTTTTCTTCTTTTATTGCGATTTTACAGTGGTCCTAACCTTATTGGTTCCTTGAAGCAAACCTGTGTTAAATTCTATGTGATACAAGTGCTTACTGTTATTATTATGGTTTTCAGCGTGTACCACCGCCCGCAAATCCTGCGCTTAAAAAGGATAAGAAGGAGAAAAAGATTCCGAAAGACAATTCCAAAAATGTTATGCGGAATCTGCACATTAGGAAATTGTGTCTGAACATCTGTGTTGGTGAATCTGGTGACAGATTGACACGTGCTGCTAAGGTATGATTTAATTTTTTGCTTATATATAGGTTATTGATATTATTTTAATTCAACTATAATTCATTAGGATTTAGGTTAACATAACCTCTTCTGTTGTATGTAAGTATATATTTTAAATACATACGTATGAAGCGAGTAATTTATTGAATTGAATGTACTGTATAATATACTATACATAAACAAAGTAGTTGTAGGCATAAATTTGTTCAAGTCCCACAGTTACATTTGTGTTGTCTTTGTAAATTTATGCAAAAGTACTATTTCAAATTGCAACTTCTAGGCACTTTTGTTTTACTGCTTAGAATACTCAAAGAAATAACATTTTGCATTAGTTAAATAATTTTATAAACAACACTAAGTATATACTTTGTTGAATTTAAAATATTGTTTTACATTTAATAAACCTTTTACAATATGTATTTATGTTTTTTTAGGTGTTGGAACAGCTAACTGGTCAACAGCCTGTATTTTCAAAGGCTCGTTATACTGTCAGATCCTTTGGTATCCGCCGTAATGAAAAAATTGCTGTCCACTGCACAGTCCGTGGAGCTAAGGCTGAGGAAATCCTTGAAAGAGGATTAAAAGTAAGTAATTAAAACATATTTCAAAATAAATAGAAGTTTGTGGTTGTGTTAAGTCATGTATTTTTTGATTTTGAGCATATTTTAAGAATTTTTTTCCTTAACATGGCATAGATTGTTCAAGAGATTACTATTATAGTTTTTTCTTTGTAAATCTATGCAATAATAATATTTCCAATTGCAACTTTTGGGCACTTTTATATTACTGCTCAGAATACTCAGAGAAATAACATTCTTTGTTTATAGTATTTACAGACTGGCAATACAAATTATAAATGTTGATAATATTAGTAGCTACAGTTTGAGTGAAAGCACTTTTGTTACTTCATACCTAACAAAATTATTCTATAATTTCCCTGTAATTTAAAATAGTTAGATTATATTCTGGATAATATATGGCTTGGATAATATATGGCTTATCAAATTAACATAAGTTTAATTATAATAAATAATAAGTTTTCATTAATAATAACATACCAAAAAGCACTGAACCGATATTAACTAAATTTTGTGTAGTGATAGCTTATTCCAGAAATAAGTCAACATTTAGGATACTTTTTACTACAGTAAAATCTTTTATTCCCATAAGAAACACAATAACTTATGGCTAAGGCTGACGACCTTAAGAGTTACGTCAAAATAATGTACTAGAAAATTAAGTATGGTTTTGAAAAGACCTACAGAAAAGTCCCTAATAGAATATTTTGTCTATTTTGTAAGGTACACTCGCAATAGCTATTTAAAGCATAAATCTATTTAAAACATATAGAACTATGTACATTTATACAATGTACATGGTATAAATTACTATTTATACCATGTACATTAGTACATAGTTTAAAAAAAAAGTCTTTGACCATAAGAATTTTATTAATAATATTTTTATATAACATAATTCCTATCATTTGAATCACTTTCTGACATGTTTTGTCATGTAAATATTGTCATACTTAAATAATTAAAACTATATTTTGTTTTTTTTTTTTACTTTCAGGTCAGGGAATACGAGTTGAGACGTGACAACTTCTCAGCTACTGGCAACTTTGGTTTTGGTATCCAAGAACACATTGATTTGGGTATCAAATATGATCCTTCTATTGGTATCTATGGTCTTGACTTCTATGTCGTACTTGGAAGGCCAGGTAAGAAACTAATTTATATTTTTCTTCAATTCTTAATATTGTATGTGATGTGTATTTAAAAACACAACATATCTGAAAAAGTATAGAAAATCATTAAAAAACAAATAAAATTGGCGATTGTATACACTGTTGAAAGTGTTAAGAGTTATGATGTCAATAAATTGATTGTAAATCCCAGTAATATTATAAATGTGAAAGTTTGGATGGATGTTTGTTACTCAATCAAGCTAGGACAGCTGAACGGATCTGGATGAAAGGCATAGAGATAGATTAAAGTCTGTAATAGCACATATTTTTTTCCTGAAAAAATATATGGTTACCATGGGATAGATTTGTTTTGACTATTCACAAGCGAGGGTGAGTTGCTAGTAGGATATATCATGTTTAAAATTCAATATTTTTAGTGACATCAGTGAAATAATAAAATTTGTGCATAACTGGCATTCTTAAAAATCATTAATAAGAAAATTGACTTGAATTATTACTAGTATTCCATTCCTTTGCACATTTGTTCAGGAGGGGAAGTAGTTTATTTTCTCTCTGTAATTTGTGTGCTAAAATAAACTTAACTCAACAGGGAAATAATTTATTATTTTTTTTCTATAAAGTTAAGGTACAAATTAAAGTATGGATATGAAAGTATGTTTGAAGTAGTATAAAAGAATACCTAAATATTATGTTAAATGTAACTTCATTTAAATGGATATTGTGAATGTATATATTTTTGTAATTGATAACATACTAGCTTTTTCCATGGCTCTCTATTGAATTTATTTATGTATAACTGCTTCGATCCTAAAAGTCATAGGGTGATGTTAGGTTCTCTAACCTTCCTCAAAAATTGTACAGTCAAATGTAAAACGGATTTTTCAAATATGAGTGGTAGTTCCAGAGTTCAAACAACAAAACAAACTCTAACTTCATTACATTAGTATAGATTTGATAATATTATAATCTCAAATTTAAGTAATAGGTTTTTAATTTTAATTATTTCTTTAGCATATTTATGTGTATTGAAATGAATCTTCTCTCTTGTTCTTAGGTTTCAATGTAGCCCACAGGAGACGCAAGACTGGCAAAGTTGGATTCCCACACCGTTTGACAAAGGAAGATGCCATGAAGTGGTTCCAACAGAAATACGATGGTATCATCCTTAACAGCAAAGCAAAGTAAACTTAAGTAAAAATAAATGTTTATAAACACTTTTTTTGTTTTAACTTCTCTTTACTTGCTTACTCAACACTATACTGTTAGTCGCCCTATCCTATTGACATTTGTATGGAAGTGTTCTCTAGAAGATATATGGGAATTCTGAGAAAAGAAATGACCCTAAAACTATTGCAATCAAAATTAAAAAAATATTTGTAGAGGTTATGTTGAGTTTTTGAGGTATGGAATACATATATCTAAACAGCAGTCTTTTCAGTATCATTAAGAAATATTTTGCTGCCGATAGTGTGGCTTTTTATTTCAATTTTGTTTTGCATATTTCAAGAAGTACAAATTGCAGCTATATTCTAATTGCAGCACATTATGCTACACGGCAATATGTTTTCGCATACGCCAGGTGACAGGAGACGTAAATTGTTGCAGTAAACGTGGCACTATATAATTATTGTGGGCCACGTGAAATATATATTTATTAAATACTAGCGACTCACCCTCGCTTCGCTCGGGTTCGTCCCTAGGTACGTTTTGAATTAAAATGGATATAGTATGTTATCCTTAAGAGATAGACATATGCCATCACGGACTTTTCTGTAGACCTATATAAGATTCACAATTCCACCATACATTATTTTGTTATATCTCAAAGGGTTTAGGAAGCGTTTTCGTTGAAAGCTCCCAGACGTCTTATTTTTTCCGACACCTTCAACAAATATCGTTATATTTTAGCCAATGTATACAAAAACTTAACAAATTATATACTAAAACCTTCCTCTTGGATCACTATCTATTAAAAAAAAACGCATCAAAATCCGTTGCGTAGTTTTAAAGATTTAAGCATACATAGGAATATAGGGACAGAGAAAGCAACTTTGTTTTATACTATGTAGTGATTTTTATATGGATATAACTTCAGTAATCCTATAAAAAGGCCATCATAGACCGTATAACGTTTCATATCAGTTATAAAAAAAAATTAAATCTAAGACAAGCAAGCTAAACGATTAGTTGTCATGGTAATGTGAACTTGTGAGTTGTCTGTTTGATCAATTTTTTATACTATGGATAGTGTCCGAAACGTTCACGAAGTGAACTTGAGAATTTTAGTGAATACTATTTTGTACTGTATTTTATATAATGGCTGGAGTATTTGGTGGATATGAGGATGAAGAGGAAGATGTTCTTGCACCAAAGGAGCCTCAGGTTTCATCTCAAGATCCTAATGAACGGAAAGCAGCTAGGGCATTACGAATCAAACGCCGCCAGGAGGCACTGAAGAGGTGGTTTTTAAATTATTTTTAGTGCACTATATAAATACCAAATAAGATGTTAAATCGAAAAGAAAACAAAATATACTAGAAACGTGTTTACTTTTAAATAAATATCTTAGGTCGGTAGCAAGAAAACAATAGCTATATAATAATATTTAAAATATATTTTCCTGTATAAAATTAGTCATATATTCCTTTTTCGATTTAAGACAATTGTTTAGTGAAATCCGCAAACAAATAGGTGTAGAAATAAACATACCCGTTCAAACATTGTCTAAAAACCCTGTATAATTATTGATTTGAAAATTAATTTGAACAAAGTTTTAATGTTAAATAGAAATAAGCATTCAAAATTAGCTACCAGACATTTACTTTTTTATTAGGTATTTTTTTATCTTATCGTTGTAAAACAAACATATAACATAATTTACAACAGTTTTAAGGCAATATGAAGAGTGGTCCTTTCTCGTAGATTAAAGAATGCTTTAGCTTGCATTAATCTGAAACTGGGAAACATGGTAAATTAATGAAAATTGGAAACAAAAAAATAATAAGACTATTTTAAATAAAACTATCTTTTCGGATTTTTTCGACTGACAGTCTCAGTCTCTCCCGTGACCATGAATGAAACGTCGGGAACCAAAAATCCAAATTAATCCGCGAAAAAATCCGAAAAGATAGTTTTATTTAAAATGTCAAATGTTCGCGTAAATCTAAGAAAGTATTATAATAAGACTAATTAATTCAGGGCTGATCAACCTTCTGAAGACGTTTTCAAGGAGGAAGATCCAGGGCCTATAGAGCAGGCGACATCTGCTGCCGCTGAAGAGTTGCAGCGCTTAGCATTAGACGGAGCCGCTAAAGTAACAAATGTTAAAGTCACTACAGACGAGCGAGAAGTTATTCGCAGATCGCTATTCTCTGATAAAATGAGAGGTTACAATAATTACAATTTAATTATGGGTTTGGAGAAAAAAGATTTTTTTAATTAAGCTTAAAACATACAACGATATTCAAAGTCAATATAATTTTATTAATATATATTTCAGTATGTTATATTAATTAATTATATTTTATTTTTATTGTAATGATATCTACATACGTCTGTCTCATGCGTTTAGATTCAATGGCTAAAATAGAGGCAGAAGCAGCTGAAGCACAGCTGCAATATGATGCTATAACTTCTAATTGGGACGCGATGCTAGCACTAAAGGATCCATTAGACATAGACGCAGAAATAAATGAACAAAGAATGAAATGCCAAGATTTGTTGGAACAAAAGGATAATTTAATTAATGAATTAAAACAAGATTTGAATAGAATGGATAATGCATATTATGAAGATTTAGAAAAACAGGTTTGAAGTACATTTTATGTCATGATATTATGTTGTATTGATTGAAGATCCGGTGGTCCTGGGTTCGATTCTCGGGTCCGGCCAAGGTTAGTTATTTAGTTTTTCATTTAAAAAATCTTTGTAAAACCTGTACAATAATATATCCTCCGCAGTTGGCTAGTCTCAGTGAGATTGGCTGTTGTGGTCGAAATCAGTTAAAAGTTATATGTAATTGTCATGTCAGTATTGTTATGTAATTGTCATAGGTACTTATAAGTTCATCATCGAATATGTATCCATAAAATCACGTAATCTTATTCCCATAGAGTATATTGCTACATACTTATTCCCAAAGTAAATTCCTACTGATTGATCTCTTTTATTGCTTCACTTAAATGTTCCAGGATAAAGATATCAAAGAACTCTCAGATAGAATCGAGAAACAAATAACAATAATGCAAAGGGCTTATGAAAAACAATTATTTCTCATAGAACAAGCCATAAATATCGAACGTGAAGTAATGGTAGATTACAACAACAAGCGATGGGAGGCGCTGTACAAACAGCGCGACCGAGAGGAAGTCGCTCATATGGAATATACGTTTAAGCAGGTGCAGATTATAATAATTATAATGATTCCTGTTATTTTATAATAATTGTATTTTTTTTAATAATAAGCTTTTATAATATACAAAATTTTGTAGTGGAGATTTTTCTATGGCTTTGCCTTTCGCATACATCATATGATCAGTTTTATGGCACTATATTATCGCAATTGTCACTGAATTTATACGTACCTAAATATTGTTTTTCATCTTAAATGAATCGGAGCCATTAAATGATCGAAAAATCAATTATAAAAAATCAAAAAAACAGACATTTGAACGAGGTTAAATAAAAACCTGTATTAATTGGGTAGCATATAGCACAAGCACGGTAATGTAATGCATATATTACCGTGATACAAGTCCTAGGATAATATTGAGTAGTGGTAATAAGCTTGCGGGGCGAGACCAGTGCCTTGTGTTAGGATGTTAAAAGGGCAGAATTATTAGTTGCATATGATTCTACGATTTTAATTTTAAACATTAATAGAAATACTTAATAGCTCGAAGAACATAAAGAAGAAATGGAATCTATCATGTGGGACCATCACGCCAAGTATCGTGAAGCCAAAATAGAACTGGAAACATTAATTCAAGAATTGCAAAAGGAATTGGAAAAATTAAAAGCGACTTGTATAATTAATACGGAAAAAATTGGATATAATTATCAGGTTAGCAAGTAAGAAATACTTTATCAAACAAACAATGAAAATTACCTACATTGATTTCTATGGAATTGCCTGGAAACTTATACTAATATCGAAAAATTAACAGTAACTAATAGTTTTAATTAACATTGAGTAATAGGTAGACAAATTAAATAAGTACATACAGTTGCAAATTGTAAGTAATACCTACGTTTTGTATACTAGCAGTGTTGAACACCTAATATGACTAACCAAATTCTGTATAGGTATTATTGTTTTTTTTTTAAATTTAATATACCATATACTTTCTTTTTAATAAATTAAGGTGTTAAAGAAAAGAGAAGAGGAAAACGTTTTCGTGCGATCACAACAAAAACGAAAGCTAAATAAAATGTCGGATATAGCAAACGCTCTTCGAGCCAAAATTCGTAAAGCGGCGGAAGATGGCGCCACCGAGGAGATTAGAGCGGACGCGGAAATAGTGAAGCTAATGCAGGCAATGGCTGATCTAGAAAAGAAATGCAAACATTTTTCGCATGTGAACAATTATAAATTCAGTCAGGTTTGTGTCACAGGGATGTTTTTTGTTCTTGTTACCCTTAAGTATGTTCTAGGAATAATATTTTTTTTATGGTAAATTATTATTGTTCTTTGTACCAGTAGCTGAAAAATCAGTATCGTTGGAATATTAAAAATAGGAAACAATTGCCCTGTTTCATTCCCGAAAATTTAGCATATTTTGCAGCGTTTCGTGCTATAAAAAAAAATGGAACAGTCATAGAGCCACAGCCCATGCTTTCAAGTGACCAATTTTTTATTCACGGTGTTACTTTGCAATTAAAACAAATAAGTTTTCAAATTTACACTTTTTCATCTTACTTCATGAAAAAACTTCTTGACTAATATTCCATTAAATGCATTATAAATAAAACTTAGTGGTAGGTTAACAACCGGCTTAATAGGATTGTTTTATATCAAAACTTTGAATATTTTAATACGTGTAGGTGTGGCGTATGTCCGCGGCGCGTTGCGCGGAGCTCTCCCGGCGGGTGCGGCACGCGGAGGTGGCGCTGCACGCGCACCTCCTGGCCGAGCCGCCGCCGCCGCCGCCGCCGCCGCCGCCGCCCACCAGCCCGCTCTCTAAATATGGTATAACCAGCAACGTACCCTCGATTTGTTCGCGCCACAAGATGCCTAACAGTAGCCTATGTATTACTCTAATCTTCAGCTCATAGTGTATCTGTGTACAGCGCTGGATTTACACTAAGGGCACTCGGGGCTAATGCCCAGGGCGGCAAAATTCAGAGGGTGAAAAAAAAATATATATTAATGTTATCCAAAATTCTTTTTGTAGGTATTTTCCAAACGAAAATTATAAAAAAACAAGCAAATTTTTCGAAAAATTGAAAATATTTTTAAATCATTTTGTAGCATTTTTCGAAAAATTAATAATTTAAAAAAATTAAACTTTATCGAAACTTTATCAATTATATGCAAAATTTCGATAATGAGGCGGCATTTTTTACAGTGCACAGGGACGGCGCTAAGGTTGAACCCGGCACTGTCTGTGTATTAGATTATATGCAAATTCGTTTAGCCGTTTCTAGTTTGCAATTGGCATGCTAATGAAATTTATAATAACATTCCGAAGTTGGAAAGATAGAAGTGTCTGTTCGAATAATAGCTGTCGATTTTGGGCCTTTTCTTTTCGGTTGAGTCAAAGCCGTTTCGCCGGACAACTAAATGTGAGGGAGAGGAATAGTGAGTGCACCTGTCAGCGCATGCAGACACCGTACCTATTATAATATTTCCCTTTGTGGCACAGCACGATATCATGTACTATTATCATAGTATTTATTTTTAAATTTGTTTTACAGAGATAATTTATAGGATGTAGAGCGAATTTCGGTTCTCCAATCTCCAATTTTTTTTTTATATCAACAATTTTTTCAAACATGTGAGAGGATGTTGATGTCTGAAAATGCAAAAAATATATATGGTTTTAACTTCTCTTACAGAATCTAAAGTACCCACTTCTGACTGCACGTTGCAGTGTAAAGATTTAATTAACCCCAAAAATGTTGGTGTGAAAGAAGCTAAGGACAAACTGGTAATTTTTATAGTTAAAATATAGTTTTATTTACGGTAATTTAATTTTATAAAAATAGGTTTCATTGCTTTGAATATTTGTAATATTAGATACCTATAAGACAATTTATTTTACTGATGGGCTTACTTGTTTGCTTATTTTGGAGATTCGTCATATTCTTCAACTGGTTGCGGACAACACCGGATTTTTAATAGAAGACCGATTATTGAAACTCATCGATAAATATCCTTTGACTTCAAGAAACCTTTGCACTTTAGATTCTATTTTTATGGTAAGTCTCATTTTTAGTACATTTTTGAAGTGATTTTATACTATAAATTATATAGATTTATTTTGCTCATACTTTTTGCAGGCTTTGGAAATTCAATCAGAAGAAGATATCGAGTTATTATGTAAAATATTTCTAAATTATGCATTTTGCCCAATATGTGTCGGACTTGAAGCCGCGTCGGAGATGATGGAACCTTCAACATTTGCAGTATGTTAAGGATTCATTAATCATTGTAATTGTAAAGAAAAAAATATATAAATAAACAATAATAATTATAATGTTTATCGTAATGTAAATGTAAACACTTAATTTTATGGAAGTAAACTTACAAAAACGTAATATTTCGAACATGTATTATATTCTTGTAGTTCTTATAAGGTACTTACTTTATTCCAATAGAATCAATAGAGAGATTTGAGCGACAAACGCTTTTAAGTTTAGCTAAAATTATTTAATTTAAGCTAAAATTATTTTGCAGCACGGATTAAATAAGTAATTAGTAGGGTATATAAATAGGATCTTATTTATATTTTATCTAAAAGTCAATATTTTTTATAACTACTCTTTGGTAAATTATACTGATTTTAAATTCTATTTTTGGTCTCATTTATGTTGATATTTTTGCTAGGTTGAATCACAAGAAGAGTCTCACCATGTCAGTTTAAGCGCTAAAGTAATAAGAGGTAATTTTTTATTATATGAGGTTATATTTATATAATTATATACTTACATATTGTAAATATTGTACTGCTATTTGTCTTAAATGTTGCCGGCTACGGCTTCGGCATTTCATCAATTGGTCCTCTAACACTAAACTTGAATACGCTTTAGATGAGAGTGTGTGCAATGAGAAGCTTGTATTTATTCAGCTTTATGTATAATAAAAAGAAAATTAGTTCTTTATCCATATCACAAAATGTTTTATTTTTTCAAAAAACGCACTTTTTAAACAGACAAAAGTTGTTTATTTTGCTTCGTTTGAACCACTTTCTCTTTTATTTTGTAAGATTTCTAAAATGTATTATATAAATATTGCTACGGTATATAGACAAAAATTACTTGTTTAGGTGAAAGATCCTCCACAAGAGTACGTTCCAGCGTGGCTAGGAGCATATCTGCGAGCACTTCTCGCTCAATCCATGTGGGATTCAGGTAATATAGTATTAAGAAAGTAACAAATTTTTGCTCGAGGCTTCGCTGACGTAGTTATAATTACTTCAATGAAAAACTAGCCTATGACCTAATTCAGAATTTAAGCTATGTCTATTCTGAATTATACTTAAATCTAAGTTAATCCATACTAATCTATACTAATATTATAAATGTGAAAGTTTCTGATTATGGATGTTTGTTACTCTTTCACGCCAGATCGGCTGAACGGATCTGCATAAAATTTGGCATAGAGATAGATTATAGTCTGAAAAATGTACGGTTCCCGTGGGATAGATTTGTTTTTGTTTAGTGACGAACCCGAAGTGAAGTAATGGTATGTCGTTAGTTGGTTAATATAAGTATATTATTACGACAGTGCTAATTTGGGCTTCTCTCACTAGTAGCTTGTTACCATAGATTAGTACTAGACAGGAGCCTTTTGACGTGTCGGGATGAATGGTAACTTATAATACTTTTCGATTCATAAAGTATCATTTCAATTAATCACGTGGAATCACTTGATCTTACGAGTGGCACTCGCCGAATACTATCTACCCCGATACATCAAACATTCCAGTACGTCAAGGCTTTCAAAATATTGTGAAAACATACATAAGTATGAAGAACGCCTATCACTGCTAAATAATATTTTCTGCAGACCTCATGACTTGTCTGCTGCTGATCAGCTTCTGATGGCTGAAGCCGATGAGATATTACAAAAATGTGGCGATCCTAAAGGTAAAAGCAATACCTACTCGGCAAACGATTAACAATGCATGCCATTTTTGGATTTTTTGAACAGCATTTACTCGTATAATCGTTTCTTAAATACTGTATTGTTAACTTTAACATTACAAATATTGCAGTGAAAACATAGGTTGTGAAAAAAGTATATGAATTGATATATCTATCTATACTAATATTATAAAGAGGCGGAGTTTATTTGTTTGTTTGAACACGCTTATCTCAGCAACTACTAATCCGATTTGAAAAATTATGTTTGCATTACATAGCCCGTTTATTGAGGAAGGCTATAATAGGCTATATATGATTCCGGAAAAAATGTACGATTCTCGTGGGATAGATATCCCAAGGGATAGACCCGAAGCGAAGCGAGGGTGAGTCGCTAGTTTAAAAATAAAGTTACTTCAAACTATTTATTTATTGGGGTTATTAAATTATTTTAGGGTGTGTATTTATTTGATGTTTTTTATGTTTTATCTGTCAGTGACGTTGGTCGCCGCGGAGAGCACGTCGGAGGTGTCGGCGCGGCGCGCGCGCGGCGTCACGGTGGCGCCGCAACCTACGCTCGTGTCCCCTAAAAAATCTAACCCTTTCTTGTGCCCGCGTTAGTATTCATAAAACTTAAAAAAATAAATTGGAATTTTTTGCTATTTATTTAATTAATTGTAAAATAAATTAGGTGTGGTTACGGAACCAAATGATATTTCTTATATGAAAGCAACCAAATAGTTGCTTTGGTCTGTTTGAGCGCGCAGCCGCCGGGGCGTCATTGAGTGCGTAGTACTGGCGTTTCTGGCCGGTCAGTCCTACATAACCTGTATGTATGTATAGGTGTTATGCATTAATGCATTTCCCAACGTTAAAAAAAAGCCACAAATGTAATTTTTACTGGAGTCTGCGTCTAGGTTCGCGCCTGCTTAAGACGGACTATAGAGGTGGGTATCGCCGTAGCAGTGGACATGTACACATGTATATTTATTTATATTTATAATGTTTCAGTTGGACATAACTTGGAAATTGAATCAATGCAAGTGTTAACTGCGCTTAATGAATTTATGGCGGTATTTGTTCCACCCGAGAAAAAGAAACTTTATGACATATTGTAAGTAAAAACAATAACGAAATCCGTATATTACTTGAAAAGTTAATCGTTACGGATTATTTTGCTTTTTGTTTCGTAGGGACAGTGTTAAACCACCAGACTTTACTACTCCGTCACGTCAACTGACTTCTCAAGAAATAGAGCAATATTGGTCTCAGTGGCAGCAGTTGTTTCCAACTGAGAAAGATAGATTCTGGGATGGACTGCTCACTGGTCTTAATAATTATTTAACAGTTTTACAGGGTAGGTAATAAATATTAATTAAAGTAATAACAAAGTGTAAACATATTTCGGAATATATGTAAAACGTCTACAATAATTATTATCGGTCCTAATTTATTTAAATAGTGCCTGCTGTTATCTAACAGACAGATTTGTTCCGCGGGTCGGTGGAAAAATTGTTAGACAACTGTCACGTCGTAACGTCCGTATACCTCCATATATTTGTAGACCAGACAAGAGTGATAAAACAGCCACAATAACAAACGAACTTGTTTTTCATTGTGAATTTTTGTCACTCTTAAGTCAACACAATATAAATAAATAAATATATTGGGAAATTAACACACAGCACCAGTTCCATGGTAAGCTAACAAGGCTTGTGTTACCAGATGGTTGATAAACTACACATATATAACTTGAAATATATCCATATTATAAATATAAACATCCATGACTAGAATACACACATTCGCGCTCATCACACAAATGAATGCCCCTAGCGGGACTCGAACCCGCGGCCGTTGGCACAGCAAGTAAGGTCACTACAAACTGAGCCAAATGTGTCGTCAAAATAAAAACACAATATGTTTTTTAAGACTGATATATAATTTTATGTCTAGAATAGGCTATCAAAGTCTGATAAATCAACCTGTGAATAGGGCCTTAGTAAATATATGGATGAATTTAACTTATTACAAAAATAAAATATTTTTCTTTTCTTATTTATAGTTTTTCATTCGAAAACATTCTAACTCATATACTATGTAGGTATCTAATAGAATTAATCTTTGTACAGAACGGGAGCGTATCCACGAAGACGTGGTACATTTGCGTCAACGCAACGCCGCCTTACGACGGCTAGTTCGAGGCGCGTTGCCCGACTTGCCGGCACTACGCTACTCAAGTTCTCGTCCCGCCTTTACCGCGCCAGCTCCGGACCTCGCACCTCCACCTTATGCAAAATTGCCTCCCATATAAGTTTTTTATAAAATAAATTGTTGGGCTTAAATACTTGGTCTTTGCCATTACTAAGCCTTGAGAATATTAAAAAACATGAACAACACCAACACTCTTAAAAATAGTATTTATTTAGTGCCAACTGCCCTAATTGTCATAAGTATTTGTGTATTCTGCAATAATTTATATATAATATTTTAATTTTCGTGCAGATACATAGGTTACTATATATAACGTGGGTTAATATTTATTATTTTATATATCAAGACACGTGCTATTGATTACATTTGGTTGTTATCTTTTGCGCAAATGTACTAGATATTGTCCAAATATTATATTATTACTGAAAAGCCGAGAAATTCAAAGATTTGTATTTCATACTAATCATTAAGACGTACCTAAGGACGAACCCGAGTGAAGCGAGGGTGAGTCGCTAGTTAGTAATAAATATTTTAATAGACAATTAATACAGTCTATTAAAAACAAAACAGATTTAATTGTACACAGATACACTAAGAAATATAGCAAATAGTCAAATATACATTCAGATTTATATAATCCGCGTTAAAGTCTCCCCCTCTAGCCTGAGTCCCCGCAGTTGGGTTTGTATATCGATGCGGCCTACACCATTGACGCTTTTCCCTAACGGGAGGCTCTACTTGGCCGGTAAATGGCGTGAGGTGATATATCTTTTCGGTGTGTACGTTCTCTAAGTCGTACGTACCATCAGCCAGGTGTCAAAACCGTTTAACTTCACTATATTGTACCTACTCCTAAGTCTAAAATTTGATGTAATAAGGAGCTCGCAATGCTATAGCACCTGTATCCACTTAAGCCACTTCGCTACGGCCTATAAGTTATAACAGATATACTCGGATTAACCATCGGATAAGATGCATGCGAACTCACGTTAGCTAACTTAATACATTACATACTCGTAGGTATCTAATATCTACAATTTGATAAGAGATAAAATTGCATTTAAGTGAACGCTTACGGAGATAATTGCGAAAAACCGACAAAAGTAGCGAAATTTGTGCGTTTTGAGTGCGATGTCTCAAGAAATATTAATTTTAGAAAAAAATGTTAAATAATAATGATATGAAATATAATTTAAAAGAGTAGAGATTTCTATTGTTTTTTACATAGGTTATGCGGTTCTGGAGATATTGAATAAACAACGCCTTTTTTGCTTCAGTGGCGCCAATGCCTCTCGGGCGACCTTAAACTTTGCTTAAGGCTTAGAAAATCCCCTTTAACGAAGGGCAATATCAGGAAAATTGCTTGATTTTATGTAGATTTCGCCGTTTTTGTCATATATTGACTGGAATTACAATACACATGATTTGATGCACAAATGAAACTTAGAATCTTTCATGTTAAACATTAGATCTACCTAAATAATATATCGCAGTAACGCCGACGTCAATGTGCGCTTAGATTGCTCGTTTACACGATCAAAGTAGTCATCAAAACTATTTTGTCAAAGCAGGCTTTGAGAAAAGTAGAACATGATCCAAGTCCATTTTGATTAAAGTCCACAATCCACATCTATGTGCGCTTTGATTCCTAGTTTACATGATCAAAGTTGCGTCAAAGTAGTCATCGAAACTTTAACAAAGTAGACTAGACTGATCGTGTCAACACGGCTTTAGTTACATAATCTTCCTGCCCATTTCCCAATCACTTGGGGTCTAATTAAATGGGTCTGGGTCAATCTGTACTACTGATATGATTTGGCAAACGTTTTACAACCGGCCGCCTCACGCCTGCCTGACGTCAACCCTCCTTGGGAATGCTATTGTCTCTCTTTGTCTGAATGGTGTCGCGGAAGTCTTGTAATTATTATGCACTTTTGATTTTGTTGTCTTTTAAAACATTTTTATACTATTACTTAAATTTTTAATGTTATTTTCGAATATATTATAAAATAAAATTTGATTACACCATAAATTTTGTTTAGGTACATAATTTATGTAAGTTGTAACTATTTTGAACAATAGACATTGACGTTGCTCGTTTGACTTTTGTTATTGATGTTTAATTTTGCCAAATGCCAAGTGACTCCGACTCATAGAGTATATTGCTACATATATAAACTCCGACTCGTACTCGCCATGCTCGGTACTCGTCTGTCGTTCTAACATATAATCCAAGTTAATTTATATATATATTCTCTCATTTGCATTTACAACTTTACAGTAGTGATAATTATCTCAATAATTGTAAATTGTGACTTCATAAAAAAAATTGATCTTACTATTATTGTATTGGAATGAAGTGTAGTATCCGTTAAAAGTCAACCTTTTTCATTTTTGTAATATTTGTGAAAATTGCAAATAAAAATAATCCAAAATGTTGAAAGATTTGTTTCACCTTTTTTGTGCAATTCAATTCGCTTACGGCTGTTACTACGATTATACTTATGTTAGAATACCCAGTACTTCGACAACAGTGACCCCATTTGGAGGAAAGTTAAAATACTTGACTTATTTAAATGCGGTAAATGTTTATATTTTATTTGTCTAGATTATTAGAACCCATATATTTTATTACTTTACATGAATATTATTTGCAGTTACTACAAACAATATACTTCTTTGTGGCTCTGATCAATGATCTAATTGGCACTAATGAATCGGCACCATCTAACAAACCGCTCATCAGAAGATCTAAGGATATATTATTTAGTTCATTGGCATTTCCATTGTCACTATTTGTAGGTATAACCTTTTGGGGTATATATGCAGTTGACAGAGAGCTTATTTTACCTAAAGCGCTGGATGCATATTTCCCCACATGGCTAAATCATGTTATGCACTCTAATATTGTAATTTCAATAATTATAGAACTAGCTTCCTCATTTAGAATGTATCCCAGTAGAAAGATGGGTTTATCCATTTTAAGCACTTTTATGCTATGTTATGTAGTTTGGATTCATTTTATTTATTTTAAAACGGGTAGTTGGGTGTATCCAATTCTTTCTGTGATAAATTGGCCTTTAAGAGTAATCTTTTACTTGTTTAGTCTTGGATTTGTTGTTGGTTTGTATACTTTAGGAGAATCTTTAAATACAGTTGTATGGTCTAAAGAAGTTGAATCAACTGTAAAATCAGGAAAGAAAAAGGCTAAATAATATAATTTTAAATATGAAATGAATGAAATTTTTGTTTTAGTATTTAAGGTGTGAATTTGGTTTGAACTGATTATATAATATATTGTGTTCTGCCTGTTTCATAGATTAACTAGATTTAGATAAGATAATTTTAATGAAGCTTGATATGAAGTTGCTCTATGCAACTAATTAGTACATTAATTTTAAAACCACATTTAATTTTTCTATTATTTTTATTTGTTCCATCATTCCACTCTTGTGATTTTATATTATATTCTCTTTGATATAATATTATAATTTTTATCAAAATTTTTGTACATGTTGTCTGTTGTATAATTTTTTTAGAAATGTCTACTGCATTTAATTTAAACACCAGTGAACTAATATCAAATAAAGAAATATAACTAATGTTAATCTATATTGATACTATTGGTATATAGATTGTTTTATACAATTTAAATTATAAAGAGAAATATATATTCATAGTTTGTACAATTAATTGTAATAAAAATATTAAGGTGTTCTATTAATTTATTTCATACATCAATAAGGTTTTCGTTTTAAAGTATGTGTAATAAAATAAATTATCAGTTAATGGTACACCATTTCTTTAAATATATTTTTGTATATTTGAGGATTACTTAGCATTGAATTATTTTTATTTCTTATATACCTCTTGAAAATAAATATATGTAATATTGTAAGATTGCTTGCCTTGCCTTTTGACTTTGGCAGCCAATTATGGTCAAGTAAGAAGCTATCTTATAAAGCATTAGTAAAAAAATATAAGTAGATGCTATCATTCACTCCACTCCTAAGTGGCCTTAAGCATTTTTATCAAAGTACGTAATTACGAACTATGTAAATTAAAGCGCTTACCTTAGAATTAATTACATACCTATGTTGATCAAGATATTGGTTGGAAAATATTAACCTACCTATATTTGTTTATTATAGATATACAATAGTAGTTACATATTTGTTTTATCGTTAAGGAATTTATTCACGACAGCTTAGAAGAAAGGATATTATGAAAAGACACATCTTTGTGCTTATGGATTTGTCAAGTTGCTTTAATTTTGTTATAGTTTGTAGTAAATTGAAGCAATATATAATAATAAAAATCTTTTTTCTTATAATATATGTTTTATTTCTAATCCAACTAAAGAAATATAAGAAATAAAACAATTTAATCAATTTTAATAAACCTATATTACATTCACATTGAATTAGAATAGTGTAAAGAAACATGGAATCCACGTGATATAAAATATAAAATTGCGAATACTTTATTATGTATCACTATGATTACGACTAGAATATAATGTCTTTATGACAAAAAATAATATACTACATTAGTTCTAAATGTAACACTTACATATAATAAACCAGCAGCAGCCTTTTCAACTACTTATGCCATGGTATTAACATTAAGTACTTAGTTTTTGACCAGAAAAAGAAAATTTGAAAGAAAAGATTTAATCTTAGTAGCCAATAAATGTATAACAAGGCAACATTATAAGATAACATTATAAATTTGATTTTGTTCAAATATTTATAACAAATTAAATTCAGTAGAAGTAACACATTTAAACAATTAGGTACATTAGTTTTTTGGCTGGCAACATGAAACTACACGATTTTCATATCTAAATAAGTGCATAAATGTACTAAATTAAAAGTATGTATATTGTAAAATTCTTTAAATTATTAAAAGTATAATAATGTGTCATAAACAAAAAAAATGTATACAAAAGGATTGTGTAGAAATAATTTATACAAGTGAAATATTTGAATAATAATAAATTTTAAATATAATAATTGTTACTGAACAAAAATTGTTATATTGATGTTTTAAGTATTTTATGCTCGTCATTGTACTTGTGCTTATTATATTTGAATGTAAATAAAAAAAATAATTAAAAATACAAAAAGTACATCGCCAGTCATTGAATACTATAATATAAATATAATATACATTAGGTACAATTACAAATAGTAAAAGTAGTCTTAAAGTAAATTATGTTTTATGGTTACCTATAAACTATAATCATAGTTCTGGTATCATTTTAAGTATTATATTATATAGCTATATTTTTTTAAATGTATAAAAAACATCATAAATGCAATATTGTCAGTAATAAAATAAAAAGAAAAAAAACGGTGATATCCTGATAAGTATTTTGAGACATAAAGCAATTATTAAAAAGACTACTATATTTTAAATACAACTATCTTTTCGGATTTTGTCGCGGATTTATTTGGATTTTTGTTTCCCGACGTTTCGAATGTTTTACAGCACTCATGGTCACGGCGAGAGACTGAGGTGTTACATGTCTCGAAGGTATAGTTGTTACAGACTAATTAGTGTTTACGCATTGACTTTACGCCTGGATTTATTCATGCAGTACATTGGGATTAGCACTATATTACATAATTCTTTAATAGTCGTAAAAACACAATTTACTAGGAAAACAAAAATGCAAGTCATTTTTATGTAACTGAACTAAATAAGAAACAATTTATGTTGAATTATTAAAAAATAAAAACATATCTTACAAAAGTAAATTGGTAAAATAAAGATATACCTATTTTGGTTTATTACACATAATATTATGCTATTACTGTGCTTGCAATTTGCATAATTATTATTCTAAGCATACGTTATGCCGGCTGTACACACTCGTCGAGAAACCCCCGCCTCGCCTCTGGTGCTTTCAAGGCTCTCGGCCGCGCCTACTATGCATACACTAGTATCAGTTGAACTGCAGACACCGTTCATCGTGCCTGCCATGATGGACTTGGATATTGCTGCTTCCTCACATAACCACAGCAGGCAACTAAACAAACGAATGTGTACATGTTTGGTTCTTGTTTTCCTCGCGAGACCGAGTCGAAACAGAGCGAGACGATATGAGAGCTCCAAATACATATTTGCTTTCAACCAATCTCGTGATGTCTCGGCGAGTGTGTACAGCCAGCATTATTGTTTCAACGAATGTGCAGCATTTTTTGTATTTGTTATATTATCACACGAGACGAGGCCTAAGCGTGGACATCACCGAGTCCACGACGTGACGGAGCTACGTTTTGATCTTTCTAGAAGTTTTCGCGTGGCCATTTTTCCAGGTGTTGTTTACTTCTCCGTTCATAGTGCGCACTCCGAATGACGTCATCTTGCTTTTCGTTTCATACAAAACGTCCGAGTCCGTGTCTGTCTCTGATATATCTTTGTTCGCGACTGCAATTGACAAATATATTAATTAACACATTTTTATCGATATTGCGATACACATTATTTTTGATTCGACTCCGTTTCTGTTTTTGAGGAGATTCGAGCTAGACGTAACTTAGATGGCGTTATTGGGAATGACGTCGGATAAAATAATTGCAATTTTTAATATATTTTTGAAATATCACAATAGTATTAGTATTTCTTATAATAATATGAAAATATATAAAAGAAGTTAAGTTATAAAAATTATTATATTATATATTATTTGCGTTTCACCGCGGCTCTGCCATAACATTAATGTACTACTATATATTTATAAATACTGCCTCGGTGGTGTAGTGGCTAGCATGTACGGCTGCACACTCGGAGGTCCTGGGTTCGAGTCCCGGATCGGGCCAAGTTTAGTTATTGAGTCTTTCTGTATAGTAAGTCTCAGTAACAGCCCGGAGTTGGGAAGTTGGCGGTGTTTCACCCCCGTGCCTCGGAGAGCACGTAAAGCAGTCGGTTCTGCGCCTTAACTCTCACTGGTCGTGTCGAGCAGTCGTCCCACCGGAGTATGAGAGTGCACGTTGTGTCTGCGCGTACACTTGAGCACTATAATATCTCCTGCGCAGTTGGTTAGTCTCAATGAGATTGGCCGCCGTAGCCGGAATCGGCTAGGAGAACATCATCATTTATAAATATGTTACACTTATGTGTCTGTATATACAAAAAGAAACTATGAATATGTGACTAACTTATTAACACATAGCTTTATGATTTTTGACAATTAAACCCCTCAAGCGGTGAAACGGAAGTTCAAAATTTGTATGGAGAAATCGTATATGAGAAATATTATATCAATTCGAAAATTCGCAAGATTAATGCTGTCATTAAATAAACACGTTCCTTGTTTTTTTTCCAAAAAACATCCCTTTCAGGAGATGAAAAGAGGTAAATAGTTTAAAAATCAACATGGTGTCATTTTGAAGGTTTGTCGGGACGTTAATTACGTGTCATCAATTTTGAAATTTATTACACTTAAACAACAAAAATTAAATCAAGTAAAACAGACTCGGCGCGAGCGAAGGCAAAAGCTAGAAAGTTATATTTACCGTAAATTTTCATTAAAATCTGTTCAATAGTTTTTGTGTTAAGTGTAACGAGCATACATACGTATGCGCTTTTGTGCTGAAATGGGAGCGTACGTACAGGGCTTCTCCTCGTGGTCGGCGCGCGGCAGCAGGCGGTAGGCGGGGCGCGCGCGGGCGCGGCGCGGCGCGCAGGCGCGGCGGCCGGCGCGCGCGCAGGCGTAGGCGCCGCCGCCCGCCGCGCACAGCGCCGCCACGCCGCACACGCCCGCGTACACCACCGACCAGTCTACGAGGTTACGAAAACAATGCTCACTATTATATTACTTGTCAAGGGAGAAACGTGTGGACGAATCATTACATACTATAAAACGAAGTCGCTTCCCGCTGCCTGTCTGTCCCTATATATGCTTAGGTCTTTAAAACTACGCAATCGATTTTGATGCGGTTTTTTTAAAAGATAGAGTGATTCGAGAGGAAAGTTTATATGTATAATACATGCATATTATAGTACAGAAAAGCCGAGAAATTCAAAGATTTGTATTTCATACTAACCGTTAAAACGTACCTAGGGACGAACCCTAGAGGAGCGAGAGGGAGTCGCTAGTATACATATAAATATACATATACGTGTAACGATAACATTGAGGCAGGTTTGAATGACGAGTAAATTTATGTAAGTCGTCAGCGACATGGTCACGTGATGTGTTAACGCTAACGTTCGTGCCGATAGATGTTAAAACCAGATAAATGTAAACAATTTCATTTACAAATTTTTATTTAAGATGTATCTAGATAGTGAAATGTAATGAGCGTGGTAGTGGTATAGTTTCCGTCACGTAAAAAGAACGCTGGCCGTTTACCTGCGCACTGAGCGATTTATCGATAAAATTGCTTGTATGAAGAGGGCGCGACGGGGAAGTACTTATTATGATTTTAAATAAAAGAATTAACACTTATATTATAAAAACCTAGCAACTCACCCTTGCTCCGCTCGGGTTCGTTGCTACTTACGTTTTAATGTTTAATATAGATTTCTCAGAAATGAGATATTTTCGTGTTTGGTTTTGGTGTTTTTTCTGTGATGCGATAACATACAGACAGACAAAAAATCTAAAAACTATAGATTTTTACCTTTGTATCGATAATAATGTCTATTTCATTATGATTTCCTAAAAAATATTTAATGTACATAGGCTTATTTCCAATGTAATTATTATTTTAATATTTTATTATTATTTCAATATTTTCAATCATTAGGCTTAGTTCCAATTTTATGACATGTTTAGATAGCTAGTACTTTAGACTGCATTCATGCGCAGACAAGTTCCTTCGATTGTCGCTCAGCGTTCTTTTTACGTGATGAGACAAATTCGTTGGCTCACAATTACAATTTACATATGTTACAATTGTAGTACTTATTTAGTTATTAATGCTACAAGGTTCTATGTGTCATTAGCTACAGTTTTGCAAAAACAAACCACTAGACAGCGGCACTATAACTACAAAATATTCAATTTTACATAGTTCTATGTTGTTTTTTTACGATAGCAAAATAACGAAGTTCTATGTAAAAATTACTAAACTTCATTAAAATTAACATAGAACCTTGTAATAGTGAGCCAACGAATCATGGTAGTATATGTGTATCTCGTGCAGACCGCAGTCCGGCTGCGCGTCGGGGCGCCACAGCGTGAAGAGGCTCTGCATCCAGAAGGCGTCGCAGCGGCACGTGCGCGTGGCGGGCTCGCAGGCGCCGCGCCCCGAGCACGCGCTGAGGCAGCGCCGCGAGCGCACGCGCGCGCCCCCCGCCGCCGCCGCCGCGCCGCGCGCCGCGCCCAGCGCCGCGAGGCCCTCCATGGCTGCGCCCTGTCCGTGTCGCACCAAACATTTATATATTAGAGTTATTACTTAGGTACTTCTTTTGGCACGTTTCGATAAAAATATAAGAGTAAAATTTTTACGATGCGCGCGCACACCGACAGCCACACGATGAAGTTAGCTGCATTCCTTTTACGAACGGAGAGTTGTGACCATATGTAAATCGAGAATTACCGTGTAACGCGGGTAAAAATACGGTGTTCCTAGATAAAATTACGGTAGATTAGCTAAAAGTGTATCGGGTAAATTACCGTCTAATTTTTCAAAGAAAAAAACAACATTAAGAACCGAATCAAGTCCAAATATTACTATTTCTTTTGATTGATTGCTGTGTGATATTATATTTCCTTTTCTTGTTTTGCTTTAAAGTACCCGAAAATAGTTTTTTTTTAATGTAATTTATTCATGTTTTACATAAAATAAAAGAAAGTACTAATGCTAGAAAAAAGAAACCATTGTAATCAGTTCTCAATTAAACAGCTTTAAATTATTAAATCAAACATAAAAAAAACTGAAAATATCAAATTAATCAGCTAAACTAAAATACCTGCTTTCTACTAAAATACCCGTCAAAATTACCCGCCATCATAAATCGCCTAAAATTACAAGCTTTTCGAGTAATTTACCCGCCGATTGGTAGCACTGTGGGCTCTCAATGTTATAATTGGCTGAAAATGCGCTCGTATTCTGCATTTGAATGCGGCAGCAACTTCTTTATGTGCTCTTTAGCGGAAACGAAAGCACACTCAGTATGAATTTTACGCATTATGGAATGAAATATTTATAACAGTATTACGGTGAAATATGACACGGTAATGCCATATTACCTTGACGGTAGATTAACACCAAATTACGGTGCATCTACGGTAATTACCGTGTACATAACGACACCGTGACACTGGTTGTGACATACGGGATGAAATCTTTAAAGCTAAATAGCTATTTTTGTTCTGTTACGCCAAACAAATATAACTTCTTACATGCATACATAACCGTGCGAGCGAAACCTCACTCGATCTCGATCGATAGGGTGTTCTTGGCAAATATCACACAATTTTTTTCCACAAGAAACAGTGTAAAATTGCGAGAAAACTGGGTTAATTTAAGTAAAAAATGTTTCTCCACTAAAATATGGCTAAACCATATATAATAATTTTCAGTGCGGTTTAATTATGCACTGATAGCTATTTAAATATTTTATTGTTTGATTTTCTCATTTTGATCCTATGCTATGTCATAAAAAATCTTAAATACTAGTTTTAACTCGAAAATTCGACAAAATTGTCTCACGTAATTATTGGATGCTCCCTTATTCTTATATATCCATTCATAATAGGTAGATTTAAATTACCTTTTCCGACAAAAAGAAGACAATGAACGTATTGCCTGTGTCTATCTCTCCACGAATTTCTGTGACGTTGACTGTTATACCGTCTTTGAGGAGTAACGTCATCTTCTGTATGAAGGAGTCGAGTTGACTCTTTGTGAAAGTTGAAATGGGTATATTTAGGGTCATTTCTAGCATTTTCATGTCCAAAGGATCTGGTTTCACTTGGACACTCACGGTGTCTCTATCAGACTCGCCCTGGTCGTCCGTTACTGTCAGTTCGAAGACGTATCTACCTGCTTCTATGTTGGTTAACTGTAAGAGTAAAATTATCCAATAAAACACAGGTACCTAGTTAATTAAAAATAAGAAATCTTTAATATACAAATTAATATATCACCGTGTTTCATGTTAATAAATAGTTATATATAGGTTTTGTATGGAAAGGAAGACCCAGCAATGGGACGTTAATAAGGCCTAAACACACAGGTAGTCTATAATAGAATATTAATTACTCACCATAAGTACTGGTTTGGTGTCAGATTCTAGTATGACAGTGCCAGCGGCCAGCCCCGACCCGGAGCGCGTCCATTTCCACGACACGATACGAAAATCGTCTGACGACTTTGATCCGTTCAAAATGAGCACAGACAAAGGCAAATTCAACACTTGGTCGCCGCCCGCGTCCGCTTTGGGTGGACTATTTCTATCTGTTATGTTTAAATATGAATTAAAATAATATTTTTTACGTTTATATATACATACATACATTATAGTACATTTAAATAATAATTATACTATATTAACATTTTATTTTTAAAACCAAAAGCTGTTAACGGCAAACAAAACAAAAAACAAAACACAAACGATTTCAGCATGCATTGATATTTTAAGAGGAGGAAAATAAATTTATGATTGCATGATAAATGAACCAAAGGAAAGGACCCGTGCTAAGAAAAATAATATTATAATTTATAATACACTAATAACATGTTAATATTTGTGTGTACAAACTACAAAACAAGGAAAATTCTCGAGAATTCTCATTTGTTTTAGTGTAAATATGATTTGTAAAAAATATGGAATGTCTTTTAAAACGCCTATTACTTGAATATAATTTCAATTATCTATACTAATATTATAAATAGGTAGTTTCTTTGTTTGTTAGTTTGTTTGTTTATTTATTTATTGGAACGCGCTAATCTCAGGAACTACTAATCCGATTTGATTTATTTTTATGCATTAGATATCCCGTTTATTGAGGAAGGCTATAGGCTATATATCATATAATATATAGTCTACCTATTCCATACCAACCGTTAAAACGTACCTAGGGACGAACCCGAGCGAAGCAAAGGTAAGCAATAAATAATAATAATCTTGTAAACCAAAGATACTACATACATACATATACAAAAATATGAAACCTATCGAATATAAACTTACTTTGTGTAACCGTGACGGTAACATTATCGGTCGCCGAATTGCCATTATCATCAAGTACTGTGAGGGAGAAGACGTACTGTCCCTTAGTGAGGGCGGTCGCGTTCGCTATGGACTCATTAAACCCGACAATGTTAGAGTTATTGGGGCCAGAAAGACACCGCCACGTGTACGCCACGATCCTGTGATCGTCGTGGGACGCCGAACCGTTCAGGGTTATCCAGGTTTGTGGTAGCGATATGAACTGTAATGTAGAAACCAAGACCCATGCAGTGTTTATATATAGCTACCTACATTTTTGATGGCAAAAGATGTGTCATGCGTCTAAATATGAATATACTAAACTTCTTTTGTATTTAAAGTGTGATATGCAATCGTAAATCCTTTTAAATACGTTATATAGTATTCTCTGAATAAATCGATGGTATTCAGTGGTCCTTCTAATATAAATGATTAAGGATCAAATTAAATTAGATATAGAAATTGATCAAATAATGTTTTAAAAGAAGTTTAATGAAATTACATATTTAGTCATTTCGCATAATATGAGTAATATTTGATATTATTTGATATCGACACAATTTATAATTGAATTATTAATAATAAAAGTTTAATTGCTATCCATGCTTAAGACATCCCCAGTATATATTAAGATATTTCAGAGACATACATGTTAGGTAGTTGTTATATTGATCACTTTATTTACATCTAATTTTCATTCTCATGCTGTTAATCACCATTACCATTTAGGATGTTATTATTAGTGTTTTGTATTTTGTAAAATTTTATATTACTGCAGAAGCAATGTTGTAAATAATGCTTGTACTTTTTAATCAAGCAATGTTTTAGAAAATGTAGCTATAAATAATCATTCTGTGTATATAAAATAAAATTTTACAGTGTATCTACCTTACCTTATAAGACTTAAAGATTAAATATTATCTATACAGATAAATAAAATAGAAGTGTCTGTTTGTAATGTCAAAATAACTGTAACAGTTTTTTAAGAGACTAAAACTTATTTGATATGATTCTGAGTAATCAAAGAGTTTTTCTTGAAGATAGTCACCAGCACAGATGACATACAAATATTATACTAGTACAGACCCCATCCCGTACAAATCAACTCTATATATTTGTTTGCTAGAATAAGTAATAAATTTAAAGATTTGGTTCATTCGTAAATTATCAAACTACATATTTTATTTTATAAATAAATATGAAGTAAAATATTATGATAAATATTGCAAAATTGATCCTTAACATATTTAAGTTAATTTAATTGATTTTAATATATTTTAAGCGTGATAAACAATTCATAAAAAGTAAAAGCGCCATCTGTGAATATGCACTATAAACTCATCTGATTGCTGAAAATCAGTAAAATATTATCAAGAGCATTTTTTTTTTCACTGAGAAACAGTATATAAGCAATATTTTTTTGAAACCATAATATTCATTTCTGTGATCTATTTTTATTCTTTTATTAATTTAACTTAAATAACACAATAATACATGTAACGCCATCTATTGACATTAATTGTGAACTAATTTCGTAATTAGTCCCTAAATTGAATTATGTTAAGGAGTCATTATATATAAATAATATTGAATTAAATTAAAAATTAAATAAAACCCCGACATGTAATTCGCCATTTTGTGGTGGCGGCCATCTTGGATTTGAAATTTATCATAGTGTATAAGTATTCTATAACTAGTAAGTCAAGCTTTCGTTCGATACCAATATTGAGGGAGTTGTGAAAAAATATGTAATCCGCCATTTTGTAGCGACTACCATCTCGGTTAATTTTCATCAAACATAGCTAAGAACACTCCCGACTAATTCATCTTTCAAAGAAAAAAAACAAAATCAGTTCATCCGTTCAGGAGCTACGATGCCAGAGACAGACATACATAGACACGTCAGACTTATATACCTCGTCGTTTTTGCGTAGGGGGTGAAAAAAAAACCATGAAGAGTACTGACCACGTCGTCGCCCGCGTCGGCCACGGGCGGCGTGTTGGTGGGCGGCTTCACGAACACGTGCACTTCCGCCGTCGACGTCTGCCCCGACGAGTCCGTCACCTTCAGCACGAACGTGTACACGCCCTCCGACAGGTTCGACAGCTGGAGTCGTCACACTTATATCACTACATAGTATAAAACAAAGTCGCTTCCCGCTGTCTGTCTGTCCCTATGCATGCTTAGATCTTTAAAACTACGCAACGGATTTTGATGCGGTTTTTTTAATAGATAGAGTGATTCAAGAGGAAGTCTTAGTATATAATTTGTTAAGTTTTTGTATACATTGGCTAAAATATAACAATATTTGTTGGAGGTGTCGAGAAAAAATAAGCCGTCTGGGAGCTTTCAACGAAAGCGCTGCCTAAACCCTTTGCGATATAACAAAATGATGTATGATGGAATTGTGTATCTTATATAGGTCTACAGAAAAGTCCGCGATGGCATATGTCTATCTTTTAAGGATAACATACCATATCCATTTTAATTTAAAACGTACCTAGGGACGAACCCGAGCAAAGCGAGAGTGAGTCACTAGTGTTTTATACACCAAAATTGGCCAGTCAGTGTGTTTCTTAACTTCTTTAGGTTGCAATGGTTTTATTTTATGCATTACTAGCAAAACAAAAGTACAAAAAAACAAACTTTTTTCCTTCCCTTTACAATAATGTCTGCCCAATTTGTTAACATTTATGATTACTGCTGCCTTGGATAGTTGTTTTTGAGATTAGCGCGACCAATCAAACAAACAAACTCTGCCTCTTTATAATACTAGTATAAATGTGAACACGTAGCTTATTTTTTATCTGCATGCCCACCACTTGAGCGGAGTCATGGGCAAAAACTAGGATTATAAAAGCGAAAGTGTGTGTGTTTAAACAAACACACAAACGTGTGAGTGCGTGCTTTTGTGTTCTTTATATTATACCTAAAAAGATTTAGAGTCATACATATTTTAGGCTAGCTCAAAGGCCATTTTTTATTGACGTGTCATACCACGTGAGCAATAATAAATTTCACAAAAGTTCACCTGCAAGTATGGTGAATGCGTGTTCTGCATGTCGACAGCTTTGTTTTCGTCCTCAGTGGACTTGGTCCACTCCCAGGAGGTTATCTCGTGATCGTCGGTGGAGAGGCTGCCGTTGAGCGTCAAGTTGTTGTTAGGGAGATATATGATGACATCTTGACCTGCAATGGATGGGTACATGTTTATTTATTCTCTTTATTTAATTTAATTTATTAATTTATGGTATGCGAAGATAAAACTTTATGAACTTTTGTGGTGTCGTGGTTACTTTTGTGGTGTTAAATGACAAAAATACTTTTGTGTATCAGTCGCTATACATTTCAAATAGTTGACAAAATCCAAAAGTTCTAACCTCACTGGGTTGTTATAAATTGTTAAATAATTTCTTTAAGAAAAAACTAAATACCCGCATTGGCCTCTGGTGGATAGTCCGTGTGGTTCAAAACAGTTATATTAGCTGTGGTTGAGTTTTTTACATGGTCGGAATCCTCGACAGTCAGTTTGAATGTATAATTTCCTGGTTGTTTCAGATCCTTCAGCACTAGAGTGGGTCTATCTTCTAAAGGAGGCTGGTAGCCGATGGGACCCGCAGATAATTCCCAATGCCAAGATATTATTGCATCATCATCCTGATAAGAAAACATCACTAAAGTTGAGTTTAAATATCTACATAATTTTAAGAATTGAAATAAAACTTGAGAGCATAGTGAACTTTAAAAATACACCTTTGATTGGACTTATTTTTAGGAAATTGTCAAAACAAATCAAATGGGTTCCATTTTTTCTTAATATATGAAATACATTTACACACACCACTTATAGACATATATGTGAGGTGTCTATGTGAGACTCACCGGCTGGCAAAGCAAGTACTACCCACTAAACCCAATAAAACCCAAGTTTTACCGTATGGTGCAAATACAATCAATTGTTTGCACTTCTGAATATAAAATCCCACTGTTAAACTATGCAAATTTCTAACATAGCATCTACATACATTTTCGTCACCATTATAAGAAGAGTACAGACTAAAGTTGGAAAACACACTAGAGAAATAGTATAAAGATAAAGAAATATAAACATTGTGCTTGTTCTTACTTTGCTTGCACTGCCATCCAAAACAGCTCCTGAATTGGGTAATTTGACCGTTTGAGACTGTGGTGTTATAACAACTAATGGCGGAGTATTGATTCTTTTTGGCGGTAGTACAGTCACATTTGCGAAAGCCTCACCATATGAGTTTGTACCATTCACTGTTACCTTGAACCGATATTGACCTTCTGTTAGATCCTTCAATGTCATTGTGCCACCATTTTGTATCATATTACCTAAAATAAAGCGAATTGTATTTATTTTATTTGTGATATTCACTGACATGTTAATAGACGTATAATATATTATTACTCAATTCAAAGATCTGATAGTCAAAGATTCGGCTGCAAGATTGCTGCGTTAATCAAGTATTTAATGAAAACCAAATTTTTATATACAATTATAAAAGGGGCAATATGTTTTGGCCGGATTGCCTATTAAAACGTGACCGCTAGCAGTTTTAATTAAATTAATAATAATTGACTTTTTGGAAAAAAGCCATAGCCATTAGCCATTCATCAATAGCTAGTGTTCTCAACCATGTTTTTATTTTTAATTAAATACTCAATGAATGTAGCAATCTTGCAGCCAGATCTCGTACTATAATGTTGATACATGATAGTACAATTATATTATGTTTAAATTGTTACCTGTAAATCCATCTTTAGGTTGATCCACAAGAGTCCAGGCATAATTGTAGTGAGTCATAGCTGATTTCTCATCAGGTATAGTGTATGCTGCTAAAGTTACTTCATTATCTGGTAGTTGAACCTATAAATTCAAATAAAAAGTAAGTTAATTTAGTCAATTATATATAAAAATATATATATTAGTAAGTATATTTGTAATAGATCTGGTAAATATAACATCTTTTTTTTGATGTCAGATTTTTTAAGTTTTTATTTTTTCATTTTTAGTGTAGACATAATAGCAGTAAAGTAAGAAGAAAGTATTTTAATAAAGTATTCACTTAAGTCATTAAGCCGAAGTAAGTTTGATGTCAATTTTTATATGAAGACTGACAAACTAAAATTCACTTATAAAAGCGAAGCATAGCATAATTTTTAGTGTTACTAATAATAGTACCACTAAAAATTATGCTTTAAAATCTAATTCTAACGTGTTAGGCTTGTCAAATCAAACAAAATAAGCCCCAGCTCAAAGTATCTACTATTGGCCATAGAAGAGTTCCACCTATCCACCTTTTGATCTTACCATCAGATCAGGTTGACGATACCGAATCACTGCATTATCAACGGCAATAGAAACTTGCAAAGTATATAAGACAATTAGATGTAGGTTAAATTTTCATTAGCAATTTTTCCAGCCTTAGGGGTGGTATTTTTTTTGAAATTTAAATGGGACAAAACTGGAAGTATACACTTTCAAACAAAATAAAAAATGTCATAATCGGTAAAAAAATGACCTTAAGGTTGTGAGTAAACAAACATAAAAAGAAAATACAGCTAAATTAAGAACCCCTCCTTTTTGAAGTCGGTTGGCAAAATTATGAATTGTCACTCCAATTCGAGTAACAAAATCTATCTAGCAATCTTTAAATATCAAAAATACCTACCTCTTTTGATGCAATGGAAACTGTCAAATTCTGTATTGAAACAGGTTTATCTGTATTTAGCTCATCTGATTTTATGTCTGAAATTAAGTTGTTACTTTTTTTGATAGGCTCAATAGGTATGGTAGGTCCTTTGGAAAATGGCCTTCTTGGAACACAGGCACCCTGGTTGTTCTCTTCTGTGCCCATTATACATTTGCAAATACCACTTCCTGTTTTCATACCTAACGGTATACATTCTGCATTGTAAGGACAATCATCAGCTCCCACTTCACATGAATTTTTCTCTAGATATCTTGAGGCCAACATCATCTCATTTTCATTACTATCTGTGTATTTGTCAAAATTTTGCTGTTCTTCGTCATCCATGTTAGGTAGGTTATTAATAAAATGCGTTAGAAAATTGGATTCGTCATCATCGGCTACATGATTGTGATGGTTAGAATATGTGTATATTGACTCCTCTTCCGGTGAAAAATTATTATTTAGTTCTCTAAAGTTAGATTGATCTAAAATTTCTGACCAAATTTCTAGAAAGAAAAAATAATTGAGTTAAATGAATAGTAAGTCAAATTATTTTATACTAATTTGTCATATAATAGTATATCAGGTATAAAACTCATCAACAGATGTATTATATTTGAATGTCTTTTAGGCAATAAAATAAATTTAATATCAAATCACATTAAATTATAGTTTATTCAAATAGTCATTTACAAGCACTTTTGAATTGTCACTTTTTACATTATTAAAATTTAAATTAAATGTCAGTATGTAATGTAAGTCTGTGATTAATCTAACACCAACTCGGATGAGAATGTAAATAATTGAATGTTATCTAATATTGGTATTAGCAGACAAATGCATTTGATTCTTGTGATAGCCTTGCAAGTATTCAATTCAACTACTTCATTCTCATCAAGTATCATAACATCTTATTAGATTATTACTTCAAAGTTAGTTATAGCTGTGTGTTAATGAGAAAGTTTTGATAATATGTGTGATAGTATAAAAATATAACATTTTAAACTAAAATATATGACATTATTATTCAATCATTTCACTTTATGGAGTTATTAATTTACACAATAGAGTAAATGTAAAATATATTGAAAATATTAATTTCACTCTTACCATTTGGCAAAACTGGTTTAACAAGAATCATTGATACATGTGTATCCCACTTATGGCCACCTAACCTTGGTAAAGGCAAACAGAGCTCGTCGCTCACACATTCCACATGGAAGCATCTGGATTCCACAATGAACACAATGTTACATGTATCAGCAAGGCAGCATGCCATTACACATTGTCTTAGACCCTTTAAATCTGTTTTTTCAGTATAGTTACCAGCAGTTAAGTTACCTAAAATGTCACTTGTTGATTAATTATCAAAAATAATTTAAAATATTTTTAATAAATATAAGCTTGGATGCTTTTTTAATGTAATGTAGCAGTAAATCTTATTTTTAATATTACAATATAGTGTTAGAATTTAGATTTATTCTTAATGTGTTCTAAAACATAAATAAGTACGTACCCACTGGCATATGGTTATCAAAATTTTTGGGATATAATTTAGGACATTTATTTTTCTCATAGTTTTCGTTCCATGACTTGCTGTAGAGTGATAATGCTAACTTTATTTGAATACAAAGTAACAGAGAAAAAAGTCTTAATATACTATACTTCATTATTACTTATATTTAAATTCACCAGCTACAATGTTTCTAAACAGCTAAAGCGTTTGAAACATAGTATAAATATCTAAGCATAATTATCTAAGCCAGAGGAAATAAGAGGTTAAAGATCCGTAATATTTGCGTGGGTGTATAGATAAAATGACTTATTAAATGAATAATAACAAATCTGCAAATATTTCATAATTTTATTTCACGATAGATTGAAGTTTTTTTGTCATTTATATTTGGCACTTGACAGCTCGCATTGACAACTTCAATTTTATAAAATTATAGATAAAAATTAATTTGTTACATAATTTTATCTGTTTTATTATTTTGTCTTATCTCAAAAGATTACTCGAAAGGAGGGCGCTACACATATGATCTATTTACATTCAGTCTGAGGTTAAGCTATTTATTATGATATCTTTTTTGTACCTAGTTTTTTGCTTCTATTGTGTACGCATCTTACCTATGCAATATATTATCCCTGAAAGTTAGACCAGCTGAAGGAAGAATTGAGAAAGAGAGGTGCATCCTGTGGTGGTCCTCAGCTGACTGACTGATGGATCAAACACAGCTTAAACCACTGATCGTAGAAACGTGAAATTTGGAGGACGTATTCCTTATATGACGTAGGCGTCCGTTAAGAGAAATTTAAAAAAAAATAATCCAATAAGAGGGTAAAACAGGGGATGAAAGATTGTATTAAGCTCTGTCATTCATAACGTGAAATACACAGAAACAAGTTTAGTATATAGGACGCGGCCAAAAATGGTATTTTTGGATAGGGGAGATCAAATATATAAAATTATTTTGAGGAAACGAAGGAGTTAACAGTTATGGAGACTTAAAGTTAGAACATTTTTATTTTCCATACATTTCTATACCTAAATAAGTAAGTACAAAAGATTTTTACAATTTCACTAAAAACAATAATGTAAACAAAATTCAATTCAATTCATAAGTTCAATGGCTTCTAGGAGTGTCGTTGTGGCACTGACTAAAGAAAATAATCATAAATTTTGACAATGTGTCAATTTCTGTTTTATATTTATGGAGGGTAGAGCTAAGTAGAACTATTGACACTGGCAGAATGGACTGCGTCTATTATCGCAACTATAAGCCATATTAAAAAAAAAAAGAAAGTAGAACTATTTCTCGCAAAGAGTATAGTTATAAACTGATTTCTCGTATGAAAAGCGACCGCTGACAAGCATCAAATTGGTGGTGCCACAGAAAAAAAGTAGATGAATTTAAAACAAACAAGGAAAAAAGATTTCCGCTTTATTGTGACGCACTTTTCAAAATAGTTCTAATGTAAGCAAACACTGATAAATAATATAATTGCATATTATTTTCAAGTAATAATAATTCAGCACACTTCACTTCGTTTAAAACTGCTAACTTCATATCACATCTACTTGCTACGCTAGCGCTTTAGCGGTGAGTTTCCGAATTACAATTTGCTGCTCACCACTGGACAATATCCATACTAATATTATAAACGTGAAAGTGTGTTTGTTTGTTTGTCTTTCTTTCACGTCGAAACGGAATGACGGATTGGCGTGATTTTTAGTGTGAAGATATTTAGAGAGCTGGAGAGTGACATAGGCTAATTTTTATCGCGGGAGATCATCTTAGTCCCACGGGAAAACAAGTTATGATACAATTTAAAAATTTATTTCTGATCAGAATTACTTGAAACTTGGTATTAATGCTCTTCGATACAAATACATGTTTCAGCATTTTTCGAAATTCATCCTATAAGCGGGTAAAATAGGGGATAAAAGTTTGTATGAAATCTAGGTACCTACCGTTTTAGAGATTTTTTTATAGTTTTAGCGCGAGCGAAGCCGCGGATTTTCCTAGTATATATATATAGTCTATGTTATACTAACCGTTAAAACGTACCTAGGGACGAACCCGGGCGAAGCGAGGGTTAGCTGCTAGTTATAATCGACTCACTCTCACTCCTCTCGGGTTCGTCCCCAGTTACGTTTTAGCGTTTAGCTTACAGATCCTCAATACGAATGCATTTATTGAGATTAGAGATAGGAGCTAAACCAGTCAATAGCATTCAACGAAATTATTTCAACAAAATTATTATATAATATTTTTATAAAACATGCTATTTCAGATTATATGATATATTCTTTATTTTGAACTTGATAACTTTATATTATAGATACTTTACGGTACTTTATAGTAACGTTAAGTATCTACCTACTGCATTTTAAGTGTATGAATTAATTATTTAAGATATTATTTTTATACGGATAAAGTTGGGAATATTGCTAGTATAAAAGGGATTCAAATTGTAACCGTATTACTAATACATTATTTGTTGATAAATAAATACCTAAGTACCTACTTTATTTCATATCGACAAACGAGTAGAAACGTGAAATAAAAATTTCTTATTTTAAAACAACTTGGAAGTTAAAATACATATTTTTAAACATACTTTTTATATTTGTTACGTAAGTAAATGATTCCTATAGTTATAATTGCACCTTTGTTTGGAATATTTTCATTGCACTGTTATTTCTAATCAAAAATTGTTTTGAATTTCTACCACTATTTTGTTATGTGCTATGCAAATCATAACACATGGTTTAATTACGTTTTTTTTTAATAATTTTATTATTTCAAGTGTATGATTAGTGTATGATTGATTGTAATATCAATAGTATAATTTTGGTTTCAAATATGGGCGCAGGCCAAATTGGAGGAATAGCAACTTTGCGTAAATATTTTACTTGATACTATCATCAACATTTTTAAAGTATTGTAATGACTAATGTAGATGTATCTTCATGTTACACTTCTTGGGTGATGGCCGATACAGTATACTCATTTAGCTATCGATAATAAATAATACTACTAATAGTATATTATTTTAGTGGATATAGATTTCAATAATGCGGCTGGGTTCCAAGGAGTACCTGCTAAAACAACAGAAGGCCAATTTATTGTGAGTCATAGAAAGAATAATCTTTGTTATACATACATATAAGTTACCAAGTACGTAATTGTCCTCTTTAACGACTTGACCGATTTTGATGAAATTTTCGGTATAGACTTTCGTATTGAACTCCAGATCCAGATGTTTGAATATAGATTCAGATGTATCCAGATGTTTTTTGGTTTTCCGACAAAACGTCTATCTACATCTATACTCTCTAACGTCTATACATATAATTAAATTGTAACTGAGTCGAATCTGTGAAAATATATTTTGGAAAAATTGTTAAAATTAAATTATTAAAATAATCGTTATTATCGATACAGAGGCCGAATCTATAGTTTTTAGAATTTTTGTCTGTCTGTCTGAGATTTTGATGAAATTTGGTAAGTGAGGTCTGCCGATGCAGACCACAACCACAGGGTTTCTCTAACAGTCCACTCTGCTATTAGAGGAGTACCAGGAACAACCCGCATGGCACACCGCTGAATCCCTTGCGCCCGGCTGAATAGCTAGATGCTAATATTAAGCCCCCATTCCCGCCACACGTTCACCTTGCCTGATTTCATAACAATGTAGGTCATGAAATCCATTAGGGTTTGTAACTTATAACTTAGAAAACTTTACTGTGAAATAATTATAACAGGTACACTATCTGTCACACGCCATGCTGTTTTGCGTAGGGGCTCTTTTAGAAGCGCATGTCGTTATTACTCCAGCTATATGCGTATTTGGTGAAAGATACAAATTTAAAATATTCGCTGGCACGCATAGATTCTTGGAGAACACTGGGACAGACCGACTCGTTCATCATCTCTGCATACATAAAGGTTGAAACTATTTTCTTTACTATTTTTATGATGCTCATATAAAACAGGAAATTTAATAAGAACTTAATTAAGAAAAAGATCAAGAAGGATCTAGAAAAGGATACAAGTTAATAGTATATTTTACCTACATAGTAGATGCTGCTAGTATCTACTTGTGATCATTTACTCTATTGTTAGTAGGAAAAGAAGATAAAGATAAAAAAAAGGTTTTAAGTAGAATTCCAAAATAAGCTAACTTTTTATATGTAAGTCCTAAGTAGGTAGGTACAAGCAATAAGCCCGACAGGATTTTCTTGCTAGGCAATATTGAATATCGACTACCATATTTTATATTAAAAACTTTCATACTCTGTTTAAAAGCAGGAAAGGAACATTGGTAGAATTTCTTATTATTTAAAAAAGAACATTTTTAATTTTTTTTTTTCTCTGTCTGTTTGTCTGTTTGTACGGGCTAATCTTCGAAATCGTTGGTCTGATTTAAATGAAATTTCGCATGGTGGTACCTTATATCCCCGGTCAATATCTTAGATACTTTCATCCCGCAAAATAAAACAGTTCCCGTGGGATAGTTAAAAAACTATATTAACTTATACAGCTTAGTACACAAAAACTACTGATTGGATTTAAATGAAACTTTACAATTATAGGACATACATCAGATTAAAAAATAGTCTACTTTTATCCCGGAAAAATGTACGGTTCCCGTGGGATATATTTGGTTTTGTTTGTCTAGAGGCGAACACGAGCGAAGTGAGGGTGAACCGCTAGTTTTGGAATAAATTGATGGTACAAAGTAAAAAAACGGGCTTAGTATATAGCAGCATAATATTTATTACATATATCTTTCTCAATGTCACAGGCGCGTTAAAATTTACGACGATTGTTCAAGTCGTTAAGTATGCTACTGTACAGCGTCAATTATTTTTCACATTTAAAATATGAGTAAATTTAATATATTAACGTAAATAATTGTTTACTTAGAATCAATTGTCATTATGATATGCCAGTTGCTAAATGTTTAATATGCTATTTTTCTGAAAAAGAAAATCAGGATACCATTAGAATGTTATGATTCGAATTGGCAAAAAGTGACTTAAAATACTGTAAAAGATGATTAATATATCAAGCTTTTTTATAATAGGGTACAATCACACAATGCGATGGCAAGCGTGTTCACCAGACAACTTGGCCCTATTGGTGTTAAATGAACAATTTTCTTTTCATAAACATGAAAAAAATACTGAGTACCTAATAAATAGAGTTCGTTATGGAGCCGTGGGTAACTTGGATAAACGAATACGTGACCCATCGTGCAGATATTATGGATGGGGAAGCCGACGTAATGTAAGTTCCCATGTTTAAAATATATTGACAGTGAGTGTACTTAACTTTCAACCCCTATTTCACCCCTTCAAGTTTTTTTTTGCAACAAAACGTAGCCTATGTCCTCCTCCAAGGTCCCATCTATCTTTATAGCAAAACTCATCAAAATTGGTGCAGTGGTTTGGCCGTGAAAACGTATCAAATAGATAGACAAACATAGTTACTTTCGCATTCATAATATTAAAGTATGGATTAGGTAACTATATATTCTTCTAGAAAATTCTTAGCAATTCACTTGTTAAATTAATAATAATTATTGATAATATTAGAACTAAAGTATGTACCTACTCATCTTTGCGATACATTTCAAAACTGTAAAAAAAACAGGCGTACCTATCGAGAACCTCCTCCTTTTTGAAGAAGTCGATTGAAAATATTATTGAATATATTATTTAAATTAAACCTATCAAGAAACAGTAAGTTTATAGAAAGAACAAATCCGTATAGATGATACAAGAAATTTTAAGATATTGTAATCTTAACTGCACATACAATTCGCAGTGTAATTGGAAGAAACGTATTTTTTAGGGATACCTTATTCCTCTGCTTATCCATCTATATCGTGTGGATGTAACTATTCTACCAGCAGACCATTGTTTTGATTTGTGGAATAATGAGGAGAAATATCTTTGTATTCAACAACCGAAATGTAAGGTAAAGACTTAAATGTAAGCTAGCTTTTAGAAATTTATTTCTCAACAAAAATTCTATAGCACTAGGTGGTAATGTAACTTCTTATTAGTGAAAGAATTTTCAGGATCGAATAAGTAGTTTCAGAGACAAACTACAATCTTTGCCTATGTATCAATTATAATATTAACTAGCAGAACCCGCGACTTCGCTCGCGCTATAATTACAAGAAAATTCTAAAAAGATAGGTTTCATACCAACTTTCATCCGCTATACTACCCCCTTATGGATGAATGTATTGAAAAGTATTAATACCAAGTTTCAAGTAATTCTGATCATTAATGTTTTTTTGGATTGTATTATAACGTATTTTTCCGTGGGAATTAAATAATCGCTCGCAGTAAAAAGTAAGCCTATGTCACTCTCTAGCCCTCCAACTATCTCCACAAAAAAATAATGCCAATTGCCAATCCGTCACTCCGTTTCGACGTAAAGAACAAACAAACAAACACACACATTTATATAATATTAGTATGGACAATATTAATGTAGACATTTCGTAGTCAATTTCGTTACTAAAGTGTTATAATATTTATTATTTGGTGGTAATTTGCATTGAATATAGAAAAATGCGTTGTCTTATTAAATATTTATTTTTTCCTACAGTCTGAAAGACATGGAGCATTATGCCCCGTAAGTATTATTTGTTTATAACTTCACATTAATATTGGCTATGAGTACAGTATTTACTGTAAGGCTAAATCAGCATGACAATATACCTACACTACGATTTTCTATTGCGTATTTTGTAAATATTTTCTTTACGATGTAAGATAATGTATGAGTAATTTGTAACTCTGTAGGTACTTTTTGTTTTCCTGTGGGAATGAGATGATCTCCCGCGATAAAAAGTAGCCTATGTCACTCTCCAGCTCTCCAAGTATCTTCATACCAAAAATCACGTCAATCCGTCACTCCGTTTCGACGTGAAAACACAAACACACAAACAAACAAATACGTCATATTTATAATATTAGTACGGATTGATTAACTTTAAAAGCATGCACATATAATTAGTAGATTTATTTGTCTTTGAATTTTTATTTCGACATTCATATCTATAAAAAAATGTTTAAAAAATTAATTTTTTTTTTCATTATGACAGTAAAATTCTGATGGCCTTTTCACAGGATGATTTAGGAACGGTTCTAGTTTGCTCCGGCTATGTGCAAGGTATGATGACGTCACGACTGATCGACCGACCTTGTGGGGTCGGTTTTATTGATCTAAGTCATTATATCAAGTTTATCACATGTGGCGTGGATGATTCACGTGACGTCATCGACCATGAGGATTTCATGACCTTCGACTTCAACACTGAACCTGGAGTGAGAATGATGACCGCGCCATCGCTAATAACAACATCTACTCGGAATGTTACCAGCGACATTTCAAAATAATAAAATGTTTAAGTACCATGTAGGTATTGTTATTTTTATTGTTGTCATGTCATCGAATTGTAAGGTTATTGAATGAAGCTGTAAACAATTATAGTTTTTTTTATTTAACGGTTATTGTGTTTATTACATACTAGCAGAAACCGCGGCTTCGCTCGCGCTAAAACTACAAAAAAACTAAAATGGTAGGTTTTATACAAACTTTCATCCGCTATTTTACCTCCTTATGGGATGAATGGCTGAAACACGAATTTAATTAATTGTTATACCAAGTTTCAAGTAATTCTGATCATAAATATTTTTCTACGTTGTATTATAACGTCTTTTCCTGTGGGAAAGAGATAATCTTCCGGGGTAAAAAGTAGCCTATGTCACTCTTCAGTCCTCCAACTATCTCCACACAAAAAATCATGCCAATCCGCTAAGCTGTTTCGGCGTGAAAGAAAGACATACAAACAAACACACTTTAACATTTATAATATATTAGTATGGATGTAATTTGATTTATGAATATAGATCTTTCATTTTTATTTATTCGAATTAAAAAAACCATAGTGCTCCTTTGAATCTTGTACTATGCGACTCTAAATAAATTGAGGGTCATTTTAAGTGTTTGCAAAGTAAATTGACATCCATACACAAGCGTGTGAGGCCACAGTTAGTCAATATAATCCATTGTAATGTGCAATACTTATAATTTGTGATGTTGTACAATGTACTTAGGTTAAGATTCGATGGGACTGACTTCTCCTAAAAGGATAAAAGTCCATAAATAAAAATACAATTAAGAAAAGTAATCTGCAATACTTATATTATAATAGTAAATACATATATGGTTCAATTTTTAGAAATAATTCAAGGTTTAGCGTTTCGTTATTTTGATTTGATGACCTTTTACAGGGTATAGAAGCACTTCTACTTTAAGTGGTCCCACTTCATTGGCTTCTATTTTATAAGTCCTTACAATGCTTGAAATTATGCTTTTTATTATTATCATACCGAAATTTCTTCCTGAAAAGGTTGAAAAGTTTGAGTTAGCGTTTTCGTAAGTATAAGAGAGACAAGATAGAATGTTACTTATGTATTAAAACATATTAATAGTATTTAACAAATTAAACGATATTAAAAGAAATTAAAAAAAAACTCACCAATGCAATTTCTAGAACCATGGCTAAATGGTAGAAATGACGCAGGATGTCTGTTTATTAAATGTTCTGGAAGGAATCTATCTGGATCGAATTCATCTGCTTTGGGGCCCCAAACTACTTTCGAGCGATGTATTGCAAAAGCTCCTACTACAGCGCTTACTCCTACCGGTACTGTCACGTTACATTTGACTGAAAGACCAATTTATTTTACTAAGTCAATTCTGTAAGTTTTTTATATATTTGATTTTTACTTGAATCAATTAGCTGATGAATATTATAATTAACAAAGACATACGCAAAGTAATTTGTTTGTCAATTTTTCTTGCGATTATGGGAACAACTGTGTAGAGACGCATGCTTTCTTTTATAACTCTTTCTAAATAGTTCATTTTTTGAAGTTCTTCCTTAACAGCTCCTAATTTTGAGTCTCCAAATATTAAGATTTGTCTGAAAGTTTTAAAATTGAAAACTATAACTTTAATTTAAAATTTAAAATTAAAACACTGTTACATGTTACATACGTGATTTCTGAACTGAAATTATCTTGAAAGAATACTTTGTAATAAAATTAATATCATATTATTTTATAAAAAGAGATTCCAAGAGAGGTCTAGGTATTTTAATATTTTTCACCATTTTAGGGAAAGTTATTATTAAGAGTTATTTAAAAATATGTATTGAAATTTATTTTAAGGTTCAATATAACATACTCTTCTAGTACTTTTTGTTGTACATCTTGATGAATGCCAAGTAAAACCAAAGTATATGCGATAACTAGAGCAGTAGTATCGTTGCCGGCTATCGTTATAGAGTCTATATGTTCGCGTAGTTCAACATCTGTAAATTCGATCTCTCGTCCAAACAACATGTCTAAAACGGCTTTAACCTTATTATCTGGAAAATATATGAATTCTTATAAGAAATAGGAAGAATATCTCATATATAAATAAATTATGTGACGAAGAAAAAAAAACAAAATTTGCTTTTGATAGAACAGTTCTCCAGTGAAACAAAAGTTTAGATAATTTTAAGGTACAGTTAAAATCATAATTATTTGTCTCTATAGTGTCTTTATATATATGTATGCATGTATGTATGTATGTTTGATAAAATTTACTTAATTACTCGAGTCAACATATAGAATACTTTTTACTGCAGGAAAATATCTTATCTCTAAGAAATCTTCACTAAGCGCTAAAACGTATTACGCAAGTAGGTACGAACCCGAGCTGAGCGAGGGTGGGTCGCCAGTATAAAATAAACAAGTTTAATTGTTTGTTTCTCTATTTTTGTAACATTTTTACGTTCTGGCTACTAGATAATAAACAATAATTTATACGATTATTATATAACATATAGCTTTTACAGATAAATTAAAATGCGGCACTAAAACGTAGTTCGCAACGTTTAACAAATAGGTTCTTCTTTTTATAATTGTTTTTAAGTATTTTCATATTAGTTCAATGATATAACTTATAAACACTTAATGTACACAAAAATTGTAAAACCAACTCTTAAAATTCATTTTGAAGTGTACGCATAACTTTGTAATTTATGTAATATAGTAAAAATATTGTCATCAAGTGTTCAGTAAACAACATTGTACGTGCATACGTAGGTATATATTATACATACATATATACTTATGTACCCAAACTATCTATTGTTCATGGTGATTGCGATGACTACATACGACAAACAAGATTCTTATTTTTATTGCATTTAGAATAATGAATTTACTAATAAAGATGTAAAATGAAATATAGATTAAAGTGATAAAATCTTTTAACTATTTTACCTGAAAAATCATCAGATTTTTTGTTTTTATTTATTTCATACTGGATTCTTCTTTTTCGAACCACCTGCAGAATGATATAAAAATAGCTATTAGAAATGGTCGTCACACTATGATAATATTCACAAAATATTTATCACGTCAGAACTTAGCCTGATTGAAAGTAGAGTTCACCATCTAATACGGATACTAATAGATTTCAAAGCTTCTTGCCTAATTTTTACTGCAGTAATAGTAGTAGATCAGAATAATTAAAATCGTAATTCTCGTTATATACACAAGTCTAGACAGTATCTATAAAAAAATGAATTGAACTCCGTAGATACCTCATCAGTGAATTTATGTGTCAGATCTATATTTTCCTTCTGCTGGCTTGAGTAAGGGGTAAGGTTGAAAAGGCTGTCGGGTTGCAACCAGATCTTAAAAAGGCGTTTATTCATTATCGTCATAACTGTATGTCTCGCTTTAAGGTAGGGGGTATCTGGCGAATGTTGAACGTCCATCTTCTCGCCCATTGCTGTTTCTATTTAAAAAAAAATGAAAATTAAATTTAAGTAATTTTTTAAAACAAGTCTTTTTCATTTTGCAAATTGTGTTTAAATTATATTATACAATGTAAGAATTAGCTACTGTAGGTATCTGTTAGAAATCGGTGGCTAAATAAAAAAAAAAACTTTTATTCTTATGTGTTACATAATATTGGCATTATAAAACAAATCCTTACCAAATACAACATCAAGCGTGCAAGCGGAAATATAACGTAGGACATCAAATTCATCTTTCCCCGATTGTTCTTCAAGACGTTCGAGCAGAATATTTGCTTGTTTTGAAATTATTACTAGATATTCTTCAACAACTTTGTTGTGAAAAACAGGCAGTAATACTCTTCTGTGGGCCTTCCACAAGCCTACTGTAAATAAGTTTATTATTTTACTAACGACTTACCCTGGCTTTGCTCGGGTTCGTCCCTAGGTACGTTTTAAGTTAAAATGGATATAGTAATGTTATCCTTATGAGATAGATATATGTCATCGCGGACTTTTCTGTAGAACTATATAAGATACACAATTCCACCATACATTATTTTGTTATATCTCAAAGGGCTTAGGCAGCGTTTTTGTTGAAAGCTCCCAGACGTCTTATTTTTTCCGACACTTCCAACAAATATCGTTATACTTTAGCCAATGTATACAAAAACTTAACAAATTATATACTAAAACCTTCCTCTTGAATCACTCTATCTATTAAAAAAAACCGCATTAAAAATCCGACGCGTAGGTAGTTTAAAAGATTTAAGCATACATAGGGATATAGGGACAGAGAAAGCGACTTCGTTTTATACTATGTAGTGATGATGCATAATGCATATGATTATGCATTTTTGTTAATTTTAAGTCTAGCTTAATTTTGCCTAATATAAAGGCATATATGGACTTGTATAGTTTAGTTTTATAATGCTTAGTTTTTATATTTACTTGGCGTGAAATCACAACACATAAAAAGCGTGACACTGTTGAATATGAAGTTTCTAGTAATTAAAAGGCAATTAATTACTTACAGATGTGATGATGTTCTCCCGACCGATTCCGGCCACGGCGGCCAATCTCATTGAGACTAGCCAACTACGCAGGAGATATTATAGTGCACAAGTGTACGCGCAGACACAGGTGCACTCTCTATTCCTGTCACTCTCATATTCTGGTGGGACGACCACTCGACACGACCAGTGAGAGTTAAGGCGCAGGACCGACGGCTTTACGTGCTCTCCGCGGCACGGGGGTGAAACACCGCCAACTTCCCAACTTCGGGCTGTTACTGAGGCTTACTATACAGAAAGACTCAATAACAAAACATGGCCCGACCCGGGAATCGAACCCAGGACCTCCGGGTGTGCAGCCGTACTTGCTAGCCACTACACCGCCGAGGCAGTGAGTTACAGATGTATATATGTATTTGCCAACTTCTATATTGTATACATATTTATATACAAAACTTACATTAGTCATCATCTATACATATAATAAAATTGTAACTAAGCCGAATCTGTACATTAAATATTTTTTGGAAAATCTTATTGAAATAAACATTATTATCGATACAGAGGCTGAATTTATAGTTTTTAGAATTTTTGTTGTCTGTCTGTATGTATGTCAGTTACCGCATCACAGAAAAACCACTGGAGGGATTTTGATAAAATTTGGTATATAGCTGGTTATCCGGGTCAACACATAGGGTACTTTTACTGCAGGAAAATGTCTTATTTCTGAGAAAAAATACAAAAACTGCAATTTGGTTTTTGTTATCTAAACGCGGGCGGAGCCGCGGGAAATGCTAGTCTCATATAAATATATGCAATATGCATACTTATGACCAAAATAAATATTAGTGTAAACTGACATGTGCAATGACCATGGGTACCCAGAAATAGTTGTGTTACGCCGCCATAACCTACCTATTTTATTACTAATTTCAATTTTAACCCTTAACCCATAAATGTCTTCTGTTTGCCTGTATGTCGCCCAATTAAGAGAGAGCATAAAAGATTCATATCAAAATGGTATTTTCATGTATCTAAACTACTCTCCATCAACAAACTTCTATCCACTATATCTGCTGGATATTAGATATATGTAAATATATGAACATTTTATTAATCTGTGAAAAAGTTCCTCTAGTCGTTGATACACAATTACCGTTTTTAGGATCTGTATACTAACTTAAGACTTGGAGTCAATACTATCCTTATATATATAATTCTTCTGTGAGTGTGTATGTCACTGAACTTCTCTCAAACGACTGGACCGATTTTGATGAAATTTTTTGTGTGTGTTCAAGGGGATCTGGGAATGGTTTAGATTCACAATTTGAATAATAATTTTCATCAAAAAAATTATTAAAAAAAGTTTGAAATATTCAAATTAAAGACGTGTAAACAGGACAACGTCTGTCGGGTCCGCTAGTATGTATATATAGTCATTCAAAGCAAAATAAATATCTTAAAATACTAATATCACGGTAATGTTACATACTCGTACCTATATTATTACCGTGCTAATATTGTCCTTTTTTCAACTTTTGATCGTGAAAAATTTTTTTTCACACGATTTCGCAATGGATTTCCAACCATAGGACTTTTTATGTAAAATGTTTTTAAGGTAATCCTGGCGTCAGTGAGTTCCAGTTTTTATGAGCTTTAACTATTTTTTTTCGTTAAAGAGCCCTATTTTCAACGGAATATAAGTCATCTAAATTTTATTATTTTATCATCTATGTTTTATTTGTAAGAATAGATATAATTCTTGCTTCGTTTTTATCTAAATTAAAATATAAATTCAGAGATACTCGTAAGTAACATAGACAGTAGGTAGTAGGTACTTCCCCCCCAACGTGCGTTCACCTTGTCGTGGTGGGGGGACTCAGTAGTGCCCGGTAACCCAACCGGGCGCGAAGCCAAGAAACGCACAGGGAGGTGGCCAACTTCGGTGGGCGGTGGGAGGTGGCCGTCTTCGGTGGGCGGTGTACCATGTGGGTTGCTCCTGGTACTTCTCTGATAGCAGAGTGGACCTTGGAGCAACCCCATGGTCGTGGTGGTCTGCTTCGGCAGACCTGCCGTCGGGGCGTCGTAGTTGAATGCGTAAGTGATCCTGCGACGCCCCATTAAGACGGAGGAAGGTTTTGTTGGGTTTTAGTGGGTAGTACTGGCTTTATTACGCCGATGAGTCCCACACCTCGTGCGTAAATGCATTTCCCAACGTTAAAAAAAAAGGTAGTAGGTAGGTACTTACAAGGAGCTATGAAAAGTCCATTACCAAGCCAAGGACGTAAAAATCGATAAACTCCATCTTTGTCAAGACAATTTTCTAACACCACTTGCGCGTCTTCAGGATTCACAATGGCTGTAATGAAATGTTTAAATTAACATAGAAACAGAAATTCATTTATTGAGAAAAAAGGATCGAAGTAAAAATACTTACCGATATAAAGTTTAGGACCTAACCAAAGTTTTACAACTCCGTTATTTTTCAATGCGATAGAAGCGATATCTTCAATGTTTTGTAAAATTTCTGTAAAAATAAAAGAGTGTTGAGTTATGGACACATAAAATGTGTTTTATATTTGTAAAATTGTTTGTATGACATCATATACATGCTAAGATATATTAATATTCCTACTTCCATACTTAATATTATAAATGTGGAAGAGTGTTTGTTTGTATGTTTGTGTTGGATTAGTATGGACTGCGACTCACCCTCGCTTCGCTCGTGTTCGTCTCTAGATACATTTCATTTTTTTGAGCGGAACCCTAATTCTTTTTCTAAAATAAAAGTAGCCTATGTTACTCGCTATAACATCAGCTATCGTCTAGTGAAAGTCCCGTCAAAATCAGTCCAGCCGTTTCAGAGATTATCCCGAACAAACAGATAGACAGGCAAAATTAGAAAAAATGTGTTTTTCTTATAAGTACCGTATATAATTTCATATGCATTTAGTCAAACGCTGTGTTATTTTTAAATTACAAACAGACACTTCAATTTTATTTATCGGTATAGATTATTTCTGGCTCAATTTGCTTGAAAGTAAATAATGGCATTTAGATAGTTATTTCTCTCCTTTCAACCTTTTTTTTTAACGTTGGGAAATGCATTTACGCACGAGGTGTGGGACTCACCGGCGTAATAAAGCCAGTACTACCCACTAAAACCCAACAAAACCTTCCCCCGTCTTAATGACGCCCCGACGGCAGGTCTGCCGAAGTAGACCACCACAACCATGGGGTTGCTCCAAGGTCCACTCTGCTATCAGAGAAGTACCAGGAGCAACCCACATGGTACACCGCCTACCGAAGAGGGCCACCTCCCACCGCCCACCGAAGTGCGTTTCTTGGCTTCGCGCCCGGTTGGGTTGCCGGGCACTACTGAGCCCCCCCATCACGACAAGGTGAACGCACGATGGGGGGGGGGGGGACTCTCCTTTCAACCTTGGTATAAGTGTAATTATAAACATTTGAACAGTAAAATCTTTTTAAAAGCGGGTTATCAGCTTGTATAGCACTTAGTTCTTCCTGTGTGCCTGTTTTGGTTACCTTTTCAGACTGGCCGATTATATCATATTATGGCAGTATCACCGAAGTTATACCAAAGTCATGCCAAACAGCTTAAAAAGATACATAATATGGACTCGCAAAATAAATTATATATAGATTTTAAGCTCTAAATATGTATAATACTTTGGTATAGATAGTGTTAAAAACTTCGATCAACAATTATAGTATTGTTGATCGAAGGTTAAAAAGGTTAACGCGTATATTCCGTCTGGTGTACACATAGTCTGGCCATTAAATACTATTACAATTAAAAATATTTCATTTGAATTTGGAATCTGTCATTTTTATATGATTGTTCATTGTGTTTTCTTATTTTCGCGCCAATACATTGTAAAATATTTTGTGATATTAAAATGGAGTGAGGTGATAAAGAGAACCGAATCGCTGTGATTGCATTACACAAAGTAGGTATAGAGACAAATACAAGTAGGTATGGAGACAAATAAAATTAAAACTCTCCATATTAGTCAAATGTTTGTGTATCGGGTTATTGATAAGTACAATGAAACCTCCTCTGTTTGTGACAGAAAAAGATCTGGCCGTCCACGTAGTGTTCGTACTAAAAATGCGATCAAAGCAGTAAGGAAAAGAGTTCGAAGAAATCCTGTCCTAAAGCAAAAGATTTTGAAATGAAGATAGCACCTAGAACCATGTAGCGATTTTTTAAAGATGACTTAGGACTTACAGCCTATATGAGACCCACTAGTCATTTCTTAACTGATAATTTAAAAAGAATAGAGTGGTAAAATCAAAACAATTACTTAAGCGGTACGCAAACGGAGGTTACAGAAAAATTTTGTTTACGGATGAGATTTTTTTACAATTGAGCAATATTTTAACAAACACAAAAAAAAAACAAAAAAAAGACCGTATTTATGCTCAAAGCTCTAAGGAAGCTTCCCAATTAGTCAACAGGGTACAACGTGGGCATTATCCGACTTCAGGGATGGTTTGGTGGGATGTGAGCTATGAAGGAGTACTGAGCCATATTTTTGTGAAAAAGGTATCACAACATCGGCACAAGTGTATCAAATAGTGGCGAAAGGTGAAATCTTAGCAGAGGTAAGCTGTTCCAAAAATATGCAATTTTTATATACGTATTAATGCAGAAAGAAATAAAGCTATTATTATATATGTACATATATTTCCAAAAGAATGTTTATACATTTAAAAAACTAAATGTATGTAAAATTATAGCATAATAATTTTAAGGTAAGACGTCGTATATGGACCCTTCGCCACTGGTATCGAGATACCATTCTTGAGAAGGTAGTTAAGCCCCTTAACAACACCATGTTCAATAACCAAAAATGGTCCTATCAGCGAGACTCGACGCCGGGTCATAAAGCTCGATCCACGCAATCTTCGTTAGAAACCCACGTTCCGGACTTCATCAGAGCTGAAGACTGGCCGTCATCTAGTCCCGATATTAATCCGCTGGATTATGATTTATGTTCAGTTTTAACTTTTAGAGAGTATGGCTTGCTCTAAATGCCATGATAATTTGGAGTCCCTAAAACAATCCATACAATTGGCAGTGAAGAATTTTCCTATGGAAAGAGATGCCTCAACGTTTAAAGGACTGCATTGGAAACCACTTCGAATAAGCTTTATATATTTTTAATGGTTTTATATTAATGTATTAAACTAACACACTGTAACATGTAGTAATAAATGTTATGTGCAATAGAAAATGTGTTTTTTTTCTTTCTTACAATATTTAGGGCAACCGACCACTTCGTTTACTCACATTAAATGAGGGGAATGTAATATATTACGTAAGTCAAATCTAAAGGTTTTAGTAAATAGGCACGTATGTAGTAGCTGTGTCAAATTGTAGCGCAAACTGCACGTAATGGAAAAGTTCTTTCATTAGTGTAGATTTTTTGTATAGCATATAATCATTTGTATTTTTTTTGTAATGTGATTAATATTTTTGTTTTTCTTTAAGTTTTTGACCTACTGGACTACCTACTAAATATTTAATATGAGCTTTAGAGACGAAGGTATTATAATCTGGGTGATCTAACATGCTGCTTTTATCGTGGAAAAATAGAACTTAGCGAAATCTGTACATGAAAATTTTTGGAACGAAGTTCCTTATCGCGCGTTACACGCTCTGAGCGAATGGGAGCGAGACTTCGTTCTGACCGGGGGTCCATAGACTGCTCATATGTACATATATATATATATATATATATATATATATATATATATATATATGTGTGTATTAAACAATGACAATATTGTGTACAGAATACAGATCCCAAAACAATAGTTATTAAAAATACTCTACTACAATTTATTAGATCGTAAAAAGGCCTACAGAAAAGTCCGCAATAGCATTTGTTTACTTCCTAAGGTACACTCGCAATAACTATTTTTATTTTAATATTTAAAACGTACACAGGAACGCACTCGAGCGAAGCGAGGATATGTCGCTAGTATTTAAAAATTTTGGTCAGCTTAGCCACTTAAGTAGTCTTTGTGTGTGTTTATGGTCTAACAGCAAGAAACTAATTGAATGTCTTTTTAAACCCCCGACGCAAAAAGAAAGGTGTTATAAGTTTGACGTCGATGTCTGTCTGTCTCTCTGTGTGTGTATGTCTGTCTGTTGCATCGTAGCTCAAACGGATGGACCGATTTCGATGCGGTTATTTTCATTTGAAAGCCAGTTTGCTTGCGGTGGTTCTTAGCTACGTTTGGTTAATATCGGTCCAGCAGTGTAAGAGTATCAGCTCTTTTCCAAAATGTTGTAAGGCATTTTGGCGTAAGATTACTCGATTAAGTGCTTCGCGCGTGCCAGTGTAATCGTTTAATGACAATTAATTTGCGTAGGGGTTTTTTAAATTTTAAATTTTTCAAAATAGGAATGATCGCTAAGTGTTGGTGAAAGGAAAGGTAAAGCGTAATGTTATTCATACTATAACTGTGTAGATTAACACTTTCTATTTCATAATAAAAAATCTTCTAACAAATAAATATTTTTTTCTTAATAGTATTCATTGTATAATAGACATCTACGAGTATACAATAGAATCTTTACACAAAGTTTACAATAATATACTACGGAACGAGTATCTACATAGTTACTATTGTATTTACAATTTATTAATAGGTAGGTAATAGTAGATATGTTTTTGGGCACTATATTTGCTTTTGTGTGAATCAAATATTCGATACATACAAATATGGTAGTTTTTAATAAACTCCACATACTAACATAATTAAAATTAATATACATTAGAACAAGAATGTACATATATATACGAGTAGCAATTTGATAATGATATTTAAATTAAATGTAGACGATTAGTTTATAAAAGTTTAAATACTCACTTTGAGAGTTCCCCATAAAAAGCATGGCGTTTCCTATGATTGGCAAAGCTGGCGGCATGGCCAGCGAAGCCGTCGCTTTGTCTAATCTTTTGAAATCAATCGCCCAATAAATCCAATAGCAGCATAGTATGATAAAAATAGCTGCTACAATCATCATTCTTCTAAAGCCTAAACAAATTTGAATTCATAATCTTAATTTAAATTGAAGTGAAATTATATCTATATACATATGTACATATGTAATCGAACTCGTAAATAACGTAAGATGGATTTTGTTATAAGTAAGACGATGATATTCAATAGGAACTTAATTTTTTACATAATACTTTTCAATTTTTTTTTGAAATAATAAAAGATCTTGCTACGCTGTTTTGTAGTAATTCTTAACTTTGAGCATATTGGATAGTTTTCTTAATAAAAAATAAAGTTTAAGTACATTAATATATTAGTAATCTATGAAACTATCATGATATTTCAGTATAAAAAAGCTTTCCACTCACCTGTTGTCCGTCTATTTATTTAACGTAATTAATTTACTGAGTGATATTTGTATATGGACTAGTCGAGTCCATACATATGCTTAGAAAAGAATGGACATTTAAGTCGAGGGGACTATACAACACAATTGATACGGAAATAACTGCCAATGACTGTCGTTGTCCAAGCAAGTTTACACGCTTCGCAAATATTTGTCGACAAACACTCAGCTCTATTATTTACTGACGAAAATTTACAAAAACTACAATATTTAAGTGTTTCAAATTTGTAATGAATATAAGTAGGTATACTTAAATTCAGTTATGTTAAGACTGGGCAAAGAGAGTAAAGCAAGTTTTCAGAATGAGTGAGATATTTTGACCTTACGATATAAAAACTAAAAAAACGACTTCAAAAAAACATTAAAAAGTAAAAATAACTAATTGGTAGTTTTCATTTACTATAGATACCTAATCAAATATTTTCGAAGTCGGTGCCAGCAGTGCTTTTTTTAAAAGTCGGTTTTTATTTTATTTTTTTAAGTTTTTATTTTTCCCTTTCTAGTGTAGACATATTATGTAGTAGTATCAAAGTATAAATATTCAATGTTGATGAGTTCCCATGCCGGAAGTTAACCCTGGGTGCATCAGCCATGTCATGATGGAATTTAGAACAGGCTATTATGGTTAAATTGACTTCTAAGATTTTATTACATAGTTAGTTATTTTTTCTCAATTTGCTTAAGATTTCATCATCAGCTCGTGAATTGATGACAATGGGACCACTTGGGAGTATATCCTTTCAAACTAAAGAAGATTTTTTTAAATCGGTTCACAGTTGTCGAAAATATCGATGAAAATACACAAAAAAATACATTCAGACGAACATAGAACCTCCTCCTTTTTGTAAGTCGCTTAAAAACAGCTTAACTTGCGTATAGCGTAAAAAAGATATAAGTGATTAGTCAAATATAAGATAACTTGTATGTAAAAACTAGCGAAGTCAAATCTTAAACTTCAATTTATCCTATGTTCTATGAGAAAAATTGAGCATTATCAACAGAAATTGGCACCCGTTAAGATCTCAATTCTTTTGCCGATGAAGTCGACAACCACACATATTCTTAATACTGAACTTGGCTCCCATTTTCACATTTATGTTTTTGATGGGATATCATGACTTTTTGTAAAGAAACTGTTATTATTCATAATTCCAAAGTGACACGTAAATTCAATCTTCTTTTCATCATTTTGCGATTATATAATAAATATTCGTGCGGATGCGGAATAGGAAAATGTTATTTAATCATCATGGAACCTTTTCTCCTGAGAAAGAAAAAGTTTTTGCTATTACTATGATTGATTGCTATTGCTATTATATTTCAAAAGGCACTAGGTGTTAAGCCCCTACACACAGTAACACTATTAATATATACTTTTACAAATGAATTTTTCATTTGTAAAAGTATATATTAATAGTGTTGCTTAGTAAGTTGTTTTTAAATAATAGCAAACTAAATTAAAATGATTATCCTTAATTAATTTTAATTTTTTAAATTACACATAGAACAATTATATGGCTTTAATAATTAATACTATATTTTTATATTTTTATTTATGGTTATAAGTATAATAATGGCAACACTAAATATAGATTACTAATTAATATTTTTAACATTGTAATAATTATAAAAATAATAGCAAAAATTAAATTTAAAATAATAGATAAAAAGTCTATGTGTTATTCCCGACTATAATCTATCTCTGTGCCAAATTTCATCCAAATCCGTTCAGCCGTTCTGGCGAGAAAGAGAAACATCCATACATAATACTCACAAACTTTCACATTTATAATATTAATTAAATTAAAACATAAAATAATTATAAAATACCAATACTTAAAAACATATATATTATAATTATATTTTGATTTGTTTTAATTTAATTGTGGTATGTGCCACACCACACACAGCGCCTAAGAAGTTTTACTTCAACAGCACGTAAAGGTTACAAGCACTCTCTTTTTTTCATAATTTCTTAGAATCAAACATTCTAAAATTTAAAAATTACAGCCAATTATATAATAATACTAGCATTGCCCGCGGCTTTGCCCGCGTTCAGATAATCAAAAACCAAATTCTTAGGTGTTACATATTAGTATATTCTTACATTGCAGTTTTTATATTTTTTCTCAGAAATGAGATATTTTTCCCCGGTCAAAAGTATCCTATATGTTAACCCGGATAACCAGCTATGACCATACCAAATTTCATCAAAATCCCTCCAGTAGTTTTTCTGTGATACGGTAACAGATAGACAGACAGACAGACAAAAATTTAAAAACTGTATAATCGGCTTCTGTATCGATAATAATGTCTATTTCAATAAGATTTTCCAAAAAATATTTAATGTACAGATTCGACTTAGTTAGAATTTTATAATATGTAGATATAGATATACTAGAATTTATAATATGTAGATATAGATAGACAGGTCTTGCCGAAACTATAAAGGTTCATCGATGGAACGGCTTCTATAGACAAATTGTTTTGTAATGAAAAACTAAGTATTTATGCTTATATCGATATGTACTATGCATATTAGGCGTATTTATAATAGTCTTCATTCATGTTCTAGATAATTTTATTTACTTTAAGCTGTTCAGTATTTTTTTAACACTAAGGCTAATGTAGGTATGTAGTTTATGTTGTTAGTTATTTTATTATTTTTATAAAAGAGTAGATAACTTTTGAGTTTGAGTTGGTCGATCCATCAGAGTCGTCGTTGATGGCTGCTGCTCGGAAAAACTAGATATAAACGCTGGCGTCCCGCAAGGTTCTGTGCTGTCTCCAACGCTTTTCCTTCTGCATATGAATGACTTGCTGTCTATTGGTGACATTCATTGCTATGCGGACGACAGCACTGGAGACGCTTTCTACACAGGCCGTGCAAACATCCCTCGTTCCGCTGTGGTAGAAAGTCGTGAACAACTTGTGTCTCAAATCGAGAGTATTCTTTCCAGAGTCTCCGATTGGGGTCGGGACGATTTAATCCAATTTAACCCTTCCAAGACACAAGTTTGTGCGTTCACCGCTAAGAAAACCCCATTTACTGTGGCCCCTCAATCCCAGGATACATCCCTAACCATCTCCAATAGTATTGGTATTCTTGGTGTCGACATATCCAGCGACGTCCAGTTTCGAAGTCACCTGGAAGACAAGGTCAAGCTGGCATCCAAAAAGCTAGGTGTGTTTAATAGAGCGAAGCGGTACCTCACGCCGGGATAAATACTGCTTTTATATAAATCGCAAGTCCGTCCCCATATGGAGTACTGCTCACATCTCTAGGCGGGAGCACCGGCATAGCAGCTTGGGCCTTTGAACTCGGTTCAAATTTGAGCTGTGAGAATCGTCGACGATCCAATACTCACAAGCGATATAGAGCCCCTAAGTCTAAGAAAAGATTTTGCGTCCCTATGTGTGCTCTATCGTTTGTACAATGGGTTGTGTTCCGAAGAATTGTTCGAAATGATGCCCACGGCCACTTTCTACCATCGCACCGCTCGCCATGGACAGCGACTTCATGCTCAAATGGTCCCGTACAGTTCGGTTTCAGACGAATTTTCTCCCACAGACCATTTCGCTGTAGAATGAACTCTTTTTTATATTATCATTTGAAATTAACGTCTTCCTTTCCACTATTTTAAATAAAATAAGATAGAAATGGATATTCTACTTTTTAGCTGTACATACGTTTTTAAAGTGCAAGCATTACATACTTATTTAAACTTATATTAAATAGCCTACTAAAATATTTTTTATACAAAGTCGATCTCATACTTCGTTGTCAAAGTGTAGTACCTATGTATTTATAAGTCTATCCTGAAATCATTATATTTTTTTACTAAAAAAGTAGCGCACACATAAAGTTAATTAGGTTCGAGGGATGCAGGACAGAGATCTTTTTTTAATTTTATACGATATCATACATATGTATGTACATGTTTGTATACTAAAATTAGAAGAGAAAGATTGAATTGATTATAATTATAGCATATGAAAGCTTTTTATTTTATGGTAACTTTAACTTAAATGCTTTTATCTTTAAGTCTCTCGAAATATAAAACAAATCCACAAGGAAGATACAAAAGCCAAAATCAAAAATATGTAAGTACGTGTGTTTGTTCATTGAATTAAAAAATTGAATATCTTTATTAATATTATAAAGAGGTAAAGTTTATGAGTTTGTGAATTTGTGAGTTTGTGACGTTGTAGGGGGTAATCTCTGGATCTACTGAACTGATTTAGATGAAATTTGGTAAGAAGATAGTTTCAGACCCTGGAAAGGACAAAGTATAGGTACTTTTTATCCCGGAAATCATCCCTTAAGGCGGTAAAAATGGGGATGAAAGTTTGTATTGGGAATCAAGCTAGGGACGAAACGAGCGAAGCGAGGGTGAGTCGCTAGTCAAGAATAACGAAATTATTCAAAATTATTTCATTACCTGTTTACATGTAGTAAAATAAACTTGGCAGCATGTTAATATAACTACTTTAACCATTCCATCAGTTACCAGTGTACTCACAGATTTTGTGTCGAGTACTTCAATTCTTTATGCCCTTTTATTTATTATGTTCGCTAAAACAGTTTAACTTCAATTTTTCCAACATGTTTATCACAGTGCTGTTATTATTATTTTGCAGTGTATACTATATATATTTTCGGCGAACCAGAAAACAATTATATGAATTATGCAGAAGTTTACCAAGTGTGGGAAAACTACCAATTCTTGGACATACGCACTGGTTTATCGGAGGTCCTGAAAGTAAGAAATTTCTTTATATTATTTTATCTAATACTTTCTTAGATTTACGCGAATATTTGACATTATCTTTTCGGATTATTTCACGGATTTATTTTGATTTTTGTTTCCCGACGTTTCGAAAGTTATAGACGTCTCAAAGGCGTTATATAATTAATTACTATATATTGTGTTGATTTTAATTCTAAATATTTAAAAAAAATTTAATAAGTATTATAATTGCATAAATATAGCAATATGACTTATTTAATTTTAGCTGTTATTATTATAAATATTAAAAAAAATTGAAAACTTTATTAATTACTAATATCATTTAGTGATGCTATTATTATATTATGTATACCGTAAAGAATATTAAAAATATTAACTATTGATTTAAGCAATATTTTTTTATATGTAGATAATTTAAAAGAAGTTAAAATATTAATTTAGATTGCTATTATTTAAAGTTAAAATATTAAGCAATACTATTGCTACCTTACCTAGAATTACTGTTATTATTGCGATCCACACAATAATAGACCATTAGATGTACTTAGTTCATACTGTGAGAGAGTGAGAGAGTCTCTCCCATCCCATTCATCTCATTTCAAGCATCCGAAACGCAGGGAACTAAAAATCAAAATAAATCCTCGAAAAAATCCTAAATCTTTTAGGATTTGTATTTAAAACTAGCGACTCACCCTTGCTCCGTTCGGGTTCGTTCGTCCCTACTTACGTTTTAACATTTAGTATAGATTTCTCCAGTTTCGCAGTAAAAAGTATCCTATGTGTTGGTCCGGATAACCAGCTATCATCATACCAAATTTCATTAAAATCCCTCCAGTGGTTTTTCTATGATGCGATCACTGACAAAAATTCTAAAAACTATACATTTGGCCGCTCTATCAATAATAATTTCTATTTCAATAAGATTTTCCAAAAAAAATTTCATGTACAGATTCGGCTTATAGTACAATAGGAATCCGATTTGGTAACAAAATATTGAAAACCTGAAGTTTTATGATTTTAAAATGTTAGCAGGTATATAAGGAATAGAAATTCGTAAAATGTCCCCGATGCCCAGCTACCCCCAAGAAGTGGTTGGTCGCAAAGCGTTGAAAAATAGTTTTTTTTCAATTTCCGGCTTACTGTGACGTTCTATCGAAAAATGTTTTCTACAAAAGTTGTAGGTCTCGTAAAAATCTACAACTTTAATTGGTGACACTTTTTATAATAACCTCAAAGTTTTCAAGATATTTGCAAAATACTCGGCTTTTAATTTTTTCTTTGTTTTTTATTTATAATTTATAGAATAATTTTCTAAATACGTATAATAAATTTAAAAAAAAATTAAAATGTTTAGCCAATTCCGAGAAAACTACTAGTATGTTTTATGGTCTCGAGAGGCTGAAAATCACCGCCAACTTCAAGTGGATGTTTAAATTAAAAAAAAAATCGTTCAGTTTTCAGATAGGGTTCATTCTTTCTATTCTTTTACTTTCTTTCTATTCTTTTTTTATTATTTCTATTCTTGAACTCTACTTTTTATAGAAATAAAAACATTGTATGGTCGCCCTGTAATCATACTCTTAAAAATTGATAAAATTGGAGAAATCGATAATTTTTACTTTGTAATCTACATTATTTTTAATAATCATTGGAAAATTGTACTTTATTGACCAAATTTTTATAAACTGATTGTTAACTCACGATGTTTTTCTTCACCGTAAGGCAAGTAGTAATCATGTTAGAAATGATTCGCACATGAAAATATCAGAGGTGCAAGACCCGGGATTTGAACCCGCTTCACTCGGTTTCCCAAGCGAGCGCGTTACCACTGGGCTACCACTGCCTAAACTGATTACACCAATGTATTTTTCGGGAAAAAACGATAGAAATGGTGTCCTTAAGTTTTTAATTCGATCCGTATTATTTATACAATGTCGCCGTAAACATCCTAACTTTGCAATTTGACGAGTCGTGAAAAAATAACAAAAATTGGAATTAACGTAAAGTATACCATTACTTTTGTGTCAATACAAAATTTATTGTGTAATCGAAATTCATTTTAAAATATATCCAAAATAACATTAATAATTGAATTAATAGTATAAAAAATGTTTTAAAACACAACAAAATCGAAAGTGCATAATATTTAACACCATTCAGACAAAGAAAGACAATAGCATTCCCAAGGAGGGTTGACGTCAGGCAGGCGGCCGGTCGTAAAACTTTTGCCAAATCCTATCAGCAGTACACTGAAGATGTACTGCGCCGACCCCAAGTGATTTGGGAAATGGGCAGGGAGAAGAAGAAGAAGATACCATTACTTTTCTATTTTTACCGTAGAATCTATTTATGTTATTATTTTTTTTCGAATTTATGGATATTTTATTAATTTTCGATGGATTTTGGAGTTAAATTTATTAATCTTTTCTGAAAAAATAGATTTTAAGGTATTACTTGTTTGTTCATTAGATAAAGGTGTAAATAAAAAAAAAAGTAAATAATTATAAAATTTAATCATCGTTTTGTCAAAACGCATAAAAAAACGTCAAAAATTACAAATATTTACTAAACTCTTTACGTCGAATTATTCCGGAGATATTCGACATTCAATCAAGAAAAAAGATCCTTTTCTTTTTTTACTATCAATATCTTAGCATTTAACAGATGCACAGTACATTAAAGGATAATTTTAAAAATTTTAATCAATGTTCTACAAGGGTCTATCATATATTTTTTTTATTTTTTTTAATGTATTTAGAAGATTACATTCCCTGAGTTTCATAAAAATCTAACGATTATTTTAGAAATTAAAATCATAACATCTAAGAAAAAATTAAATTCCAAGTTTTTTGCAAGTATCTCGAAAACTTTTAGGTTATTGTACAAAGTGTCATCTATAAAAGTTGTAGATTTTTATTAGACCTACAACTTTTGTACAAAACAGTTTTCGATAGACGAAGTCACAGTAAGCCGGAAATTGAAAAAAAAATTTTTTGAACGCTTTGCGTCCCCCCATTTCTCTGGGGTAGCTGGGCAGAGGGATTTATGAAGATTTACGAATTTCTATTCCATATAACTGCTAACATTTTAAATCATAAAACTTCAGGTTTTCAACATTTTTTTCTTTTAAAAATAAACTGATTCCGATTGGTCTATTAGTAAGAATTTTATTATATTTAAACCTAAAAAAGTGTTTTTTTATATTACCTACTTTATTATTAGAAATTTGCCTCCATTATGTTAAGGTCAGATTTTGAAAAGGCAAAGGATATTCTGTGCTTTTTGTTTTAAAATATTTATGTTTTGAATGTGAGTATACTGGATCCATGTGCTGGTACTTGTGGTGATCCACAGCCTCTGAAGTAGTGATTTCACAATAATATTTAAACACGTACAACCTTAAAGCTAAAGAAGATTGCGCCTGACACAAAATGTATTATTTCAAAAATTAAAACAAAATAAAAATGATTATGGTTTCAGAGGTCCTAAAAAATATTCAGAAAATCGCGCAAATGGTGGAAGATTCGGGTGGCATTAGTAGTATTTGGATCGGATCAACTTTATATATCGGTAAAAATATTTATTACTTCGTTAATTAGGAAGTAGTAGAAAAGAAGAAAAATAAATTATATATTAAATGAATAAAATTATTTCAGTGACGGTAGATCCGGAAGATGTTCAAAAAATTCTAGAAAATAGCCTTCAAAAAGATTCATCATATAGATTTCTGAAGGAATGGCTTGGAAATGGTCTTTTTGTAGCACCAGGTAGGGAGTCAAGTACCTATGTATATCTTTACATATTTTACACGCGAATGTGTTGCGTTAAGTAAAATGCTTGTACATTATGGTTATAATTTATTCTAAATATTATAATAAGTTTTTATATCCAGTGGAACTATGGAAAGTACATCGACGCGTCCTCTTACCCATATTTCACAATCGCATCATCGAAGATTATATTGACGTTTTCGGCGAGCAGGGCACCGTGTTGGTAGAACGCATGCAAGAGCAATTGGGCAAACCTGAGTTCGATGTTTTCAAATATATTACATCGTGTATGCTGGACATTGTATTCGGTATGTAAATATTGACTCTCGCTAGCAGTAATTAGACAAAACTATAATAAAATTTAGTACAAAATTTGTAGAGTAGGTACTTATTCTTTACACATTCTAAGACAGTTATTTAACTAAGTTGATTATATAAAGTACTTGTAAATGTCTAATTTAATAAAATTAAAAATATGGTCTGTTTGTACGAGTATCTATCTATCTGACTCTAGGTTAAAAATATTCATACTCATCTTAAAGTTGCTTACGTTTATAACTTGAATTACAACGTCTTGTAATAAGATTACGTAAATAAAACCATAAATTTGAATTCAGAAACTGCAATGGGAGAAAAAATGGATGTTCAACATAACCCTGACACGCCATACCTGCGCGCACGCAATACTGTCATATCGATCATCGGTATGCGGTTGTTCAAGGCGTGGATGCAACCCGATGCCCTTTTTAAGCTTACATCATATTCGAAGTTACAAAAAGAAAATATAGACTTAACTCATAAATTCACGGACGAGGTGAGGACGTACTTAATTTGTTTACATAATTTTTCGGTAAATAACAAGTAAATTCGCACCTCCTAAGTACACGGGTTACGTTGTAGAAGGTATGTTATCATTTTGTCACGGAATTAAACGTGTAAGGTCTTGTTTGCTATTTATTTAAAAAATTACAACAAAGATTTAGCTTTTAGATATCTTTGGGCCTGTAATGTTTGATTCATAATTAGAAAGTCAAGTTACTGTATGACTAAATCTATACATATAAAAATTGTAACCAAGCCGAACCTGTACATTAAATATTTTTTTTATAGAAGAAGTTTATAAAGTTCAATTGAAAAATTTACGATAAAATATACTTATTATAAATATACATAACAATGTATAAAATAATGATAAATAAAACACTGATGATCTGGGATAATTAAGTTAATAACAAATATTTTTTTAGAACTGTATAAATCTTATTTTATTAATCATGCTTTCTTTAATTTTAGAAATAAACATTTTTTTTCCTATAAAAATCTAAAATAAAAGTTAAAAGAGCCGAAAAGAAGAGAGTCGTCTTCTAGTCTTTCGGCGCGTGGTAGAGCGGTGTGCGGCGATTTATTTAGTTTAATTTAGTGTAGTTAGTTTAGATAATAGTTTTTTATTAATTTCGTACCTACATCGAAAAATGGTTTTCTAAAATATAATTTAAAATAACTATAAGTAATATATTATATAAACAAAAATTTCCAAGACTCATTCGTTATTAAAAGTACTTTAATATAACAGAGACAAAGGCTTTGGCATAAAACTTTTTATAATTTTAAGCGCATCACTTGTGACTAAACGACACGTGTCTTTAGTGTTTAGGCCAATTAAAAAAAAGATGGTTCCTTACCATTTACGTCTGATAGTAATTCTATTAAATCTTAGCATATTTAAAAGCCTAGAAGTATAAAAAAATCCGTAATATTGTTCGCACCGACAAATAGTAAAGTTTTACAATACGCATAAAAACTTAACGTTGTTGTAGTAGTACTAGCATTGCCCTCGGCTCCGCACGCGTTTAGATGATAAAAAACCAAATTCTTAGGTTTTACATATTAATATACTCTTACAATGCAGTTTTTGTATTTTTTCTCAGAAATGAGACATTTTCCCGCAGTAAAAAGTATCCTATGTTGACCCGGATAGCCAGCTATCACCATACCAAATTTCATCAAAATCCCTCCAGTGGTTTCTCTGTGATGCGTTAACAGACAGACAGACAAAAATTCTAAAAACTAGATTCGGCCTCTGTATCTATAATAATGTTTGTTTCAATAAGATTTTCCAAAAAATATTTAATGTACAGATTCGGCTTAGTTACAATTTTATTATATGTATAGATTATTAAAGAAATGCGTTTTTTTTTTGTTTTAGGTTGTGAAGAAAAAGAGAGCATTATTTGAGCAACATGGGAATGTTTGTAAGGAAGGTTTGTGTAATCTAATTTTATTATTTTGTTTTCTTTATAACTTTTTTTTAATGATATTTTCTTAATTAGGTAAATTATATAAAATTGTCTAAAATCTCCTCATCTCCCACAACGCTCTATTAATTTTATACAACATTTTATAAGGTCGTCGGGATCTTCTCGACCTATTATTGGATAGAGAGATTAAATTCACAGACGAAGAACTACGCGAGCATATAGACTCTATCACGATCGCTGGTAACGATACCACAGCGCTAGTTATATCGTACGCTCTACAATTGCTCGGCAGTCATCCGGAAGAACAGGAGAGAGCTTATAACGAGTAAGTTTTGTTAGAGACTTTTAAGCTTTACTTAAAATATTAAAGTGACACTCCTTTAGGCGCGCCATGAGAGAGGGAAAAAAGATTGGCGTAACGATTTTTGTAACGGAAACGGTTACGCTTGGTCATTATATGTATATTTTAAAGAATAAATTAAATAAAAATAGATATTTATTAAAAAAAACTTCTTTAATTTATTTTTAAATGAGCGATGGTATCATATCAAATAAATATTGTCAAAAAATTATTTACTTGAAATATGTCTTTATACAAAATAAATATGTATATATGTATGTTTTTCACTAAACAATTTGCATCCCTGTATTATTCTTTATTTTATTAGAGTATTACAATTTATTGAATCATTACAACATTTGATTGAAAATTAAATTTTATCTTAACACCATATAAACGTACTTTGTGAATAATAAAATATTGTTTTCCTTTTGAAATCGATAAATATAATACTTTTCTATTAATAAAATTGTAACTTAAAGCTGAATAACATTAAATATTTTTTGGAAAATCTTATTGAAATAGACATTATTATCGATACAGAGGCCGAATCTATAGGTTTTAGAATTTTCGTCTGTCTGTCTGTCTATAAGAAAAACCACTGGAGGGATTTTGATGAAATTTGGTATGATGATAGCTGGTTATCCGGGTCAACAAATAGGATACTTTTTACTGCGGGAAAACATCTTATCTCTGAGAAATCTATACTAAACGTTAAAACGTAAGTAGGTACGAACCCGAGCGGAGCGAGGGTGAGTCGCTACCTGAATTCATAAAAATTACCGTTAATCTACAGAAGTTTCATTTTTTGCGCTTATATAGTGTACACATTGATACACACACTCTTTCATTTTTTTTGAGTGTTGTTATTGTTGTTTAATGATAACAAAAAATATTAGTATCTATTTATCTTTGTACATATTAAATGGCATTTTGTGCAAGTACCTAATAAATGTTTAGTACATACTAATTATGTTGTAGGATACAAAAAATATTCGGGGACTCAAACCGTACGCCTACGAAAGATGATATGAATAAAATGGAATTTCTAGAAAGAGTGATCAAGGAAACTATGCGATTATACACTGTTGTACCAATTATAGGAAGAATGACTCTAAAGGAACTTAAGCTTTGTAAGCAATTTATATATTTTTTTAAATTTATGTTAAACTATCGTGATTATAACAAATAGGTGAGCATACTTGGTAAAAGAAAATGTTTTAAATTGTAATATGATTTTTAGGTTTTTTGAGGAAAATTTAATTTAATTTTTAATTAATTTTAATATTAAATTTAATTTATGTTTCAGCTAAATGCACAGTTCCAGCAGGAGTAGGCTTTGGTATTTTACCATCTATGATGCACAGATCCAAAAAAATTTGGGGACCTGACGCGGACTATTTCAACCCGGACAGATTCCTACCGGAAGCCAACGCGCGGAGACACCCTTGCGCGTTCATACCGTTTAGTTTTGGGACTAGGAATTGCATCGGTAATGTGAATAATTATTTATGTAGGAAAAATATTTTTAGCACACAAATATATCTGCTAACTAGCATATTTTTTAATATCAGAATAAAAAATTGACCGTGGCGTTAATAGCAACATACGTACTTAAAGAAATAAATGAAAATTAGTTTTTTTTATATTTCTTAATAAACGATAGTAATAATAAAGAAAAATAATAGTAGATAAAATTAATTGCTATAGTGATATTAGTACTTTTTCATCATAATACATAAGTCATAGTTATTAAATGGTATGTGGCAACTGGCAATTTATTTAATTACGTAGAACATATTTAGGTATACTATATGTATATATTAAATAGGTATAGAAAATCTAAATTTTCAATTAAATTCCTTTATATTGTATAGGTAGGTATGTTGTATTTGCATGTTTTTATAAACTTCCTGCAGATGCGTTGTATTTTTACCCGACTGAGGCGAACCCCAAACCGATTTTCATGATTCATACGTCGTTAGATTTGTCTTGATCTTGATAACGCGATTATATAGATATCATTGAAGGTGAATCATCTAGGCGTCAATATGAGTTTAAAAAAAAAACCGTATCAATTGAGTGGGATATCAAAATACAGGTTTAGACGATTATAAAAATCTACTTATACCTACCAGACCCCTTCTAATTGTCTTCAAAAGTATACTATCTATTTAGCTTGAGCTTTGAAAAACTAGTAAAAAGTTTTATAGGACAACTTTCTACTTTTTTCGAAAAGGTTAACGTATTGCATAACTGTATGTTTATATTTATAAACATAGGTGTCCATACTAATAAATGCGAAAGTAACTCTGTTAGTTTATTTGTTTGTAACCTTTTCACGACTGAACGAATGAGCCGATTAAGATGAAAATTGGTTTGGAGATAGTTTGAGACCCTGGGAAGGACATAAGATAGTTTTTTCTCCGGAAATCATCTTTTGAGAGAGTGAAAAGGAGGGTGGAGATTTGTATGGGGAATCAAATATTTCTCAAGTAAGGGATATAATACTCATCATATAATTGTAGTCTATTCCATACAAACCATTTTTTTCTAGCTACACTTGAACTTCTGAAGCAGATATATTTAGGTACTAGACATCATTTTGGCCTTACTTTTTCCATTACGGTATCGATAGGACAAATATGTATTTCAAAAAGTTGTGTTCAACAAAAATATATCCGCGGCGAACTTTGAAATCGCGAATACAGACGTAGAAGAAAATACATATCCAACAGATTAAATGTCTAATTGTACCTACCTAGCCTACCTTTTATGTGTTACTTGTATCCACGTTTTATAGTAGTCACTGATAAATTAAACATAATTGTTCACAGGTCGCCATTTTGCTTTGTTAGCAATGAAGAGCATTCTTTCAAGTATTATAAGAAATTACAAAATAGCATCAAAAACTTGTGAGCGTTTGAAAATTGAAATTCTTTTATTTCCTGTTTCCGGACATCAAATTACTATAGAAAAAAGATCTTGAAAAAAGTAAATTTTAAATAAACAAACTAAATGAATAAAATAGACGGAGCATATGGCAGATGATAAATGAAGGCTGAAATAGTATTATATTTATAAGTAATATCATAACATTTTTTGCGCAGTGCCCGCAGTAGGTACATATACATACGTGTCGCAGGCATATTGTTTAATTCTTTAATTTATAAACGGTATCATCTGTTCGCAAGCGCTTGCTGGTATGTGAAATGTGCAAGGCAAATTCTTGTTTAGAAGCCATTGAATCACCACGTCAACAAACCAGAAGTAAATTGAATTATTAAGTCGACATATTGACAATTTCAAATTGCTTCATTTATTTTTCTATAAGCTTCACTATCTTCTTCTCTTATTTTGAGATAAATATATTTGGTTTAATGAAATATAATATTAAATAATAACAACTTCTTTTTCTTCTCCCTGCCCATTTCCCAATCACTTGGGGTCGGCGCAGTACATCTTCTGTATTGCCGATAGGATTTGGCAAAAGTTTTACAACGGCCGCCTGTCTGACATCAATTCTCCTTGGGAATGCTGTTGTCTCTCTTTGTCTGGATTCACGGAAGTCTTATAGTATGCACTTTCGATTTTTTTGTCTTTTAAAACATTTTTTATACTATTACTAATATTAAATAATAACAAGATGGAAAGTGTACGGTAGGATTGGTGATTATCACACTTTTAGCATGCTACGGGAAAGACAAAAAAGAGAACAGGTTGCTTGTTATGATATACATATTTATAGAAGTGAAGAAATTATATTACAGCAAAGTAAATCTTTTTGGTCTTTCGTTAAATCGAAAAAGTCTTGTAACGAGTTGCCGGCAACAATGTTCCTGGGCGATGTCTCGGCATCAGATGGTGAGAGTATTTGTGCTTTGTTCAGTAATCACTTTCAGTCAGTATACCAGCCTAACGCTTTTGACAGTGATATTAAGTTAAACAATAACATTGATCCAACTATGCAGGATGACTTGTCTATCGGTTCTGTTGAGTTATCCCCCAGCATTGTACATAAATATTTGAAACAGTTGGATCCTAGTAAGGATATTGGTCCTGATCTCATCCCTCCTTTCTTTTTGAGAATGTGTAGTGTGAGTCTGTCCCATCCTCTCTTTTTTCTATTTAGTAAGTCTCTTAAATCTGGAATTATGCCCACCACATGGAAGCGTTCTTTTGTAGTGCCAATTTATAAATGTGGAAGTAAACACGACGTCTCTAACTACAGGCCTATATGTAAATTAAGTGTGATAGCTAAACTATTTGAAAAAATTATATTTGATTAAATTTACCCTTTTTTAAGTTCACGTCTTATTGACCAACAGCATGGGTTCATTAAAAACAAATCTACTGAAACTAATTTGAACGAATTTATTCATCGTGTAACATCTGACATGGACTGTGGTGGCCAGGTAGATGTCGTGTATACGGACTACTCCAAAGCTTTTGACAAAATTCCTCACTCTTTGCTTATCAGTCGACTCACGGAGGTCGGTATACACGGCGATCTCCTGCGTTGGTGTGCCTCTTATTTACGAGAGCGAAGTCAAGCTGTAACTATAAAAGGATTTTGCTCCTCATTTGTGCCAGTCGCATCAGGCGTTCCTCAAGGCTCGCATCTCGGGCCTCTGCTTTTTAATATCTTCATTAATAAAATTCATTTGATATTTAAACATTCTGAAATTTTGTTATACGCTGACGACATGAAGATTTTAAAGACTGTCAATAAAAATGACGATTGTCAATTATTATAAAGTGATCTTGATAGGTTGTGCCAATTTTGTAATAGTAATGGTCTTATTCTTAATATTAAAAAATGTAATGTCATAAGTTTTTCACATAAGACCAATATTGTCAAATACGATTACACCTTGAATAATAATTCAATTAAACGTGTTACCGAGGTGAGAGATTTGGGTGTATATCTTGATCATAAACTTACTTTTTCTAGCCATATAGACCACATTGTTGGTAAGGCACATCGCATGCTAGGCTTTATACTCAGAATAGGAAAAGATTTTCGAAATAATTCTACTTTAATTGTTCTATATAATGCTTATGTCCGTTCTATACTAGAATATGCTTCTTCCGTTTGGAATCCACAGTACAGCAAATATATAAATAGAATTGAAAACATCCAGATTAAATTTAATAAGCATTTATTATATAGATCAAAAAACAATAATCAGGAATTTCCTAATTTAGTCTCCCTATTGGATCGCCGACGCCTAAAGGATGAACTTTTTCTATTTAAAATTATCAGAAATCATGTGCATTCACCATTTCTTTTAAGTAATATTTGTTTAAGATGTCCTCGACCGCAATCACGTAATTTGTCATTATTTTATCTACCTAGAATAACAACTAATTATGCACGTAATAGCTTTATATACCGTTCTTGCAGATTGCATAATGAAATATTTAATGACATAGATTTATTTTCCCTTTCTTTAAATAAGTTCAAAATTTTAACCAGAAGTGTCTGTTCGTGATTTCCCCGTTTTTTTTTGTTATATACTATAATTTTTAATTTTAATAAGCTAACATATACCTACCTTAAGAATGTGTAAACAGTGAAGACTTAATTGGTGTATGTAATTTTTTTCTTTTGTTTATAATATGTAACATAATACTGTTTGTCTTCCAAATAAATAAATAAATAAATAAACAGTCGTATATTATTGTAATATATCAACTTCCCTATAATTTGTAAAAAAATATGGAATAATAAATATTAAATCACTTGATATTGAAGCACCTATGAACATCCTACCTACTAATAAATAATAATATGAAATTCGAAAATATGTAATCATAAAGAGCTAAAATCTATTAGGTATTTTATATGCAAAATATTTTCCCGACTTGTGGCCTTAGTTAGATCTCAAGCTCTCATTAACTTTTTTTTTGATGTTTTTCGTTGAAAGTATGTAATTTAAAATTTTATCTAATAACTGTAAATCCATTTAGTAGATTTAATGGCTATAGGTCAATGCATGATTGCCTAATTGTATTAAAATTAATACAATAATTTAAGATATCATCGACACTTCGCCATTGGGATGAATTTTCTTTAAAATTTATTCGTACCTTATGGTCCGGGGGCCAGTTAAAAATGTATAATTATATATTATTATATAAAAGATAATTAGTGGACTGTGGAATGCTTCAGAGAGTTTTATCATAAAGCTTCATGAACATCAGCTGCGGCTCTGCGTGCTCTGCAAATTAGAACTAAAAAAAAACCGACTTCGAAGTTCGAAAGTTAAACGGGGGTTTTCATTTAGAATAGATACCTGATCAGATATTTTCGAAGTCGGTGCCAGTCGACAATATTTTAAGATATTAATATCTAACAGGTAAATATGTATTTTACGTATCGAAATATATTAGATTTGCTTTGCATCGACTGGCGTCGACTTCGAAAATATCTGATTAGGTATCTATTCTAAATGAAAATAACCGATTAGTTATATTTTTTTACATTTTAGTGCCTGGAAGTCGTTTTTTTTTAAGTTTTTATATTTTAGAGAATTAAAAATAAGTATAGATAAACAAAAATATAACATGTATATTAATATATACTACATTAGGGTAGGGTAATTCACGAAGCTTTATGATACAACTCTCTGATGCATCCCACCAATTATCGCTTGAGAGGAAATAAAAATAATAGACTAAATTTTTAGCTGGCTCCAGGATTATTAATACGAATGACCTAAAAATGGTGTGAAATTCAGAAACAGGGATCCCAATGAGCGATAGAATTTTTGTAATTTTAACTTCGAAGCTTACGGGATAACATGCTAAGTTACCCGAGAAGACTTTGTAAGTTGTAAGTTGTAACTTTATAAGATGATTTTAGTATTTTTAATTTTTATATTTGCTGCGATGTTGTCTGTTCAACTTTACATATATAATCTGTAGTTTGTTTATGTTATTCGTTTTAATCTATGGAAATAAACATGGCTGGCTTGGTTTGTTGGCTGTCTAATTTTCGGTAGCATTCCGCTATTTCTAATAGTTTAGGTTATTTGTGTTTATTTTCAAAACAATTTATTATTTGTAAAAAATAATAATTTATTTCGACAGTGATTAAAAGTCAAGAACGTATGATGTCACACTGCATTCTTTGAAAACAAGGTAAGTTATGGTAGCTATAGCGTAATAAAATGGGCCTGTAGACTCTTTCTAAGTAATTCCTGAATGTAATTAAAACATTTGTCTAATTAGGTTTCGAAGTCTTAAGCATGGATTTTGGGAACCCTCCTCCGAATATGGGAATGCCTCCGCCCGGCATGGGTGGGCCGATGGGCCCAATGGGCCCGCCGGGCGCGCTGGGTCGAAACAACATTCGCCATAATTTTAGGCCTTTCAACTATCAGATGCGATTTCCACCTCAAGGTCCTCTAAATATGACTCAAGACGACTTCGATGGTAAACGTTTACGTAAATCGGTTATGCGTAAAACTGTAGATTATAATTCATCAATTATTAAGGCTTTAGAATGTCGTGTGTGGCAAAGGGACTGGCGGGATAGGCATGCGTTACAACCGGATGCTATGTATACACCTGATTTATTACCACCACCTTCATACCCCGATAATCCTATCAATGCTGTTACCACTCGATTTGTCAAGACTGCCACTAATAAAATGAGATGCCCTATTTTTGCTGTTGCCTGGACACCAGAGGGTCGAAGACTTATTACAGGTGCTTCATCTGGAGAATTCACATTATGGAATGGATTAACATTTAATTTTGAAACTATTCTTCAAGCTCATGACTCTCCTGTGAGATCAATGGTATGGTCCCATGGCGAAGGTTGGATGGTGACAGGAGATCATTCTGGATTTATCAAGTACTGGCAAAGTAACATGAACAATGTAAAAATGTATCAGGCTCATAAGGAAGCCGTAAGAGGCATTAGTTTTAGTCCTAGTGATTCTAAAATTGTTACATGTTCAGATGATGGTACTCTGCGTATATTTGATTTTTATAGATGTCAAGAGGAAAGAATATTAAGAGGACATGGTGCTGATGTAAAATGTGTGCAATGGCACCCCACAAAAGCCCTCATTGTGTCTGGTAGTAAAGATAATCAGCAACCAATCAAATTATGGGATCCTAAATCTGGTACAGCCTTATCTACTCTTCATGCTCATAAATCTACTGTAATGGATCTAAAGTGGAATGATAATGGTAATTGGCTAATAACTGCATCTCGAGACCACTTATTAAAATTATTTGACATTCGTAAACTTGGAACAGAATTACAAATATTTAGAGGCCATAAAAAGGAAGCTTCTAGTGTTGTCTGGCATCCAACTCATGAGGGTCTATTTTGCTCAGGCGGTTCAGATGGATCTATACTATTTTGGAATGTTGGCACTGATAAAGAAGTTGGATGCATTGAAGGGGCTCATGAATCAATAGTTTGGACCATGGCGTGGCATCCACTTGGTCACATTTTATGCTCTGGATCGAATGACCATACTTCTAAATTTTGGACTAGAAATCGCCCCGGTGATCAAATGAGAGACAAATATAATCTTAATACATTGCCACCTGGAGTTCAAGATGATACAGAGCTTGAGGAACCAGCAGCTATACCTGGAATGGGTCCCGAAGATAAGGTTGAGATATTTTCTTCTGATACAGATAAAGTAATTCCTGGTTTAGATTTAGATACTACATTTATACCAATGGATTTTGAAAAGAAAGTAAAGAAAGTACCTTATAGTAAACCTATACCTAGAAATTTCCAAGTTCAATGGAATCATGGTCCTACTGTTGATGATGCAGCCACAGAAGCATTAACACAAGCATTAGTAGAATCTGTGCCTGGTGCTGTACCTCTTCAACAACTTAGTCCTACTGCTATCTTTATATATGGTAAGTTAATTCCTGTAGAACCTAACTCAAAACTTGAAAAAGCTATAACTGATGGACCCATAGCATTAAAAAGATATATAGCTACAGGGGAAATTGAAGAACTTGATGACATGATGCCTCACTTAGAAGAAGATGCTGATGATGAAAATTTCCCTCCATTTGAATATCCTACTCAAGAAAATAATGAAGATGAAAATGAAACTTCTGAGAAAGATGAAAAGAAAGACAAGGAAGACTATGAGAAGGAAGAATACTTTGATAACGAAATGGAAACAAATGAACAAAATCAGGAGGACTATAATTATGACAATGGCTCTGACATGAATAATATGATGCCAATGGGCCCAATGCCACCTATGGGATTATTGAGACCTCCAATGAATATGGGACCTATGAGACCACCCATGGGTCCTCCTCCAATGCATTCTATGCATATGCCACCTCCAGGAATGCCACCAATGGGTGTTTTGCCACCAATGGGTGGGATGCCCCCTATGGGGCCACCCATGGGAAACATGCCTCCAATGGGCAATATGAATCAACGCCCACCATTTCCAGATAATGGTTACAATAAAGGGCACTATGAAAGCGGCTATGGCAGTAACCAGTCATATTCTCAAGAAAATGAAGAGTTTAATGAAGAAGAATCTTATGATCAAAATTATGATGAAGAAAATTATAATGGTGAAGAAGATGGTGAAAATGACAATTATGGACGAAATCAAATGTGGGGCGGAGGTTTCAGAGGAAGAGGTCAAGACAGAGGTATGAACAGAGGAAGAGGTCTTGATCGCGGAAGAGGCATCGACCGCGGCAGAGGGCGAGGCATGAATGGTTTCGGGGGACGTAACATGCGCAGAGGTGGTCCTCCTCGAGGTACAACATGGACTCGCCGTGGCACAGGTGGCAACAGACAATTTAGAAGAGGAGGAAAACAAATGAATTGATATTGATAATTTCAAAATGCATGCCGCATAAACTCTCAAAGCTGATTTGAACTATAAGTTATGTGTTAAGTGTAAAAGATTAAAAAGTGTTGGTGAATAAAAGGTTGTATATAATTTTTACTTACAGCTTGTATTTTATTTCACAGAGTTAAAATAAAAAAAAATATAAAATTAGTATAATTTGTAAAAAAAATTATTAAAAACTTTCTGCAGGTTCCCTTTCACAATGCTGATATACTGGTGAGTTTATTACTTTTAGTGATGTTATATTTTAATGTTGACAAAATATATATGATTTATATTTTTTTATATCAGGTAATAATCAGATGAAAGGAATGATTTTCTCATCAAGCTGAAGAACTTGCTGTCATTTGTTGCAACTTTAAGACTTCAAAGAGGTGCTGCTCATCTTTTATCATCATACTTATAGTAAGAACTTGGTAATTTTTGATTATGTTTATAAATAAAGATAGAAGAGTTTCCAATAAATTATATAACCTATTCAATAAGAAGCTTTTGTTTATGTGGGATGAAATAAATGTTGAAAAAATAATAAAGTAATGTCCAAGATATATCCCTTCCTATACCACCTATGAAATAAGTCAGTATGATAGGACAATCATAGTTTTTGCATAAATTTACTATTTTACTTAAATCATTACATATTATTGCAAGTTTTGTTACTAAGATCAGTATATATTTGCTATTTATGTATTTTTATTATTATCTTCCATGTGTGTTTTATTAGTTGTTTCCTTTTACACAATACTAAATAAAAATGATTTCTGCATTTAATGCATCAATTTTTTTTTATATATATATAGAATTATATTCAAATCTATATACAGTTGAATGCTTGTATGATACAAGATTTTCTTTATATATATGTTTTTGGAATTGCTGTTACTAGAAGAAAATTTAAGGCATCTGGTAAAAAAGTTAACAATGTTAATTTATTTATTACTTGGAGCATTTGCTATATTTGGAAGTTTTTTATATACTGACTTAATCTATTCCTTGTACTCTTCCATCCTTGGACAGTTTAAAAATACTTTGTAAACGGTTTTCAAGTTATAAAGAAAAAAGTTAAGAACATTTGTAGAAAAATAAATTTATGAAAATTTTCAGGGTTTCATTTGCTATCGCCCTTTACCTGCATAAATAAAGATAAATTGAGAAATAAAGTGTAGTTTCAATTTTTTTACTTTTTTTTCTCCCTGAATGTCTTTTAAGGCACGTTTTTAATAATATTTTTTTTTGTTACAGATGAATCTTGCCCCATGGGTGTATCAGTTATTAACAATTTCGGTGTGCTGGGCCAGTCAATATGACAATGGAGGTGATAAAAATGCACTAACAGCCGCCGTTTCGATTGAAAATACCACAGTGCGTCTAGAACCTATAGAGGGAACACCTAACTATAGGCTCATAAGGTCAGAAAAAGGCACACAATGGTTTCCAGAACGGGAAATAAAATTAGATAGCTGTGTCAGAAGAGCACAATGTGAACCTCTTAACAAAACTACTTGCCTCGGAGTAAAACTGCCATACAATACTACAAGCGTCCGTTTGACATTTTATGAAAGTCAGTACAAAATACAAAATCAATTAGAATTATACAGAGAATTGATAAATGTACCAAAATGTTGGGCCGTCATACAGCCGCTCCTATGTGCCACATTTATGCCAAATTGCGAACGAATATTAGGTCAAGATATGGTTTATCTGCCATCTTATGAGATGTGCAAAATTACAATGGAACCATGTGCAATATTGTACAATACTTCATATTTTCCGTCCTTTCTGAAATGCAATGCAACTCTGTTCCCGCCGAAATGCGAGAACGCTGCCAGAGAAATGAAATTTAATACCACTGGAAAATGCTTACCACCACTAATACATACAGACAAAAAACTGCATTTTTATGAAGGTAAACTCAATATATTTTGAGTTTTTTTTTCAATACATAAGTAGATGATGTAATTTAATTATTTTACCTAAAAATATTACATATTTCTATTATACTATATTCTCAAATATTCAAATATTATTTTAATTATTAATTAATATACATCAATATGGCATTGGTAGTTTAAATGGTATATATATTTTTTATATAAGGTATATCAGGCTGTGGCCTACCTTGTCGAGATCCGCTGTACACTGAGGATGAACACCAACAAATACACCGCCTAGTGGCTTGGGGAGCTGGAGTGTGCCTCGCACTGAACTTGCTAACAGTGGCCACATTTCTAATAGACTGGAGGAGTGCAAACAAGTACCCTGCCTTAGTGATTTTCTACATAAATGTGTGCTTTGCAGTTGCTTCTATGGGGTTAGTTAAATAAAATTATTTTATTTTTTATTCATGTTTCTCTATAATCTGTCTATACAGTCATAGTTGTGAAATATATTTGAATGATATATATAAGTTATAATATAGTAAGCAATTTATAGACTGCTAAGCCTAATATAGTCTAAGACTATATCATTATTTTAGTATGTATACAAAATAAAAAATATACATTGAGACAAAAAAAATGTACAAATATTATTACATATTTTATCATCGGTACTGAATGTAACTGGTTTATTTGTCCCTGTTTCTAACATGTGTTTGCTGACATTCCACATTTTTTTAACATTTTACACTTTCTTTTACAGATGGTTAGTGCAATTTGGTGTGGGATCAAGAGATGATATTGTATGTTCCAAAGATGGTACGAGGAGACAGGGGGAACCTTCTGCGGAAGAAAATTTATCCTGTGTTGTAGTTTTTGTATTGGTATGTATATCTTTCTTTACTTTTAATATACTTATTGATATATATATATATATATATATATATATATATATATATATTTATATATTTATTTATAAACTTTATTTACAGGTGTATTACTTTATGATGGCGGCATGCGTGTGGTTTGTGATATTTACTTATGCATGGCACATGAGTTTCAGAGCATTAGGTAAGTGAATTTGTTAGCATACAAATGGAATACCATTTCTAAAATTTATTTGTTAAAGTTTAGTCAGGTTACATACTGTATCATCCCAGTTAGAACAGTACAGTATAGTTGTTATTAGTTGTTTGTAGTGCACAACTTAAAATAGTAATAAGTTTGAAGTACTTTAATTACTGAAGTTACAGTATAATTTTGACGACTCTAACTGGACACATCTGTTCGGCCCAGTGCACTCGTAATAAATGTAGCGACGCATCGCTTCGAAAAGATATCGTGCAAAGTAAGCTAAACTAAAAATGTACGTGTAACCGTACACATACAATTATAATGAATTATACAGTATAGTTCAATTGTTCATCCCTTCCAATCAAACTCGCAGACTCTTTCTAATATTAATTTCAATTTATATTTTAATTTTTAGGCAAAATTCAGGACCGTATCGACAAAAAAGCAGCTTACTTCCATCTGGTAGCATGGTCTTTACCATTAATTTTAACTATAACCACCATGGCCTTTGGAGAAGTAGATGGTAACAGTGTGACAGGGGTCTGCTTCGTTGGCTACGTGAATCATCCGATGAGAGCCGGTCTGCTATTAGCACCACTGTCTGTTGTTTTGTTACTGGGAGGATACTTTTTGCTTAGAGGTGCATACTGTATATTCTTACAGTGTTTTTATTATTTAAAATATTTAACTGCGCCAACGTTCATTTACCATTATTCAGCATTAAATTATTTCAAATTTTTCCTCCAAATCATGAGTCTATTACCAGTTTGGAAAGAAGAAACCTCAGAGTTCAGATCCTAGAATAACTAGTGAAAGAAATTCAGTAAGAATAAAATTATTAATAAAAAAATCTTGGGTTGTATATGTATAGCCTCTGTTTGATTTTGCTAAATTTATGGCTATTTGTACTACTTGATCTTAGGCGATGTTCTGTTATTTTATCTGCGACTAGCGACTCACCATCGCTTCGCTCACGTTCGTCCCCTAGGTACGTTTTAATTTACGTGGTAATTTTAATTTTCTGAGCTGAACCCTAATTCTTTTTCTAAAATAAAAGTAGGCTATGTTACTCTTTATAATATCAGCTACATTCCAGTGAAAGTCCCGTCAAATCAGTTCAGCCGTTTCAGAAATCATCCAGAACAAACAGACAAACAAAAATTTAAAAAAATGTGTTTTTGTTATAAGTACTGTATATAATTTCATATGCATTCAGTAAAACGCTGTTATTTTGACATAACAAACAGACACTTTAATTTTATTTATCTGTATGGATTCGTTTGGTTTTTGTAAAAAAAATAATAATAATAAGTTTATATGTATTCTAGGTGTATTCTCGCTAATAGCGGTGCGCGTGTCCAGCAAGGACGTGATCTCGCCGCGCGCCGCCAACAAGATCCGGCAGACCATCACGCGCTGCTCGCTAACAGCCGCGCTTGTCGCCATCTTCATATGTGTCACCTTTGCCTGCCACGTCTACGAGTTTCGGAATGCTGATGCGTGGAAGGAGGCCTTCAAGAAGAATATCATGTGTGTGTTATATGAATTTAAAACTTTTTAACCTCCCAGTACTATAAGCACAGGCCTTTATTCAATACGAGGGAATCGGGCCGTTGTCCACCATGATGGCCAAGTGCGAGTTGGATTTGACATCTTTTGAAAACTTTCTAGGTTCTCTCAGATATGCAAGTTTCCTCAGAATATTTTCCTTCACAGTAAAATAAGTGATAATCATTTTTTTTTATTATTTATAATTATGCTAATTTGTGACCATTGCCTGCTTCCTTGTGCTGTATACATTTGTTTGTATACTAGTTCTGTAATGGTGATGCTTGGATGGAGGTTATAAAGAATATTGTGTGGGAAGGGAGGAACTCACTGTTTAAAATGAAGGAATGAATGTTATTTGTTTTATGTCAGCAATATCTTTTAATTATCTCATAAAATCTCAAACTAATATAAAAAAATATAAATAATAATCATGCCAACATACAAATTAAAAAAAAATATATACTTTTCAACTTTTTGAGTTTAAATTGATACTTAGAAACCACTAGACATCCACTGTTTAGTGATATTTTTAAACTCATCATCGTCACAATAACTTAGTACAAGTTTGTCCCGCCAGCTGCCGCCTGGAAGGCTTGAAGGAGGGGAGCGGGCGCGAGTGCGGCGCGGGCGCGCGGCCGTCGGTGTCGGTGCTGCAGCTGCGCCTGCTGTGCTGCTTCGCGGCGGGCGCGCTCATGGCCTCGTGGACCTGGACGCCGGCCGCCGCCGCCGCCTGGAGGCGTTATATGGCTAAGTGAGTGTTTGTACTTTGTTGTATTCGTTTTATCTTTAGGTTAGATAAATATTGGTTTTGCATATTATAAGCGACGTGCCTTCGAATCACGCGGGTGTGTCCCTAGGTGCCTACATAAAAAAAATGCAGTTGTTATTATTTTTTTTAATAAAGAAATGTTTTTTAGTTAACCTTGATAACTTCAATATTTGAGGCATTTTTCTTCCATGTCCCATCCATTTGTTCCACTCTACATAAATAAAATACGCGAGTGGATGCGCAAGTAAAAGAAAATCATTAAATATTGGTTTCTGCAGCCTTCTCTACACAAACTTTAATTATGCCAAAGTTCATATTCTTCCGTACATGCAATATGCTCAAAAAGGAGGTCAAAGTTTTCTCTTCTCGTATTATATGTAGATGTTGATATAACTGCCTCGGTGGTGTAGTGGCTAGTACGGCTGCACACAGATCCTGGGTTCGAGTCCCGTTTAGTTATTGAGTCTTTCTGTATAGTAAGCTTCAGTAACAGCCCGGAGTTGGGAAGTTGGCGGTGTTTCACCCCCATGCCTCGGAGAGCACGTAAAGCCGTCGGTCCTGCGCCGACACTCTCACCGGTCGTGTCGAGTGGTCGTCCCACCGGAGTATGAGAGTGACAGGAATAGAGAGTGCACGTTGTGTCTGCGCGTACACGCGCTGCACTATAATATCTCCTGCGCAGTTGGCTAGTTTCAATGAGATTGGCCGCCGTAGCCAGAATCCGCTAGGAGAACATCATCATCATCATCATCAGATGTTGATATATTAGATTGATTCATGTGCAAATCATTTCTAACATGATTACCATTTGCCTTACGGCGAAGGAAAACATCGGGAGGAAACCTGCATGTCTGAGAGAACCTAACAAGTTTTCGAAAGACATGTGAAGTCCGCCAACCCGCACTTGGCCAGCGTGGTGGACTATGGCCTGATCCCCCTCGTATTAAAGGGAGGCCCGTACCCTGCAGTGGGACGTTAAAAAGGGCTGAATAGAGATATAAGATAGAAGTGAAATAAGTTTCCAAATTTAAAGAAGATTAAACAATTTCCAAAGGAAGTGTGGGTGTTCAGTGGAGGCGGACATGACGCGGCGCGCGCGCAAGCACGAGCTGATAGCGCGCGCGTACAAGCGCCGCAACGAGTTCATCACACGCGGCCGCCTCTCCATCTCGCTGGGCGGCTCGCGGCAGGACCCCGTGGCCTTCTGCCTGGACCACACCTCGCCCGTGGACTATCCCGACGACGGGAAACATGAGAGGTGTGTGTTGTATTTAATAGATGATCGGTTGTTTTGTGTTCGGTAGAAATCGTTCGATATCTATAGTTTTTATTAAAAAGGATGATGAACAATTTTCTAGCGAAGCTACAAAGGTAGTTTCTATTTCAGACCGTTTTAGAACAGAATAGATTAAATTCTCAATTCGACCACAGATTTCAACAATAAACAAAAAGAGTATATATGTGTGTGTGTGTGTGTGTGTGTCAAATACATGCCTAGTGCGTGTAATGTTTTTTTTATTGATGTACTTTTTATGCATAATTTAAAAAAAAATAGCATTCTGCCCCCCTCTCTATATAAACTATAAGTGTGGGAAATTTCACACTCCTCAATCTGCGCAATTTTCATAAAAAGGGGTACAAAGTTTTGGCTTCACGTATTAATATATAGATCGTAATAAGTAGTAACGAGTAAGGTGTATGCGCGTATTGTATTTATTGTACACACCAGCGCGTGTTACCGCAGCGCGGAGCTGTCGTCGTCGTGGGCGGCCAACCTGCCGCGCTTCGTGCGGCGCCGCGACGCGCTCGTGCTGCCCGCGCACGCCCACGACCTCAGCTCCACGCCCGACAGGCGCAACTCGCAGGTATATCTTTATGTACCTTTCGTTTAGTCTTGTTACGAAAAGTATGAAGAGTGGTGATGAAAAAGTCTCCGTCGAAAAGCGTTAAATGAGTGTGGCGCTACAGTAGCGACAGCTTAAATTCTGAAGGTGCCAAGAGTCTATAGTAATAAAAGATATAGTCTGTCTATATATCTTATTGTATTTTTTTTTATTAAAAGGGTCTCACCAGGTTTCCATATGAAATTCTTCACTTACATAGTTGTCGCAAATAATTTTGCAATTATTAATCCCTCCACGACGTGGACACGCCGGCGTTACAGTTAACAATAGATTTCTCAGAAATTTAATTAATTTCTTAGAAATTTACCTGGAGGTGTTAAACCTGTAGTTGTGATCGTTTGTGAAAACTAAGATTAGCCCGTTCAAACAAACAAACAAATTATGCCTCTTTATAATATTAGTATAGATATTGTAATGAAACCAAAAGTTTCAAATTATTTGTATATTCAATATTAAGTGATTTAATATAAATATATTTATTATTCTTAATTTTTTTACAAGTTATAGGGAAGTTGATATATTACAATAATATACGACTGTTGCTATTATATAATATTATATTTCATTAAACCAAATATGTTTATCTCAAAACAAGAGAATAAGATAGTGAAGCGTATAGAACAATAAATGAAGCAATTCGAAATTGTCAATGTGTCTACTTGAATTTATGAATTTGCCTTTAGCATTTCACATACCAGAAACCATTTGCAAACAGATGGTGCCATTTGTAAATTGACGAATAAAACAATATGCCTGCATATTGCACATAATTGTATGTATATTGTATCTACTACGAGTACTGCGCAAGGAATGATATTATAAATCCACTAAATATAATACCATTTCAGTCTTCATTTATCATCTTCCATATGCTCCGTCTATTTTATTCATTTAGTTTGTTTATTATTAATGAATCACCATAATAACATCTTAAATATAGAAAAAGAAATACTAAGAAAGTATTATATAATAACACCTGTTTTCAAGATATTTTTTTATAGTAATTTGATGTCCGGAAACAGGAAATAAAAGAATTTCAATTTTCAAACGTTCACAAGATTTTGATGCTATTTTGTAATTTCTTATAATACTTGAAAGAATGCTTTTCATTGCTAACGTACCAAAATGGCCGCCTATGGGCTATTGTTTTTAATTTATCAGTGACTACTATAAAACATATTTATACAAGTAATACATAAAATATAGGTACAATCACATAGTGTGATATTTATCTGTTGGACAGGCATTTTCTTCTATGCCTGAAGTCGTCACTTCAAAGTTCGCTAGGGATATAAGATTTAAAGATTTTTATTGAACATAATAACATACATATTAAAAACATTTAGATCGTAAGTAGCTGCATTAGTATAAACTGTGTCGCAGCTATTTACGCCCACCTCGGGACAATAAGGACAGTTAATAGTTATGTTCTAAGGTTAGTACAAATATATTATTAGGGTGTGTTAGCAGAATTAGTTACTATTGTACTGATATTAATTTAGTTTAAGCTTATATTTATAAATTATACGAATCTTTAGGAGATGAAAATAGAACAATCAGGTTGGTAAGTTTTATAGTAGCGTAAGTACTACACTGTATAATATATACCTGCTTTATGTACGTACAGAGCTTATAAATAATAATTCACAAAATTATCTTATAAATATACAATTAACTTATGTTCATTAGTTATCATAAACAAGTGATTCAGTCTCTTTATAATTGAGATTTTGCAAAAACTTAGTTACTTTATTTTTACATTGCCAGTAAGACAGAGGATGGATGTTTATTAATGCATTCAATTTGTTGTAGATTTTAGCCGAGAGATAGTCATAATGATTTCTAATTATATATATATATATATATATATATATATATATATATATATATATATATATATATATATATATATATATTATTTATTTATAATAATATGTTTTTATTGAACACAGAACTATTTGAAATATTCCTCCTATCCTGTAATGGAAATAGTAAGGCCAAGGTAGTGTTTAGTACCTATCTAACTATAATCTTCAACTCGTTAGTAACGTTGGTCAACTTTTTATTATTATGTTTAAAATGCTAATTAGCAAATATTTATATGTATATAAGGAAAAATAATGTTTCTACATAAATTCACATTACCAATGCAATTGGTAAGTCCTATGACTAAACGGTATGAACGCGCAAGGGTGTCTCCGCTCGTTGGCTTCCGGTAGGAATCTGTCCGGGTTGAAATGGTCCGCGTCAGGTCCCCAGATTTTTTTGGATCTGTGCGTCATAGATGATACAATTCCACAGCCTACTTATGCTGGAACTGTGCATTTAGTTGATATATATCACTAATTTTAAATATACATTACAATGTCACCAAGAAAAAAACGAATACCATAGATATATGTTAGGTTTGTCTTGATATCGCGAGTGTCATAGGGGATATAGATTTATAAAAAAATCTTAATGGCGGATCTTAGGTGTTAATTTATGGTGTTAGCAAAATATATACAACTTATATGTTTAAAAATAATTTGGAGTAAGAAATTGTTGAACTAAATATCTCTTAACTTACCAAAACTAAAAACTGCCGGGCGTCCAGTGAGAGCCAATTTTTTTAAAAATACTTAAGAAAATTATTTCTAACTGACAAAAAGACTATGACCAATTGAAATAATCTTCGATCAACAACACTACTAGATAGCGTATCACATACAAAATCAAAGCTAAATTCTGTCCGCGCGAATATGTACTTGTACAGCTTCATTTGTGTACTAACGAACCAAGACAAAGTCTTATAATAGTTTTATTTTCAAGCTAATCAACACCATAGCACCTTGCAATAAAGTCACAAATCTTCAAATTATCATCATACACTTACGATCATTTCGTAAGTTTTGTAATCTTTATTGTAAAATCAACTTTATATTTAAAAAACAAAAAGCACTTTTTCCCGTTGTTGCTTTGTGAGCTTAAATCGTTGTTTTGTTTCTGCTTGCTTCTTTGAATTTGCGCATGTATTTGCCAACCTGGGCCAACGTTCTTAGCGGATTTAAAATTGTTCAAAATTTTATTTTTATATTATTTCGTAGGTTAAATCTTAAAATATTGACTTAATCTACATGTACTTATCGAAAATAAGACATTCTTCGCGCATTATTTTCGCAACTTAAACACACCCTTGTGAACGTGTTAAGTTGGCAGTGTTTGAATAGAACTAATCGAAATATACGCTCACTTTGCAAGTGAGCTTATATTTACCGAGACGGATTTCTTACGCCGACTAGTAGTATTGTTGATCGAAGGTAATAATTATCAAACACACATACAATACAATATAAGCCAACTTCTTTAAACGCGAAGGATTTATCTAAGAGCTAAATTTTCGCCGTAATATTTTAAATAAATAACAAACAAGATCCAAACGTTTGATTCCGTGAAAAAATGATAACATTAAGTAGGTACCTATCTTCAACAATTTAATGCGTATATTTAGGAGGTGCGAATTTACTTGCTATTTACCGAAAAACTGAATAAAGTAAACAAATTATGAAGTCACCACGTCCGGGAATTTATGAGTTAAGTCTATATATTTTTTTTGTAGCTTCGAATATGATGTAAGCTTAAAAAGGGCATCGATCGATCGATATGACAGTATTGCGTGCGCGTAGGTATGGCGTGTCAGGGTTATGTTGAACATCCATTTTTTCTCCCATTGCAGTTTCTGAATTCAAATCTATTATTTTACTAGCATTGCCCGCGGCTTCGCCCGCGTTCATATAACCAAAAACCAAATTCTTAGGTTTTACATATTAGTATACTCTTACATGGCAGTTTTTGTATTTTTTCTCAGAAATGAGATATTTTCCCGCAGTAAAAAGTATCCTATATGTTGACCCGGATAACCAGCTATCATCATACCAAATTTCATGAAAATCCCTCCAGTGGTTTTTTCGTGATGCGGTAACAGACAGACAGACAAAAATTCTAAAAACTATAGATTCGGCCTCTGTATCGATAATAATATCTATTTCAATAAGATTTCCCAAAATATATTTAATGTACAGATTCGGCTTATTTGTAGATTTTAATACAATTTAAGTAATGAAATTAAAAAATGAGAGTGAATATTTTATACCTAGAGCCAGATAGAAACTTCTGAATTGTTGATTTCTCATACGAGCAGATTATTTTTTTTGTTCAATAACTATAAATACTATAAATTGAGCTAAACGTGTCGTAAATGCCAGGCGATAATGCTTTTAGATATGTCTAATATGTAAATATGACAAGGTACGAACTTTAATTGTAGTTAAAATATTGGACATACATTTGTGATGTATTTATTTATACATACCTATCGCAAGAGATTTACTTTCCTTTGCATCGGCTTTTTACAAAAAAAATTGTAGTTTTTATTTTAACTACAAAAAGTAGGTAATACTAATTATAGTATATATATATATATATATATATATATATATATATATATATAGTAATAATTACGTGTCTGGCGCGCATCTCTAATTAAATTCGAAGGATACTAGAGAAAGCCAAATCTTTTTATTTATCTATACAGATAAATAAAATTGAAGTGTCTGTTTGTAATATCAAAACAACAGCGTTTTACTAAATGCATATGAAATTATACACGGTATATTATAAGAAAAACACATTATTTTAATTTTTTGTCTGCCTGTTTGTCCCGGATAATCTCTGAAACGCTGAACTAATTTGGACGAGACTTTCATTGGAAGATAGCTGATGTTATAGGGAATAACATAGGCTACTTTTATTTCAGAAAAAGAATTAGGGTTCCGCTCAAAAAAATTAAACGTACGAAACCGAGCGAAGCGAGGGTGAGTCGCTAGTACACATGCATGGTATGATGAATTGTTCTGGGTTGTATTGTAACGTATTTTCCCGTGGGAATTAAATAATCGCCCGTGGTTAAGAGTAGCCTATGTCATTCTCCAGCCCTCCAAATATCTCCACATAAAAACCATTATTCAATTATTAATTCTAAACCTTAACTTAATCTGTCATGTAATGTTACATTCACAATGCCTAGCCCGTACATATAATTCTATATTTTATTATCAATTAGTCGACAAAAAATATTTTATTTTTGGTATTTTTTAAATGTTTTATTTTTGGTATTTTTTATGACTATTTCTCGTCTGTCTCTGTGTTTTTCGTGACCATTCTATCACCAACACATCACAACATCGTAACCGAATTCACGATTAATATTTATGATAAACTTTATATTTAAGCTTTTACTATACTATGTAGAGAGAACTAAAATCATGTCTCAAATAAAATTCGTTATCTTTACAGGATTCGCAAATAAGCATCAGTTTACGTCACGTCTCAGTGGAATCTCGTCGCAATTCCCTCGACAGCCAGCTCTCAGTTAAAATTGCTGAAATGAAGACAAAAGTAGGGCGACGTCGCACAAAGCACAGCAAAGCTAAGAGAAAGCGCGCCTCCCGCAAAGAAAGCACCCCGTCCATTGAGAGTCAGATCAGCAGATACTGGCTTCAAGCCGTCGCAGCCAACAACGACCCGTCGAGAGAAGAAGTCAAGTTTAGCTTTGATTAGCTAAGCTTTTATTGTGGTACAACCTTTATGTAAAGATAGTGATGTGCTTATATCAGCAAGGTGAATTTCTGATGTCGATAGTCATCGATTTTTGACATCGACACGCGGTACGGTACTTAACGTATCGGCACTCGAATAATATATCTATCTTTGCTTATGGTAGGGGAACCCAAGAGGGGTTTTTGCAGTTACTCAAGCGCGACAGAGTAACATTAGGGGGGATACCTCGCATTCTGTTGAGTACCTCTATCATAATATAAGTCCTCTGTATAAGAACGCGCGTCTAGGGCAGCCGATCAAAATATTTAAAAAATATTACATAATAATAAACATAAACTTTATGTTGATTTTTGCCTCTTCGGCTTGTGCATATCGGCAGATCATTGAATTGCGCACTTTTCAGGGTGTAATTAGCCCACCATACTTTAATTTGACGGTTTCAAGTATTTCTACCATATCAAAATATTTTTTAAAAGCTCCCCTACTATTACAAAAGTTGCCTATGTTCATATAACTCCACTGGTATATAATGTTAATTGAGTTCAATTTTTGGCTTTATTTAGAAGCTGACCAAAAAGTACATATCTTATTAAGAATGATGTAGATGTTAGATAAAGTGGAGTTATTTTGTTATTTGCATTGATATTGTAAGAAGTTATTAAGATTTCGCATTCGTCCTGAAGGATGAAAAATTGTTACTAAATATTACAAACAACAAGGTTTGCGTCCAATACATATTTAGCTATTAGTTATATATGGATACTGACTTAAGGGTTTCATCTGAGTTCGAATGTATACTATTTATACTATCAAAACACGCAATTTAGAAATTGACTTTCTTTAATACGATCGTCAAGTGCGAGTTTTTAAAATGATTTTTTATTGGCTAATTATTACATATCGTTTTTTAGTACTGATCTCGATTTTTTGACGTTTTACTCAGATTTACTTGCATTTGATATTGATGTTCAAAGAAGCAGCAGCTCTTTTATTAACCACTTTTACAATAGAAGTAAGCATTTTTAAAATATATTTTGGATATACATTATTGTTTTATAATTATTATTGATAATAGGTAAGTTTTAAGGAAATGAAAGTTCAAATATGAATTTGTATCGACCCAAAGGTATCCAGTAACTTTTAAGTTACTTTAGTCTAGTTCAACTCGTCCTGACTTTACTCAACTATTAGCTATTAGTTGATGTCATTTTTATATATTGCACATAATATAAGACTGATTGGAATCTCTATTTAATCTATATAACTAATACAATAAAACTATGGCGGGTAGACAACTTGTAGTTGTGGCTAGAAAAGTCTAAAACTATAAGGGGAAATATGTAATGAAAAAGTGTCCGTCGAAATGCGTTAAAATATGGTGGCGCCACGGCAGCAAATGGGTACATTTTGAAAAATAAAGTATTATTAAAAGTTCACAAAAAATAAATCACTCCACGTTTATATCACCACAGTTTTTTCGATTATATTTACTAAATTATTTTGGACTACGTAAATAGTTTCAATAACTACACAAGTCACCCAAAATATTAAAGTTTTCAACTCGCACACTTCACTCTGTCTACAACTAATTACTTTCTATACACTCTGTCTATAACTGCTGCATTCATATCATACCCTCTTGCTACGCTAGCGCCCTTCTGGTGGGTTTTTGAACTGTTATTCACCGATTTGGTGGATACGTTTTCAATTTGTCTCCCATATAAGAGTTCTCCTGTACCCTCCATGAATAAAACCATGACATTAAATATGCTCTTAATTATTTATATGAAATACCTTAGATAACGTGCCATAACGATCCGTATTTTATCCCATAGATCTGAGAAGAAATATTTTGTAAGTTTTTATAAGTGTTTGGACATTAGAAAAGTTTTATACTACTTGTTTGTGTAAACATATTTTATTCCTATAGATGATGTTAAATAATATGAATCGAAGGAGATTATTCATGAAAAATAACAGTATTTTTAATATGTCCTTTTCTAATGCCAAATCATAAAATAAGTTTGTAGCAATAATAACTGTGTATAGTTAAGATCGTAATTTCTTTTGTAATATTGTACAAATTGTGGTTGTGATACCATTACATGATCATGTTGGAGCATTAAGGCATATAAACTGTGTATATGTCGCAGGATTATCGTACGATTCGTCATTACATAAAACGTCTTGGTTTGCAAACGTTTACAGTTATGTAAAAAATTGTAAAACGTTTGATTGTAGTATACAGAACTGTGAGTGTGGATATTAAAGGATTCTGGTATCTGAAAGGATATCCTAGCTATTTTTTTTTATAGAATAGATTTTTGATTGTATTATCTTTTATTTATTTTTAAATCATGATTACATATTTCTGCGAAATGAATTAAGTTTTTAATAATGACGAATTATACAATATATCTGCGACATGTGCATATTATTTTCTTCATGTTGTTGCTTGTTTGCTGCAAAAATATATTCTAGGATTTCATTTATTCGACATCTCATTTTAATAATACTTTTGACTAGGATTCATAACTTATAAACTCTTAATTTGAATTATTTCAAATGTCTAATAAAATTTCCTAAAGCTTGAAAACATTTTCATGAATTTTAATTTACCTTTTTTATTTATGTAATTATAGTCCATACAATATTAGTGGTGTAAATCATTTATGCTCTTTATCTCTACATATAATACAAAATTAATTATCAAAACGAGACGTCGAACAACAAATGCATTGATAATTGATATAAATAAAATATTTTTGTAATATTTTTATGATGAACAAACTGTTGTTAATGCAATATCAGTGCTGTTTATAAGTGCTTATATCAACTCAGTTGTAAAAACATATATAACCGTATGCAGTCTTCCAGTGTCGCACTGTTATGCTATCTCTACACGATCATATCATACGTGAAAATCTTACTGCTTCATTGACTGAGGAATTTTCATTATAAGAAATGACCTTATTGATTTTATTTAAAAAAATATGACTTGTAGTAGCGATAGCATTTACTGTGTGATCCAATATGTTATAATATTTTACAAAAAATGCTAATTGTTAAGTCTGTACTAGCTTTAAATTTCATTTTAATGCGCGTGTAATTTACCAATAATTTACATTTACTTTATTAGTATATAATAAACATTTAATAATGAAATTACGGAGTTTAAATTTGATCAAAATTACTATTAGTAAATACGAGTACATAATATCTATGTTAATAAGTTTATTAAGGCCACCAATCCATACTAATATTATAAATGTGAAAGTGTGTTTATTTGTTTGTCCGCCTTTCACGTCGAAATGGATTGACGGATTGGCGTGATTTTTTGTATGGAGATAGTTGTAGGGCTGGAGTCACATAGGCTACTTTTTACCGCGGGAGATAATCTCATTCCCACGGGAAAACACGTTATAATACAACCCAAAAAAATATTTATGATCCGTGTTACTTGAAATTGGTATTAATAGTCTTTAATACAATTAAAAAAATACGTTTTAGCATTTTTCGAAATTCATCCCATACCCTGGGGGGTAAAATAGGGATGAGTCTGCTAGTTTAATATATTTACTTATCAATAGATTAGCGATCTGCCACAGTATCGAAGTTACTTTGTCATATTGCGTGCTAAACATCCAAATCCGGCCAACCCTTTCAGGATGAAGGAGTAACAAACATACTTACATACAAACTTTCTCATTTATAATACTTTGGGAATAAAGATTAGAAATGAAATCCATATTAAATTCACTGTTTATTGAAAACACAAGATAATAGCTGTCAGTGAAAACGTCACAACTTCACCACGTAAATAAGTACATAATATACCACATTCCAGCGGGTATATAAGACATTCTCATAAATTTACCATTAATTATTATGCAAAATCACAATTTCCATCCAATAAATAAATAATTCTTAAAATCTTCATCAATTTGACATACTCAGAAATGTATCTATCTATATATTTATTATATCTAGCAAATCATATTATGTAACTAAAAATCCCTATAGACGACATAGCATTAAAATAACGCGACGTGTTGCTTATGTAAATAGCTTTACTACTAGCCATACTAAACAACTACGCTTAAAGGCTTGGCCTTAAAAACAATAAACTAAATAAGTTTAATTATTTAACACCTAGTATTATAAATTTCTGGGAATTTCAAATTGAGAAGAGTATTTTATTTATAATATATCAATTATAATTAGGATGGATGTATAAAGCACGATTTTATTATGCAACAATATTTAATAAATACACTAATCACAGATGCAGCTTATAAGGCAAGAAAACGTCGATAAAACTTATAGAAAAGTCACAGAACTTAATAGCTATAGAAGATTAATTCTATTGTAAAAGAGGACGGCGGGTGTTCTACTTAATGTTGGCAACACATAAAATTAATCTTCTAAGTTATAAAGTTAAAAGCTACTGTTCATTCAATAAATTCGTATAAATAAGTACTAAAAAAAAGTATCACATGCGAAACAACGAAAACGAGAATAAAAACAAAGTAAAAAAAAAACAAAGGAACAAAATATGGAAAATTATAACACATAAAAAAATTGTCATTAACCTCCACTGTACACTTAAAAATAGGTCAAAATTGCACAATCGAAATAAAGGAAAAGGAATGCTTCTCTTTGGCGCTTATAAACTAAGAAAACATCACAAAATTAGCTAAATAAAAAATAAATTCGATACAATGTCTCAAATCATAGGAAGAACAATCACCAGGAACTAAAATAGTATTAAGTTATCACCAAATACCAAAAAAATATTAAGTACAATAAGAGTACCGTAGAGCGACGTGCAGCCATTACAATTAATTTATGATATACATAATATCTAACTAGTCTCAATGGTCATGCGACAATTAGGTCTAACTAAGTGGCGAACAGTTTGTTGAGCTATCTATCACATCTGCTGCAGTCTACGTCAATCTGGCCTTGCGTATATTCTTTTTTTCAGCTTCAGTGAAACCTAAAATATTTTCTATGGCGTTCAGGTGACCCTGATGATTTTCTGGGTCTGTGAGGAAATAATAAATGGCCGATTTCAAAAATTGCAATGTCACCTCAGGATCCACACTCGTTTTGCTGCCTTTCTGTGAATCCACGATGCGACGATACATAGCCTGTAATAGATTAAATTTGTATTAAAACCATTTCGTAAGAAGTATCTATTTAAAAACATATCAATAAAAATATAACAAGTATCTATTTAAAAACATATCTATCTAAAAATAATAATCTAACCAAATCATAAAATAATATTGCAACTACAGTCAAACTAAAGTACTTAAATAAATAAAATGTAGACATATTTTGTAATTAAATCCCAAAAAACAACCAAGTACCAAAATAAGAAAATGTATAATGGACTTATATTTCCATATAGTGTGTATTAACAAAATAAAATTGGATACTCCTCTTTTATATAAGTTGATAATTTTAAAATATATTTATTGATATTTAAGATATTGGTAAGCATAAAAGCAACAAAAAGAAGTAACAAACTATTCTATATAAAGCCATCAACTTATTAAAAATTAGAGGTCTTGAACAACCAGCTAACAAGACAAACAACAAATTCCACTTATTTTTTATTATATATATATATATATATATATATATATATATCGATATTTATATATCGATATTTATATAATATAACTTAATACTTATAGGGTATATATGAAATTCTAATAAAATAAGGGATCATCTTATATCTGGGTGTTTTGAAACCACATATTCATTCACTATCTACAACATTGCTTAACTTAAAATATACCTCGTCATATTATTTTCCAAGTACTTCCACCAAATAACCAAAAGAGGCTGTTTCAAAATATAGCATGCAAAGCTAAAAAGCACAGGTTATGTTGTTTTACTAATGCTCTTGTTAATTTCTAGCACTATACAGTTATATATATATATATATATATATATAGGGGTTAATTATAAAAAAAAAACAGATACATATATCAAGAATTCCGGACAAGAAACGAAGCAACAACGTTTACATACGTATACGTACGATACGGCGAATATTCGTATTAGTGCGACAAGTGTGGCCGACTAGTTCGGCGCATCGCGTAGTATTCGGGCGATGACAAATGTTTATCGCGGCACTGTCGGTAAACCGTAAACTGGCGCGCATTAAAGGGTTTTAGCGCGACAATATTCGCTTGCGTGGCTACACTTCGCCACTTGAGTTGCAGTCCAGACTTGAGTGGAACGGATGTGTGATATTTTGGCGGGAAAGTGACGACGCAACCACAGTATGGATTGGAGCAATGAAAAAATATTGGAGTTATTCAATTTTATGAAACAGAGAGTATTATAACTTATATGGGATCCTCGTAACCCTGACCATAAAAGGAAAATTTTTGGTATATGATGCGTGGGTTAGAATTAAAAATAAGCTCACATCGAAATGTAAACGGTATTCGCACAATAATAAATAATAATACAATACAATTTAAATTTTTTACTTCGCAAGAATTATCGCCTACATCGGCCGCGAAACAGACGAACACATTGACTGCTTATATGTAGACATCGCGTATGCCCGTACACGACTTATACTGTCTGTTTTTACCGCGCCAACGCGACACGAATATTCGCGCGCTAATGTAGTCGCGCCATAATAGGCAGTTAGTAATAATTACCTAATGGTTTAAAATCTAACTGAACATATGTACTGACCTACATACACACATGTATGTATATACATATGTCCCATACATACCACTACCGATTACTACCGACCATTATGATTGCTGCTTATTTATTCAGGAATTCTTCATATTACTACAATAATATTCTTAATTATATTTACAAAAAAATAATTGATAAGGCCTTTACACTCTAAACGTACCATCTTTTAAGAACCATTTACCATAAATAAGCCGCGAAAACCTATTACACGTTTAATCTTTAAGGAATGTAGTAGATCTAATTGGTACATTAAATATTTATATAATTTCAAAATTAAATATTATATGGTACCACTGATAATAGTATAAAAATCATCTTACATCTCAACTTGTGGTAATTGCGATCATCGAATGTGGGCAAGATGATTTTTTTGTTTAAAAAAAAAACTGAATCTATTATTTACTATTGTGTAATGAACATCCATTAAAAGCAAGTTTCACTATTTAAAATTATGTAAATCACAAAAAGAAATTTATAATGGTATACCAAAAATTAAAAAAAAAGCCTCATGAAAAAAATAAGTTTATTTTTTTTAACTATGGAAGTGTTGGTTTAAGTTATTATTTGGTGCAAAGAAGAATGGCAAAGACATATAATAATCGTTGGCTTAAATAATGTTCTCTTCGAAACAATGAAACAACAACGAGACCTTTATATACATACAAAATGTTTTAGTGACATGATATCAATAAAGTAAATGCAACCCTAGCCCAAAATCGATTTATGACCACAACTACCATGAAAATTAGAGGCATTTATAATAGAGACCTGTGCACTAAAGCGATGTGGAAATGAGAAAAAAAAATATTTTTTTATTTTAATCTGTTGGGTATACTCCAACCTTTCGAGCTCCTAGGACCCATAAAGAAACAGCCTCCTTTGCACTTAGAAGTACTTGTGACTTTGTAGTTCGGTCCGCTGTGAATGCCGTGTCCTGTAATTCACTACACGTTAAAGCAGATTGTTAATTGCGACTACTTGCACACTACTATCGCGGCCCAATTAATAAACGATTAGAAATCGATGTTTTATGATTTAAAGAAATCGATATTCGATTAGTTTTAATATGGTACATGACTATCTGATATATATTTGAAAACAATTTTGTTTCATGTCGAATGTTTTATTTGATTTTATTAATATCTGTGAATGACTGATAAGCAACTTATCTTTACTTTGACTTTTAATCTACTCTATAATAAAACTGTAGAGGTCGAATGTCTGTACATTAAAAACCGAGTCAGGGGGGTGTAAGAAGAGAAATAGAAAAATCCAGATTTTTTATCAATTTTTTTGTTTCTCTGTCTGTTTGTACGGGCTAATCTCCGAAACTATGGACCGTTAGGATAGTTAAAAAACTATAGTAACTTATACAGCTTACTGCTTAGTACACAAAAACTACTGATTGGATTTTAATGAAACTTTACAATAATATACTTCATACATCACAATGATGATGTTCTCCTAGCCGATTCCGGCCACGGCGGCTAATCTCAATGAGATTAGCCAACTGCGCAGGAGATATTATAGTGCTCAAGTGTACGCGCAGACACAAGTGCACTCTCTATTCCTATCACTCTCATACTCCGGTGGGACGACCACTCGACACGACCGGTGAGTGTTAAGGCGCAGGACCGACGGCTTTACGTGCTCTCCGAGGCACGGGGGTGAAACACCGCCACCTTCCCAACTCCGGGCTGTTACTGAGACTTACTATACAGAAGACTCAATAACTAAACTTGGCCCGACCCGGGACTCGAACCCAGGACCTCCGGGTGTGCAACCGTACATGCTAGCCACTACACCACCGAGGCAGTTCAATCACAATAACAAGTAAGCTACTTTGTATCTCGGAAAAATGTACTGTTCCCGTAGGATAAATTTGTCTTTGTTCATCTAGAGGTGAACCCGAGTGAAGCAAGGGTGAGCCGCTAGTTATATTATAAAGTAATAATGGCATCTTATTATTTAATACTAAATATTAATAAACAATTAATTACTAATAGCTGGTAGCTAGTTTATAAATAGAAAAATCATTAAATTTTTTTAAAGATATAATATCATTTTGAATATAAATTATCTATTAATTATTTATAAGTCAAAGAATACAGTAATTATGTACCATATTATTATACCATGTTTCATAAATATTTAATAATTGCACAGTTTTAATCACCTTCAAATAAAAATGTTCATTAATCAGGCTTTAGTGTACAATGTTATCAGTAGACATAATTTTTAGGAAGAAAAATTCATTCTCTATGAATACCAAAAGAATTGAACACCACACTGAAAATGTTAGCTTTTATAAGACTGGAAGTAAATAATTTAAATGAATCTAATTATGGATTCTGTTAAAATATAGCTTTCTTGGATATTGCTAATGAGTTATTTAGCCGGGTCATCTACATTTGTATACTGTATTGACAACTTACTCGGACATTCTCGAGCTCAGTCTGAGTGATCTGTAGTTGTTCTAATAACTCTTCAACGGATACTCGGCTAAGTTGGCTGGTACTTGCCTCTGGCTCTGGCTCCTGAAAGACACATAGCAACATTTAAAACAACAAATTACAAGAAAATCTTAAATATACATACATATATTACTTTTATTTTAATTTATTTAATATGGTAATTTATATAAAATAAAAAATGGTAAAAGTCAGTGTAATAATAATAATTGTTTAAAATAATTTTATGATTGATAAAAAATGTTATAAAAAAAATATAGAATAAGAACCTTATCCGATTCATATCTTGCTGCCTCTTTCCCTTTGTTATACATTTGCAAATAAATTGATCGGTGTCTACTTTCTTCATCTTCTAATTGCTTGCTAGCTTCTTCCAACTGCTTCTCTAATGTATGTATTCTTTCCTTGGCCTGTTCATAGTTTGGTAATAATTCACAATATCTTGTATTTACATCAGCAAGTTTCTGTAGCAAAGATTCCACTTTGTCATTATGAGCCTTTTTCATTTCTTGTGTTTCACCAACATGAGCTCTCATGATGTCTTCTATCTTCTTTTCATAGTAAGATATCAAGCTTCTACGTTCTTCATCACTGTCACTAATTTCGGTCATACAAGATGCATCATGGGTCAACATATGAACTGACTCTTTTGAGTGTAAAGAAGAATTTGTGAGATCGTCAAAGTGTCCTGAATCAGTAAATGACCCTTGCATTTCATTTCGACAGCGAGTTGGTGTCTGCCCCTTGAATAAAGGACTATCAGTGATATCGTAGGATCTCTCCTTACATATTTTAATACTCTCATCTTCGATGGAGGGTTCCCCATTGTTTTCTCTCACAGTTACAATTTCACTAGAATTTGATTTCTCATCTGGTGAGAATATTGATGCTTTGTATAGTCTCAACTCAACTACTTCTTTTGTGAGTTGGAATATTTCACTATCTTTCTTTTCCAAGTCTTTTTTGGCTTGGCTTAGTAGATTTTTTAGCCGACGTATCTGCTTTTGGGCGCGCTGTGTTGGCGTTAGATATTCCTCTCCTGCTAAACCAGCATGTGAAGAACAATGCAACACATAGCGCATTGATCGTCCACTAAAAGTGGTGCCATTAAAAGGAGCATATCCAGCATCAATTGATGCTGCAGTCGCTGCACTACCATAACTATGAAGAGATTCATCATCAGGCAAATCTTCAGGTGAACCAGGCGGCGTGTGAGCCGAATCCGTCATGCTTAGATTTCTATCCATGCACGGTTCTTGTATTTTCAAACAGGACTTCTTTGGTTTATTATTCGCGTTTGCGTTAAACGACTGAAAAGATAAAATAAGGCTAATGTAACAAACTTTATGTTTTAATTACTTACTCGAAAATTTTCATATTATACTGTATTCTATACAACTATTTTTGTCGTTTTAAACAATGAAATACCACACTAAGAAATGTATTTTAATCTTTCAAGGGAATGAGTTGTGCATTCACATAGTAGCCGTGGCAACAAATAAAGCTACATATTATTAAAAATGCATTATATTTTTTGCTACTTACTTGACTCCGGGGGCGATGGCTTGGCTCGGGAAGACGTGAGCCATCGCTTCTTTGTTTCTGGTTTGTATTTTCCGTGATTATTGAAATATATTTCCTAGCTGTTAAAGGAGATCGCTGCACCATTTTTTCACCGCGCAGCCGCAGTGAAGATGAGCGGCGGAAATTTCCTGTGACATTTCCTGCGCAGTAGTGCTCGTCTTGAAAATCAGCAAGTCTTCTTCCGTAGTTTCTATTCATTTTATTTACTTAAATCACATTGACGTAGCGTTCTGCAAAAATTGAACAGATGGGTAAAATTGAAATTTAGAGCAAATAAACATCATAATAAAATGTCACAGAGTAAATATAATAATGATTACAGATTATATAATTATTTAATAACTACGTTAGATCTTTATGGTGAAAGAATATTGTAATATCAAGTTTTGTTTTTCATTTAAGTAGATACGTGTATTTAACCCACTTTTCATTGTGTCCTTAGTCACTTTTCAAAATCAATAAAGGTCGTTAACCTGCGTTATATGATCTATCTGGGTTTTACATCAAAATATTAGAATAGTTTACTATTCTAATATTTAAATATATAACATCTAAAATTTCATATTTATAAATTCGAAATGTTTAAAACATCTCATCATGTAAAAAATGTTTTATTCCAAAGTCTTTCTGAATTTTGAATGTTGTCTGAGACAACATGAGACATACATGAGACAACTTCTCTCATATTTCATTATTATAATTAGTATATAAAATGTGAATCTAATCACTGCGCTTTTGACATAAACATAACAAGTCTAATGTTAAAGTAACTCAATCATCTAAAAAAAGTATCAGCGACCACCGTGATACACCTGCGAAACGGTAATTGTAAAACCATATATACTTCCTAGGTGAGGGTATTTCTTTTCTTTACTCTTTTATCCTAAATCAAAAGATCATTTACTTATTACCATTACTAAATTAAAAATAATTTAATGGCTAAAACTCGAAGCTCGCAATAGATTGAAAAAGTTAATAAGTAGAGCAAAAAGTACGTATCAGTAACTCTGCTGTAAGGCATATGAATGAAAAGTATATATGTACTTAAAAAATATATATCTAGGAAACAAATAAAAGTAAAAGTAATGTACATAATAAAATCTAGATGTGTTTACATTCAACGAAAAATTGGGTCGGCTCACGCAAAGCTGAGACAGCTAAAAGATAAATTGCATGCGTGTTTTATAAATTGTAAATAAATTGGAGTAAATTCGGTACAGTTATTCTTGCACTAAGGTTGTAAACCAATACTATGTTAGTTGGCAAGCAAAAATATTAACCACAATATCTGAGCCGATAAGCTTAGTAACAATATACTTGCGCGCGCATACGCTAATTATGTAGCAAAGTGAAAATGATTTAGATGCGTGTCCCAGATGTTACTTTCTTTCTGACAAATTTTACTTTAATCACAAAATAATGATAATGTCATCATAAGAACCATGTACAAGCTTGTAAATGTTAAATTTTTTGTAGTTATATGCCAGACTTAGTGGTTTTTTTTTGTTTGATAACAGTAATAAAATCAATAAACTATACTTAAATTTATGCTTTGAGTATTTCCGACAATTATACTACAGTAATTTTACTTAACCTTAACCTTGTGCTAAATTCTAAGCGAGTCATGACAAGAAAGAATACACTAACTAAAAAGCAGCTACTAGTCTGTTTCGTAAAAATATTATAACAAATATTATACCGTACAAACACCGACAAAATAAAAACATAAATTTCGTAGTTGTACTTGGCAGCAAATTTCAACACTTTACGATGTTGCAAAGCCGCTAAGAAATGTTTCTCAGAGAATATTGCAAGAATGAACAATCGACTTCACAATACTTATTTTGTGCAATTAGATATTGTTTTCATTATATCATAGACATACACTCGTACGGCGTAACCAGTGTGTATTTTATTAACAAATATAGAAACTAACGATATGTGGGTAGGTATATATTGAGATATATTTTTATGTATAAATCGTAACATAAATAAAACTTGGGAATTATCAAACAAAACATTTATATTAAAAATAATAAAATAAAAATAGGCAACATATTATTATTTGTATTACTCAGGTATTATAAGGAGTGAGATTGGAAAAGTATAGGGTACACAAAGTGTAAGCACAGATTACTCGTAATTGATAATGCAGTTCCAGACAAATCTTCTACATCAATTGCTGTAAGTCTTTAGTAGTTTATTCTTTTTAAAATAGATCGGAGTGAAAATACGAGAGCTTTCTGTAGCAACCCATTGATTGTAATGGCCGGTTTACACGTGTCAAGTCGTTTAGTAGTTAACTAAATTTTAACTTCATTTTAAGTGATTACTTGCGTGTAAGCAGACAATTTAATAGCAAGTTGCAAGTTAAAATTAAGTTAACTACTTATCTACTAAATTAGAATGTTTCCTATTTTTTCGGTTTAGTTGGTGGGCGGGGCTTGTCACTTGACACGTTTGGACACTTGTTTAGTTACAAACGCATAAGTAGTTTAGTAAAACGCATAAGTAATGATGAGCTAAATTTAATTTTTTTGCGTTATTTTTTGTTAAGAAGCATATTTTAAAAAAATCTTATGGAACGTAAAAAGCATGAATTATCTCGCTTAAAACAAATTTAAGCATAGAATTTACGATTTCAAAAAATATATATATTTGTATGACTGAGCTAATATAATTATATAATTTTATAAATATAGTTGTTTCAAATTATAAATATTAATAATTATTTTTATTGTTCATATTATTCTAATTTTAACATTAATTTATATTATGATTATTTAATTATAGTAGTTAATATGTGTAATTCTTTAATTTAATTTCATCTATTATAAATATTTATTAGAAATTGTATTTAACATTTTATATATATTATTGTTTTAAAGCCGGAAATGTAATTAATGCTGTGTATGCCTATAATTAATGCTTGTACTAGAATAAGTAATCTTATAATATAATAATTTAGAATGTAGGTACAATGTATTGTTGGCATATCTTGCAAATAAATAAATAAATAAATCTTGAATGAAATAAAGAGATTCAATTCAATTCTTTTATTGAGCACAGATTACTTCGCCAATGTCACGTAGAATAGAGAAGACAACTAAAGAGCTTATCTACTTAACTACTAAACACGTTTGGACAGATAAGTCACTTAAAATTAAGTTAAAATTTAGTTACTACTAAACGACTTAACACGTGTAAACCGGTCATAAGAGCCGTAACGGCTTGACGGAGATGTAAAGTGCCTCTAGTTTAATCGACGATTTATTGCAATTTTTTTTATTAAAAAGTACTTCGATATTAATGTTATAACGATATATTTAGACTATATAACGTAATTTTTGATAAAAAATATTTTTTCTATTTCTAAATGTTTTTTTGGGATCATTTTGGATAGGTTTAAAATTGACTAAAGTATGTATATTACTAAATGTTTCTTATTATTTTTTAAAGATACAGTAATGATTATTAATTATTATATAATTAAAGTAAATACTTAATAAAAATATAATAATATATACCGATACTATTTCGCGGTGGGTAAAGATGGCGATGATTTTCAAATCGTAACGTCGCGTCGGCATTTATTATCCCATTCTTTGTTATGTATTAGCGATTTGCTGTAAAAGTACAAGTGTATTTGAAATAAGAGGCAAATATATTTCTAAGAAAGTAAATTATATTTTTATAAATGCTGTAATATTTAAAACCATCACAATTTAAGATGCAAAAATGTGGTGTGGAAAATTATGCGGTAAGTACATAAAATATATGGGTGGTAAAATCAGACATAATATATTAAAATTATCAATAAATTATAAAAATACAGTGCAGGTATCATTTTGGATAAAACGCATAGCGTCGATCTAAAGTGGCTGTTTTAGTACGCGCTACCGTAAAGTACTATTACCTACCTTTATGTTTCTATACATACTCGTACTTAGATAGTCATTTATAGTAGTTTTGTAGGCACTAAAAATATACCTACACATGAGCAAAATCACAAACAGTAACTAGTTATCAATAATATTAAAATTTATTCAGCACTAGCGACTCACCCTTGCTCCGCTCGGGTTCGTCTCTACTTACGTTTTAACGTTTAGTAAGTATAGATTTCTCAGAAATGGGATATTTTCCCGCAGTAAAAAGTTTCCTATATGTTGACCTGGATAACCAGCTATCATTATACCAAATTTCATCAAAATCTCTCCAGTGGTTTTTCCGTGATGCGGTAACAGACAGACAGACAGACATAAATTCTAAAAACTATAGATTCGGCCTCTGTATCGATAATAATGTCTATTTCAATAAGATTTCCCAAAAAGTATTGAAGGTAAAGATTCGGCTTAGTTACAATTTTATTATACGAGTATGTATATGTTTTGTTATCCTATACCTAAATTTAAAAAAAATTGAAAAGTAAGCCATATAAGTATAGGCATACACAGCAACTTTTTGTTCGCTACTGAATAAAATAACCGTAGATTCAAGAATATTCTAGACACATTACGTGATCAATATCAGTAACCAATATATAATATGTTTAAAAAAATATTATAATGATGAATTAATAGCATTATGCCTGTATAATAAATATACTTTCGAAACGATTTCACCTGTATTCGCTTACAGCGTAATCCTTTGTATTATTAACACTTCACAACAAACCATGCGAATCGTGAATTAGTTACAGGTTCGTAGCGAAAGACCTCAATTTTCTATCTGTAGCTATGAATAAGCAATTTGTCGTTTTAATCAGAAATTGTAATTGAACATTTTTCATCAAGTAACTCGATTCGCCTAATTTTGTTTTCGCTTCGTATAATCGATTAGAATATTTTTTTATGAGATTATAATCTAAAATAATTAACCTTTTATTCTATATTAAGGCTCATCAGTTTAAGCGTAATATTAGTTTGAACGTAAAAAGAGTATGTATTTATTTTAATTTTCACTACATTTTCTTCATCGAGGTCATAAAAAATAACTTCAAATAGGAACGAAATATGATTTGGAGACCTTGAAGTTGCTAAAGCCTCTATATGGCTGCTGGCCAAAATGCGAAAATAAAGTGTAACAATGTTACTAGTTCATATATACGGGCTATTGTGTAATCGTTTTCTAATATTATTAACATCGATTTTCTATCAATGAATTCTACCACCAGTAACTAGTTTTATTTATACATCGAG